TGTTTGTTTGGGGGGGTTATATATCGGTGTAGACTGACTGTAAAGGAGGTCGAGGAAACGTATCATATTATTCCGAATCATGAACTATCAATCAGAACGTGGGATCTGCGTTGTAAGACCCTTTCTATGAATCCACCTCCATCGTCTCCTCCTCTTTCGTCTCGCCCGCCTCCGCTGCCTCCAGCGCCTCCAGCAGCGGCACGAGCAGCTGCCCCTCGTATAGCTTGAAGCTCTCAATCTTTCCCCGGCCAGCCTCGCCTGCAACACCCACCACTCCCACGGATGTGTTGTCGACCGTCAGCTCCTTGTCCTGGGACAGGGTCTCCTTGAGCGCCCGCAGGCCGTGGGTGATGAGCTCATCGCGCGACGAGGACTCGAGCTTATCCAAATTGCGCTCCAAATAGGTCCGGGCCATCTGGGAGCGGGCACCGATAGCGCATGCCAGCATCTCCTGGGTCATGCCGGAGGGTTGAAATTCGAAGAGGTGGGGTCCGGACTCGTCGACGCCGGCCACCAGCAGACCGACACCGTAGGGCCGCTTGCCGTATTGTTGAGTGTTCGTTTGGGCGCGGTCGCCGATCTGACTGACGATGCGGTCGACGGGGAGCGGGCGGCCATAGGTCATGCGGGAGCTGAGCGACTGCTGCTTCATGAAGTTGGAGAGCACCCGAGCGTCCGATGCGAGACCGGCGATGGCGATGCCCATGTGGGAGTCAACTTCGATGATCTTCTTCTGGTACGAGGACAGCTCTTCGGCGTTACGCTAGTGCAGTGGCCTGTCAGTTGGGATTGACTGTAATGCTGCCGGAAGAGGCACGATGGATCTGGATGTCGAACCTTGAGGCCGACCAGCACGGCATGTGTCTTGTTGACCAGTCCCACCACGACGGATCCTTGCTTCACGGCTTCTTGTGCATATTCAACCTGGAATATCCGGCCTTGCGGGGAGCTGTAGAGAGCTGTATTAGTGACTGGAGATCCTCGGGAGCGGTGTTCTGGTGGACGAGGGAGCTTGGGAGGGTCCATACAAGGTGACCGCATCGTTGTCGTAGTTGTTTCTGAACATGGCGGAAGCTGGGGTAGGAGCGAGTCAAGGGGGAGGGATGGGATTTCTTTCACTTCAATGGAAGAGACGGGGACGTGAATGTATTCTGAAGAAGAGGAGTAGAGGGAAGAGGGGGTGGATGGAGGGAGATATGGATGGAGCTGGAGGTCGAGGTAGTTCGTAGTAGGCAGAGAGCAACTGACGCGGTACTACTAAGCTCTCTCAGGCTCTCAGGCTCTCAGGCTCTCAGGCTCTCAGGCTCACCAGCTCCATAGCCGCTGCGTGGCTGGCTCGCTGCCTCAGGCCTCCAGTCTCAGTTCCGTTCCCGCTGCACGTCACTTCGGCTGCCTCCCTCTGCTGCTGGCTTGCTCCATCCAAGCTCTCGCCGTCTCCATTTCGCGGTGCCCCCTCTCTCACTATTTCGTCTTCATGCTGACGGTGCTTTGACTTTACTGTCTCCTCTCCCCCGGTATTCGAACTAGCGCCTCAAGCTTCGTTTGCGCGAAGCCACTTCAGTTTCTGCCTGTTGCTCTGGACCTGGACGGTCCTGCTTCTCCGCAATCATGACGGCCGGACTTAAGACGATCATCGCCCTCTCCTTTGTAAGTGGTCTTTTCGACAGATTGGACATTCGCAGGACATAGCCTTTGACTAATCGTTTCTCCCTGCACAGGTCCTCGCCATTGGCTTCCTGCTCGTCATCCTGTCGTCGGCGCTATGGCACAACTTCCTGCCGTTGGTGGTTGTTGCGACTTACGTGGTTGCTCCGCTGCCCAACTGGATCTGCTCGCGATGCGCAAACCCCGATGATTTCATGGACAGCTCGGGCAACGCTGCCGCCGACTTTGGTCGTTTCATGACAGGCTTCCTGGTGTTGATGGGTATTGGTGAGTGGAGGTCTCAGATAGGCGGGCTACGTCTGCGGTCACATTCGCACCTCCGTTCGAAGCAGCTTGCAGATTGTGCTAGATATACATGCGCTTGTTCACCCGCCAGAAACTCCGGATCTCTAGCTGACCTGGCTCCCATTGTCTAGCCCTCCCAGCCGTCCTTGCGCACAGCGGCGCTATCGAGATTCCCGCCATGGTCATGTCCATCATCGGCGGTCTTTTAATCTACGGAACCATCATCAGTTTCTCCATGTTCTTCAAGGAGCAGGAAGACTTCTAAAGTTGCCATGCGCAGATATCCGCAAGACCGGCTTCGCATTGGATACCCGCCCGCAGATTGCTCGACCGACCTTTGGAAGCCAGCCGCCTTCATGTTCTTGACCAATGCACCTTTATGAGACATCGCTTTGATTTGACGTATGCTAGGAGTACTGATGTGCCTTTTGATCCCGGGCTTAGCCGTTGATTACCACCTTTCCCTGTTCGACGATACGATTGATGTACTATAGCCAGTATGAGGTTATATAGAAACGCTGCCGGCGCAGTTTGAAACGCTTTTTGGTCCAGATTAATCCCCTACTGCCTCCGCTATCGTATGTCTGGCGGATGGAGATGCCGATGCCTTCCGCCATATAATTATGCCTAGAGACCGGTCACGTGGGGGCGCGCCGCCTGGGGCGCGTCGTGTAAAATTACCCGCGCCGACTGGTCAATGGCATCAACCTGGATCTTCCATCCTGCATTAGAGTCTCAGTAATATGTGAACCACACATCCCTCGGTTTACTAAGATGAATGTCTGGTCCGGCGCAATCTTGCTGGATGGCGGAGCACAACTCCAAGGTACAACCCGCGACGGTCCCGGTTGCATGCGTCCTACTTATCACCCGAGCTAGGCCTACAATTGATTGACCGGTCGTCGAACTGGCAATCGGATATTACGAGAGACTCGACGCTCAGCCTTCGCTGCTTCGTGAACCCGGCCCTCATACCACTCTATGCACGATCTGGTCCGAACCTCGAACTCCACACCAAGGACCAACAGGCCTCGCAATGGCTCAAGGACAAGCTGACGGGCACTATCTGGCTGGAAGATGATGACTTGGATCGTCTTCAAACTCTCCAGTGTCCCATTGGTCTGCTCGTGAGCGTGGAGAATGATGGACGGGCAAAGACCTCGGGGTCGCACACGACCGACCTGTTAGTCCACGGTGTTTTGTCAACCTCGACCTCCTTCGAACGACCGCCCACCCCGCCTGTGTCATCCCCAGAGCTAGACGACCAACCGTCTCATGTCGTGAGACAGGAACTGAGGATCTATGCTACTCCCATTTCTACGTCCCTCATTACCAAAGCTCAGTCCCTTCCATCTCCACAAGACTCTGAACGCCATGGACGATCGGCCCAGTTTCTTCCGGACATTCGCTCGCCCAGTCCCAAGCGCAAACGTGTGGCAACGCTCTTCGAATCCGTGGCACAGCATCATAAGAGAGTACGACAGAAGGGAGGCGAGGCTGTGTCGCAACTAATGGCGCGCTCACTGTCCCAGTCGTCTCAGCAATTGCAGGGTCTCCGAGTCAAACGGGAGTCCGAGGAGCCTTCCCTGCCTCAATTGGATCGGATCGCGGCACAACGTTCCCGGTCTGTATCTCTTGGAGCAAGTCTGAACGCCAAGCTTTTGGAATCGAGGTCGGAACAAACACGGCCCAGCAGCAGACGGGGCTATATGCGCGAACTGAACTCCCGAAGGGGTACGCCAAACCCGTTTGTGGAGTCTTCTTTACGGAAAGAAAAAGAATTGTCGCCAGAATTGCTACCCGAGGGGAAGTCCGACTCTCCAGCAGCGCCCAAGGATGCAGAGACCATTATTACGGAGAACAAGAACACGATCACTCGGACCATCTTGACCTGCATGCGGCTTTACGGCTTCAACCGTGCAACAGCGCGCTCCGCTAGCTCTAGCAGACCGCAAACCAGAACCGGTAGTCATGATATGGTCCCTGCCAGCGGTGAAGACAAGGACCCGCGCTTGACAACGGTGGACCCTTCCAACACAGACGAAGATGAGTTCAAGGCCATGTACCATGCAACCTATCGCGCATCAACGTTTGCACTGCGCAAGTATCTGAAGGAGCCGTCTCCTGGGGAGGATGGGTCGCCGAAAATGCCGCCTCTGTTGGAAAAAGGGAAAGCAATGACCTACATTGACGAGTTCTTGAAACTATTCTGTGAGGAAAACTAGGCTTGTCCGATACAGGTTATGAGTTATGAGTTATGAAGTTATGAAGTCTATATATAGTCCAGCGATATTGTCAGAAATCAGGGAACTCTATGTCCTTGTTTACCCCATACAAATATATAGTTGTGTGAACTAGTACCACAGCACAAACAATACGCTCTATCTTTTCTTTCAAGATGCCACCATCGATATAGACAGTCTGCTAATACAGCATGAATCGGAACTGGCGACTGCGTGAAGCCCCCCTGCTGAGCATAGATCGGCCTCGTGATTTTCCGGGCTCCGGCACTGCATCATCGCCGGCTTCCCCGACAGCTCCAACCAACCAGCCGATACAGTCCATATTCCCATCTTCAGTGCTGGCACATCCATAAATCGAGTCTATTGTCGCCCATTATTCCGCATCACAATGGACGTCTCCAACAACCGCCTCTTCCGCTGGTCGAAGCCCGAATGGCTTAACAACTCCGCCGTGCGCAACGCAGGCGTCTACACCTCCGGCGCACTGGTAAGCTCCCAGCACTCTCACCACCACCAAATCACCCAAGCGATACTCATGCAATGGCAGTTCTCCCTCGGATTTTTCTTCCTCATCGATGCCGCCGCCTTCTCCCACAGCTCCCGCAACGGTTCCTTCGTTCATGTCAAATTCGTCGATTGGATCCCCGGCATCTGCTCAGCGCTCGGAATGCTTGTCATTAACTCGATCGAGAAGTCGCGTCTTCATGCCGATAGCTTCAGCTACAGTGGGAGCGGGGTCGCATGGAAGGCAAGATTCGTGCTTTTCCTGGGCTTTGCGTTGTTGGCGGGCGGGTTAGCCGGGAGTGTGGTTAGTTTTGCTTCCCTCTGGGTCTCTCCTAGAGCATCTAGGGGACTTGACCGATGTACTGGCTCGCTGACTGTTCGATCTGCTTATAGACGGTTATGGTCCTCAAATACCTGATGAAGGGGTATCCGCTTCCGACTCTATACTTCGGTATTGCGAACGTCCTTGCGAACGGGTTGGTTATGATGAGGTATGAATTCTCTATATCATGACTTGATTACTCGGTGAGAGTCTACGCATTGACTAACGCATGCGTTACAGCACCGTCGTCCTATGGATCTCCCAGAATATAGAAGATGATTACACCTACAACCTTGCTCTGTGATGGACAGTAGGTGTGGTTGGCAATTGATTGATTGATGGATTGATATGAGACGTCCGCTCTGGCTTCCAGCCCGAGTGTGTTATTATATTATGAATTTGCTTCTTGGTGTTTCTTATCCCTATCCCTTGTTCCCCGCGGGATTGAGGCAGGGTTTACTTTTCTGGTGTTGTTCTACCGTGCGTACGCATTGAGTGGTTTCTGTTTTGTTTGTTGTATTAGGCTGTTTCAGCATGTTTGTTACGTGATGATTATGGTATGTTCTGAGATGTGTGCTTTGGGTTATCGTTTGTAGATTGGTGTCGTAGTCTGGTCGGGTTGCTGCCTGGGTATTTCTCATCTATATACTTAGTATGTTCTGCCTGGTGTTACAACAATCACGAGATCTCGATGTAGAAACATTCTGTATTGCTAGCCGCGCGGCTCCCGACGGTCTTAAAATTGCGATGCCTGGAGATCAAGTTTTACTGGAGCCTATCCAAGCCAACTTCCCGTGTCCGGTATCAGGCATCCATTGTTCGTACCTACTATGAGTGTAACAAGTACACGCATTGCCAAGATCGAGGCAGCTTCAACTTTACGAGATGATATTTAATTCTCAGGCAGCAAGGTTCCATCTTGGTGTTGCATAGTAGGCATCCATTCACTCTAGAGAAAAATGTAGTAGAAAGTTTTTATATATTTCTTGGCATGGAGCGCATGATGCACAAGGTAGAACTGGGTATCTAGTTCCGGGCGGTTCATTGGTCCGCCAAGAATCTGAAACTACCTCTAACTATGGATGTATCATGATCTATTCGATCTGTTCTGGGTGTATTGTCTCGTAGGGGTGAGATGTTCGACCTCGACCTTAACCCGTGAGATTCAACCCGATGGTGGGTGCATGTCACGGCATGCCCGTAGCGTCATTAATTTGTCTAGATCGACATGCTCCAGGCAGTCGATCGCCAAGCCAAGCCAAGCCAAGCCATATCATATCAGTGAAGATGCTCGACGACGGACGCGCGCAAAGCTCGTCTGCCGCTGAGGGATCCGACATCGACCACGTGCTAGCCGAATGGCAGAGTAGGCTCGCTAGGCTACAGCATCACTCCGCGTTACATTTCACATGTGTCGATTCACTTCTCAAGCAGACGACTCGACGGGGTGGGCGCGCAGCTTGTCCATGAGCGCATCCACGGCATCCATGTCTCCGGCATCGATCTTGTCCCGGGAGTAACCTTCCGGAAGGCTCTTGGTGACCTCGTCCATGGCGGGCTGGTAATTGCGGACGGCAGAAGAGATGGCGTAGATGGCCTTCTTGCGGACAACGGGGACGGTGTCCTTGGTGGAGAGGGAGACGAGAATGGGGAGGGCGTTGAAGACAACGAGCTATTTGCATTTATGTTAGTGTGTATATACACGAAGACGGAGATGCATGTGGCATACCTTATCCTGTGCCTTTTCGTTGTTCTGCACGGCCGTTCCGATACACCAGGCAGCCATGCGACGCATATCGGCTTCCTCGTGCTGCAGGAGCTCGACCAGAGGGGACCACAGGCCTAGCGGCTCGAGGTTGTTTGCATTGTCGATCGACTCAATGAGCTGCTCGAAGTTGTCGAATGCGATCAGCTTGTTCTCCAGGTCGACCTCGTCGGAGCGGAGGGCGGCCATGGAGGCCTTCATCAGGTCGGCGTCGGAGGGTCCGCCGAATAGCGTCGAGAGCATCTGGGGCGTGAGACCGTTGCGGGAGGACTCGGTGGCGGTAGTTGTGCTGGCATTGTTGTCTTCGGACGTCTGCTCACCGGCCGTAGAAGCCTTGATACTCCATTTAAGGAGGTTGTTCATGTTGGGGTCCATGGTGTTGGGGTGGGTGGTTGTTTGGTTTGGTGGCGGATAGTAAAATTTGTGTGACGGGACTTGCGGTCGGTGTAAACGGCCGTTGGACTTGTCTAGAGGTCTAGACGGTTAAATTGTAAATATGCGAAATATCTTGAACTATGCGAGTTTTCCCCAGATATGGAAATTATTCAAGTGGACGTGGTGGTGTAGAACAATGCGCCGGTCCCTTAGGAAGTAAAAAAGACGAGGGAAGTTCTGGACGGATCCAGAGGGTTCATGCGGCTCCGACGGCCTTCCACCTCCTTCCACCGCAGGTCTACGCTCAGTTGGGGTGCAATGAGGACAATGGCAGTTGGATTCGCTTTCAACGGCAAGCACTCTACGCTCAAGATGCCCGAAACACCTTTCTGCCTAGGTGTCTGGTGCAAGCCAGCCGTCCTGGTGGTGTCATGGCAGGCCAGCAGTGCTGCAGCGTACCCCGCCATGTCGGATAACCCCGCGATGCGGTCATACGTGCCCGATATGCGGTGTCTTTTGGCTTGTTTTCGCCGACCGAGACATTTCCACGCGTGGCACGAGGATGCCGTTGATAACCATGCATTCTTCACGCAGCAACGTGATTGATCGGCTTACGAGGATGCGACGCGTAGCGGCCCTCACGGATTGACATTCCATGGGGCTGTAGCAGTCCCCTTGGAGCCCCCAATTCGGGGCTGGCGAGTAAAAAAGCGGAAAAGCAAGCTGACAGCACACAGGAATTGGCCAGAAAGGAAGGCATCAGTCAATCGGTGATTCATGATTTCTACCTGACGGGATCTTAACACGTTGGAGACGGAATACTAGGCGGCTGGATGCGACGATCATGCGGTTGCAACAATGGACCAGTTCAATACAAGGATAAGGAACGGCCACGCTAGAGGCTAAGAGCCAAGGAGACCAAACGAGGGGCAAGACTACGAACCCCTTAAGCCGGCTGGTTAGTGAACGGGGGCAGAAGGATCCAGAAGCCTGAAGTTGGACCGGTCGGGCTATGCTCATCGTGGGTTCTCCAAGGCGGGAAGTGCTATTATTATCCCCGAGGGACTAGTTATGGAATATGGATGACTACGATGCTCTCATCATCATAATCGTTATTCCGACCTTGTTCTTTGGTACACATCGGGCTGAGCCATTGACGGCGGCAACCCTGGATCAGGCTCTGCCCCACGAGGATGCGCAAGTGTTTTTGCCATCATTCTCCCGCTCTCAACCCGGATAGGTCACCCATCGATCGGATTGTCCGGCTTAGAGAAAGACAGAATGGACAAGAGGAAGAAGGAAGGCCACAATCATTCTGCCTAAAGGCAACCATAGTTCATGATGGTGGATGGTTGACATCACTTGGGTGTAGATATAAATGGGGAGGAATTAGTTACATCCATGGTAATGACTACACTGCTCCCTATCTTCTACAAAGGCCATTATTCGATCTCCTATCTCTTCTCACACTTCTCTCTTGTTCTCCCTGTCTGGCCAGATTGGACACGTTCTGGTCCCCCCTTTAGCGCTGCGGGTTAATTACCAGCTCTCTCGCTCGCCGGCGTGATTATTACCAGCTTACCTGACGAGCGGTACTCGGCGTGACTGGTCTGGCTGGCAAGTGTGGCGGTGACAGCACTCGGACTAAACGGCACTAGTGCCCTCCGCGGTTCAATCAACGCTGCCGAAACACCCGGCCTAGACCTAGAGTGGCCTAGGGTCCGATCCACCTCACCCCGCCTGATCCAGTCCAACCTCTCCCTTTTCTCGCCTGTTCCCCCTCCCCCTTACTATCTACGTACTGGGAGAGGGACCTGGACTGCCTGGTGTGTACTCTTGCCTGTTGTTCCCTTACCTTTGCCCCCCTCCGGACTCCGTATTCGTAGACCTTGTGGTGATGATGGTGGAGAGAGCCAGATGGGCCTCATTTAATTGACGTCTCCTATTATTCATTCACTCCCTAATGGATGTGCTAGGAGAGGCGCTGACTGACCCAAGTAGTAGTACTTATCTACGAAGTACTTGCCCCGAACCCGAGCTGACCTGACCTGACCTGACCAAAACCAAACCGAACGAAACCAAACCCAACCAGGCCAAACCAGACCGGCACCCACTTCTTGCTTCCACCACCGCCGACTCCTAAACCGACCTCCATCACTTTCCACTCCTCCCCCCGTTTCCTCCCTCTCCAACCTACTTACCTCAACTCAACAACTCATTTGTCTCCCCTTCTCCCGTCTCTCCCCCATCTCCCATCTCTATCCCCCCCATCTACGCTTCTCTTCCTTCGCGTTTTCTTTCCTTTTTATTCCCCCGTAGTTCGATTCTTAATCCCCCACAGTCACCATGGAAGGTAAGGGTTTCTGCCACCTTGCGTCTTGCTCGCTTCCAAGCTCCTTCCCCCTCCCCCCCTCCGTTCCCCCCTCAACGCCCACCTTTTGACTTCGCTAACGTCTTTTCCTCCACCATCTAGAGGAAGTTGCTGCTCTCGTCATTGACAATGGGTATGTTACTCTGGATTCTTGATGGGTTGAGCGATGGATTCGCCCTCCGTTGGTTTCTCTCCAGCCCCAGCCAAGGGAGAAGGTGCAAAACATACGTTCCCTTTCGGGCTCGGTCGCGACGATGAACTCGACCGGGATTCACGCCAGCGTTGTTTTCCCACTCTCCAGCGCTGATGGAAGAAAACCGGGGAAGCTCCATCTGCCTGCACGCAAGTTACGGTTGGCTCGGATATACTGACCCTGTCTGCTTAGTTCGGGTATGTGCAAGGCCGGTTTCGCCGGTGACGATGCTCCCCGTGCCGTCTTCCGTAAGTTTTCCCCTCCTATCCGCTGCGCCGGATATTCCTCCTCCTGACTTGGTGGTTTCTACCCATTCTCCTCGAACATGCACCCGTTGCGCCTTTGCGTCGGGTAGCTTATGTGGGGGCGATGAAACTGTCATGTCAGCAACGGTTCGATCGGGATACTAACATGCTGAATAGCCTCCATTGTCGGTCGTCCCCGTCACCATGGGTAAAGCTCCCCTCCGTCCCTTTTTGGCCGGTTTGGCTGGGAGGCACGTTTTCTAACGCCACCCGCAGTATCATGATTGGTATGGGTCAGAAGGACTCCTACGTTGGTGATGAGGCACAGTCCAAGCGTGGTATCCTCACCCTCAGATATCCCATTGAGCACGGTGTCGTCACGAACTGGGATGACATGGAGAAGATCTGGCACCACACCTTCTACAATGAACTCCGTGTCGCTCCTGAGGAGCACCCCGTCCTCTTGACCGAAGCTCCCATCAACCCCAAGTCCAACCGTGAGAAGATGACCCAGATCGTCTTCGAGACCTTCAACGCCCCCGCCTTCTACGTCTCCATCCAGGCCGTCCTGTCCCTGTACGCTTCCGGTCGTACCACCGGTATCGTCCTGGACTCTGGTGACGGTGTTACCCACGTCGTCCCCATCTACGAGGGTTTCGCCCTTCCCCACGCCATCTCGCGTGTCGACATGGCTGGTCGTGACCTGACGGATTACCTGATGAAGATCCTGGCCGAGCGTGGTTACACCTTCTCCACTACCGCTGAGCGTGAAATTGTCCGTGACATCAAGGAGAAGCTGTGCTACGTCGCCCTCGACTTCGAGCAGGAGATCCAGACCGCTTCCCAGAGCTCCAGCCTCGAGAAGTCCTACGAGCTTCCCGACGGACAGGTCATCACCATCGGCAACGAGCGTTTCCGTGCTCCTGAGGCTCTGTTCGCTCCTAGCGTCCTGGGTCTGGAGAGCGGTGGTATCCACGAGACCACCTTCAACTCCATCATGAAGTGTGATGTTGATGTCCGTAAGGATCTGTACGGCAACATTGTCATGGTATGCTTCTTGCCTGATTCGCCTGAGGGGCCCTGATCACTAATGCCCTCCCAGTCTGGTGGTACTACCATGTACCCCGGTATCTCCGACCGTATGCAGAAGGAAATCACCGCCCTTGCTCCCTCTTCCATGAAGGTCAAGATCATCGCTCCCCCCGAGCGCAAGTACTCCGTCTGGATCGGTGGTTCCATCCTGGCTTCCCTGTCCACCTTCCAGCAGATGTGGATCTCCAAGCAGGAGTACGACGAGAGCGGTCCTTCGATCGTTCACCGCAAGTGCTTCTAAGGTATGTGCCTGGTGCGCCCGTGGGCCTATGCTTCTTGCTGACGTGATTCGGACTAGCTCTTGCGCGTGATTCGTTTCGTACTCTCGTATTCCCCCATGTATTAAAAGCCCCGACGGAGACACTGGTGACTTGCGGGCCCCTCTCTGACTCGCACTAGGAGGAAGATCGCCTGAAAAAGGAACTTTTATTTTAGCTGTGGAATAGAGATGGTTTATTTTTGCAACGCGTGTCTCTTCGGCACATAGCCACCTGTGGCGGCAGCGAGTAAAACCGGAGGACCGCGGAGGGACGAGAAGCGGTGTAGGCGAGGGATGTACATGGGACCTGTGAACCGTGCGGTGAAAGCTCTCTTTCATATAAGTGTTCTAACCTCGTGTTTGACTCGTTTATCTCCTGTTCTCGCCTTCGGGCTGGTTATAGCTTAACATACTGCTGCGAAAGTTGATCTTCAGTGGATGAGCCAGTCTCCCATTGAGCTCGTAAGACCATGGATAGGACCATTGCGCCCAGGACCTCGAGAATTCGGACTTCAGCCTCAACCCCAACTCCCTCGTAGCTCCCATAGTGGATGTCCTTCCCGTCGATCGAACGGATGGGCCCCAGCCGGCGGCCGTCCTCGACTCGCCATGGCCATGGCCCTGGCCTGGAGGCTGGGAGGCGTCCACCATGATGTCATGCTCACCTTCTAGACCGCGCGGGGCCAGCCAGCCAGTCAGTCAGCCATGTGCTGTCGGATCTGATATGATCCGTCTGTTATACTATAGTGCGCCCAGGATGAAACGGCCATCACGATCACGTGCTTTGCTGGATCTCTGGATCCTTGTATTCCTTTCCCTCAGTACGGAGTACCTAGTGGATTGATGGATGCGTGTCTGTCTGTGTCTGTGTCTGTTTGTCTGTATGGGGATGGGATGTACATGCATCATCTTGGTCAGTGAGAGCGTCGGTATCTTGGAAACAGAACCAGATGGTGATTGAGTTTGGTATATAAGTGGGATGGATTCCTTTGTTGGGAGGAGAGAGCAAGAGAGGGGAGAAAGCCATTAAGATTTTGAAGGGATGAGGTACGATGATGGAGTTGGGTTCTTATATTGTGTATTGCGTGTATGTAGGATATAATTTACTTAAACTACTATGTAGTATGTAAAGTAACTATGTGACCGTGTATGGAAATAGGTAAGAAGGATCGAAGTAGCTTGGCATGTATTATCGTAGCGGAAGTATATAAAACAAGGACAAGAACAGATAATGGTAAGAAAGAAACACATACCCACGCGAACAGAGAAAGTAAGAAAAGAGAAAAAGAACCGAGTCTTTATTCATTCAACATAACCCGATAAAAAATAGTAATAAACAAGGAGTAATATGCAATTGATGGTTGCTTTTCTGTATCCCCACCACTTAAATTCATCATTCCCAGATTCTAGTATATCATATCACATCATATCTACGCATCCCAGGTCTCCAGACCAGACAGGATGCAGCCCTCCTCACCCTCGTTCTTGACCTGGAGCTCACCGATCTCGTAGACCGTCTGGCCCTCCTGCTGGAGGAGATCCTTGATGGCGCCTTCGGAGCCCTTCTCCACGGCCAGGATCATACCCACACCGCAGTTGAAGGCACGGGCCATCTCCGTGGCCGTGACGTTGCCGGTCTGCTTGAGCCAGCGGAAGACGGGAGGCAGCGACCAGGTGGCGACGTTGATGTGCGCGGCCAGGGTGGCGGGGAGCATGCGGGGCACGTTGTCAACCAGACCACCGCCCGTGATGTGGGCGAGACCCTTGATCTCCGCGGGTGAGGTGGCGAGGGCCTTCAGGAGAGGCTTAACGTAGATGCGGGTGGGGGTGAGGAGGGCCTGGCCCAGGGTCTGCGGGCCCGTGGCCGAGGGCATGGTGAAGGGCGCGGGGTCCTGGTAGGAGAGGCCGGAGCGCTCGACGATCTTGCGGACGAGGGAGTAACCGTTCGAGTGGGGACCGGAGGAGGCCAGGGCCAGCAGGACGTCACCGGCCTTCATGGCGGTGGTGTCGGGCAGGATGGTGCGGGCGTTAGGGCCGGAGGTGTTGATGGCACCCACAGCGGCGCCGACGGCGTCGTAGGATTCATCGATGAAGAGACCGGGCATCTCCGCGGTCTCGCCACCGATCAGGGCACAGCCGGCCTGGACACAGCCCTCAGCGACACCAGCGACGAAGGCGGAGGCGGTGGGGACGTCGAGCTTGCCGCAGGAGTAGCAGTCCAGGAAGAAGAGGGGCTCCGCACCCTGGACGACCAGATCGTTGACGTTCATGGCGACCAAGTCGATACCGACGGTGTTGTGGACGCCAGCCGCGTGGGCGATCTTCAGCTTGGTGCCGACGCCATCGATGGCGCCGATCAGGGTCGGGGATTCAGCGTGGTAGGCGGAGTTGGCAGCAGCCAGAGAGAAGAGGCCGCCGAAGCCACCGATGACGGCGTCCGTGCCGGGGCGCTTGGTCTGGGCGACGGAGCTCTTGATCTTCTGAACGAGGTCATTGCCCGCGTCGATGGAGACACCGGCGGCGGCGTAGGTGAGAGACTCCTGGTGAGCGGCAGCGGCGTCGCGCTGGCGGAAAGCCCGGTGGGCAATATCCTTGCGGTAGAACATGTCCTCGAAGTGGATGGTGGCGATGCCCTCGTAGCTCTTGCGGACGGCCTCCTCGAGGCTGGATGCGGTAGCCGTGGCGGCGATGACACGACCGCCGGCGGTTTGGAGCTCACCGCCAGCAACGGTGGTGCCGGCGTGGAAGATCAAGGTGCCTTCGGGGGCAGGATCCAGGGTGATCTTCTTACCCTTGGGGTAGGAGCCGGGGTAGCCACCGGCCACGGCGATGACGGTGGTGGAGAAGTTGGGCTTGATCTGGATGGAGACTCCGTCGAGCCAGTGCTCCGTGCAGGCAACCATGATCTCAGCCAAGTCGGTGTCGTCGCTGAGCAGGGGGAGGAGGGTCTGGGTCTCGGGGTCACCGCCGCGGACGTTGTACTCGAGCACCTTGGGGCCGTTCTTGGTCATCATGAGGCCGGTGAAGAGGATACCGACGAAGGGGAATCCTGGAAAGAAACGGTCAGGTTAGTCAGGGAGGGGATCGTGGGGAGGAAGCGGACGGACCGTCTCTTCTCATGCCGTCCACGGAGGGCTGGATGATGGTGCGGTCGACCTCCGCGAGGACCTCCTTGGAGGAGATGGGGGTCGGGGCATAGCAGCCCATGCCGCCGGTGTTGGGACCCTTGTCACCGTCGAAGATGCGCTTGTGGTCCTGAGCGGCGGGGAGGGAGCGGATGGTGTAGCCATCACTGAAGGTAAGGACGCTGAGCTCGTCACCCTCGAGGTACTCCTCGATGACGACCTCGCTACCGGCCTGGCCGAACTGGTTCTCCACCATCATTTCGCGGAGGGCCTGGTGGGCCTCCTCCTTGGTGGTGGGGATGATGACACCCTTTCCACCGGCCAGGCCATCGGCCTTGATGACGACCTGGTGGGAGACCGAGTTGAGGTATTGGCGGGCAGACTCATAGTCGTAGAAGTTCTCGTAGGCGGCGGTGGGGATGTTGTGACGCTTCATGAAGTCTTTGGAGAAGGTCTTGGAGCCCTCCATGCGGGCAGCAGCCTTGGAGGGACCGAAGCAGCGGATACCAACTATGGTCGAGGGAATTGGAAGTTAGCAAGGCCGCGAAGATGCCGAATTGTCTAGCGGACGGACTCACCGGCCTGGAAGTAGCCCTGGATGCCGTCGACGAGGGGAGCCTCGGGGCCGGGGACCACGAGGTTGACACCGTTCTGCTGGGCAAAGGCGACGAGGCCGGGATAGTCATCGCCCTTGATATTGGCACTCTGGATCTTGCTGTCGGGGCCGAGCGCGGTGCCTCCATTGCCGGGAGCGACGTAGACAATGTCGACGCGGGGAGACTGGCTCAGCTTCCAGGCAAAGGCATGCTCGCGGCCGCCATTGCCGACGATGAGAACACGCAACCGTTCCGTGGTCATGGTGAAAGGTGCCGGGGTTCTCCAAAGACCTGGCACTGAGGAGAAGAGAGATTAGGGAGGGCGAAAAGGAAGGGAAAAGAAAAGGTTGGAGAGGGAGAGAGAGAGAAGTCGGGTTTGGGATGTGGAGGAGGGACGACGGATGGAGGGGCAAAGAGTCCCACCTCCGTTTTCCATTGACTCATTCTTATTGCTGGCTCGTCTTCAGGCCCCAGAAAAGTGAAGCAGAGAGGATTTCTCCATGATGATGAAGGGGGAAATGAAACTGCACGAAAGCTGACTTACCTCGAGATGCAGACTGCGCAAAACGATAGAAGCAGAGGAAGCAATGGGAGCAGCAAAACAATCAATCCCTTAGACTTTTTTTTTAATTTTTTTTTTATCGATTGGCGGGGCGGGGCCAATCAATGCGTCTCCGACCCCGGATTCGGAGCGGACTCTACAGTCACTGCCAGGCTGTCTGCACAGGTTGCTTAGACTGATAATACCTACAATAGACAAGATAAACAGTCCTCCAATCATTCCATGTATACATGATCTTCCCACTATCCATCATCACCCCTGCCCATGTGATGTTGGTCTGGTACATGCAGAGACTTGGAGATACTTCGGGCTACGGGGGGTTCAGGATTGGTTGATACCCGACCATACCTGGAGGTATCCGCGTATGGTACCACCGCGTATCCCATACCGCTTGAGACGGTATCCATGACCATACGCAGAAGTACCTCCGAGGCGGTGAGCACACCGCCCGGCAGAAAAGCCAAGCGGCGAAGTTCCAAGGCCAAAAAAAAAGCTCTCGATCATCATTCATTCTGTCTTCTTTCTCTGAACCTCCTCAATCGTGCCTGTTCTCTCTTAATTGACCAGCCGGCCGACCGCGCCTGCCCGTGAAATCCCCCCTCCGTCACTCGTTCACCCGGCCCGAATGTATCGGGCCTCCCTGCGGTCTGTCTCAGACCCTCTGCGCGGCCATGTCTGTATATCGTGTTTAGCTCGCGGCTTCGGGGCCCAGCCGCGGGCTCGCCGCTTCCACACCTCGCCCTGGTTACGCTCCCAGGCTACCGAATCCGCTCCTCTGCCTATTGAGGAGCAGTTAAAGGCGCTGGAGAAAGTACGTGGACCCATGGATTACCATGCTTAGGACGGGGAACACCGACCGACTGACTGCCACTGCGGACAGCATCTTCCCGATAGGAACACAACAGCGAAATCGAAGAAAGAACCTCCGGCCCAGGAGCCCAAGAAGGCCGTTCAAAAGGCTGCCAAGCAAGGGGCCTCGCGACCGCGGAAAGAGGCCTCCGCTAAGCAGGAAGCCAACGACAAGATTCCCCGAGAGCCGACCCAGACAAAAAACAAGAAGCCTCGCGGGCAGCAGTCGCCTACACCTCCTCCTTTGTCTAATCAAGCAAGACAGGTCAGTCGACGTCGTCCCCACACCGAGTTGGACCGGTCAGTGGCTAACCACCGTTCTCAAAACGCACAGTTACTTGTCTGGATCACCAAGAAGGACACCGGCAAAATCAATGCGAATCGTCATTCTCTCAAAGGTGCGTGTCTTGAATCGGCTTCGGACTTGCTCGTAACGGATGTCTAACCGCTGTGTAGCCCTGAATGTTGAGACGCCCGAAGTCCCGCGGCTGTCCTTCGGCTTGGACCGAGTCCTGTTCAAGTGAGTTGCTCACCCCCCTTCAAGAACTCTCGTACCCAAGGCTGGAGCTGACCGGGACTCTCTACTGAAGCCCGGGTGTCTATCATCTTCGTGACCCTCGATCCCGTGTCTACAATTTCGACCCATACCTCGGCTCCATCATGCCCGTCACGGAGTTTGACTTTGAATCGTTGAAGGAATACATCACCTCCTCCAAGGATGACCTGCTACGAGGTCTGGCGCGGAAAGAAAAGAAAAAGTATATCGGCTCCTCGTCGAGTATGACCTCGGTTCTGTCGCACTTCCACTATCTCCTGTCGAACTGGAGAGAGGTCAATACCACAGTGATGTCTCGTGGTTTTCAGGACAGGCTGCGGACATTTACGCGGCTTCTGCGGGCCCCCGCGGCCATGTTCCTGCGTTACCAGGATGGTGTCTATGCCATCGATGCCGATAAGGAACACGACTCGGCCAACATCCTCATGAACCTGGGCAAATCGATGGAGAAGCTGTTGACCCTGCCCAAGGAAGACTTCGAGCGCTACCGACGATCCAGCGCCAACAAGATCTCCGCTGAGGAGGAGCAGGCAGTACCCGAGGCGTATCACTACTCGACTTACGGGGATTTCCTGATGCGCTCACAGCTGGATGCGTATGATCCGCGGCTCCCTGGCACCGGCATGTTCGACCTGAAAACCAGGGCGGTGGCGTCAATCCGCATGGATGCTAAGAACTTCGAACATGGTCTGGGCTACGAGATCCGGAAGGCCCAAGGGACCTATGAGTCTTACGAGCGCGAGTACTACGACATGATCCGGGCCGCTCTCCTCAAGTACTCGCTCCAAGTGCGAATCGGTCGCATGGACGGTATCTTCGTGGCTTTCCACAACATCGAGCGCATCTTCGGCTTCCAGTACATCAGTCTGCCCGAACTGGATACGGCTTTGCACGGACAGTACGACACGGCACTGGGAGACCGAGAGTTCCTCTTGAGTCTGCAGCTCTGGAACAAGCTCCTCGACAAGATGACGGCCCACTTCCCGAAACAATCGCTCCGGATCCACTTCGAGACCCGCGATAGCGCGGAGGGCACGCACTACATGTACATCTATGCGGAGCCCGTCACGGAGGACGAGATCCACGCCATTCAGACCAAGAACCAGGCCGAGATCGATGCCTACCAGCGCCGCGTGCTGGACCTGCCCTCCTACGCCAACGAAGACAACGACCTGAACGACGCGGAAGGCATCCCTGCCGAATTTGACAGTCCAAGCCCAGCTGCGGAAGCGGCCGCTGAAGCGACTACTCCCGAGACCGGAGACGAAACGCCCCCCAAAGAGATCCTGGGCTTCGCCCTCACAATCCGGAACATCGTTGACGGCGAACACGTGGAGCGGCCCATCCAGTTCCAAGAGTCCAATAAATGGACCGTGGACTACGAGTTAAACCACCTGAACCAAAAGAAGGCCTGGGAACTGTACAAACTCTGCCAGCGCCGCCGGAAGGTTGCTCTCACCGGCCGCGGCGAGGACGAGCTTGAAGACACCACCAACGTCTACATCCGCCGTCTCCGCGCCCTCGCCAAGAAGGGCCGGAAGTACCGCATGGAACAGGACAAGCTAGACGAAAACTCCGAGCCGGTAGTCCTGCGCGAGTAGACTCGTCTTGACTCTTCTCCTTTAGCTAGCCATCTTTCTCCCTCCCCACCCGCCGGATGGCCGGATCTCTTAGATGTTCGATGACGATGTCCGCGGCGCGATGACAGCCATCCATCTATCCCTCTGTCCATCTCCTTCGCCATCCAACAATCTTGTTGCTTTCTATAGATACCTCAAGCTCCAACTGTATGTATACTATACTATAATGGTTTCAACGTGCTGCTTTCCATTACCCCCCACCAATCCCACCCGCCATCGGAGTATGAACCAAGATGTCCTTAGGACTGTAGTGTTGGGCTGGGTTGTGCCAGGTCGGTTTAAAATATAAGGCGTCGGTTGTCGAGCATGCTCTCACGGGTCTACCATTTATCTACTCCTTATATAGTAATCCTACGCTGTTTGGAGTTCACGTCAGTGTACTCTATATCTGGATCAGTGGACTATCACCAGATACAGACTTGTATTCCTTTGACAGTAATATACATATGTATTCACAGGTGGTGCTCTCTACAGATCATATCAACAAGGCACGTGACTGATCGCGGCCCCACTCATTCACCATGGGTCACATGATCGCCGGCCCCCGGTTCAATCTCCAGAACGGAGCATATATTCTATGACATTAACAATTAGGGCATCATGGGCTTTAACGAGAAACGGAACAAGATGGAAGAAATCAGCAAAAGCACCGTCAAATCCGGGGTTCTCAATGAAAGTGGAGGAACGCCACCGAGCCCATGCGCCAAACAGCAAAGATGCTTTCTAAGAGATCTTGCTTTTCTTGGGACAGATCGCCCTTCTCGAGGGAATAGCTGATAAGGGAAACGGAAAGGAGAGGGATGTGTAAGGAGGTGAAAGGCGCTCTGAATACTAGCTGGCGGAACAGGGATTCGCAAGAGGAGAGGTAAGGAAATAACAGGCGGTTAAGGATCGATATCCGTGGAGAGAGAGGGAGGGGAGGGAACAGCGACGTTGCCCCAGCCGAGTAATCAAAGCTTTGGTGGGTAAAGAAGGAAGCAGGGAAGTAGGGAGAGAGATAGATGGAGTCCGATGGCGACGGTCTAAAACCACGAGACCTATCTTCGACTAGCGAAGGTGGGTTGCCAAGTTATCGTGAATTCAATTCATTAGTCATGCTTGAGCGACGTAGAACGAGCACTCCGACGGAGGCTACTGGAAATGCCCCAGATCAAGCTTCGGAGGCGCCCACTCCAGCTTAGGCGGTCTGTCCGTCGAAACACACACGGCGCCAGCCTTCATCTTCTCCAGTTTCTTGCGCTCTTTGGAGGCACTTGAACTAAGGAAGCCACGCAGAGTGGAGGAGGCTGTCCCATACGTACTCCGCGCACTAGCCCTAGTACTGGACGAGACTGTGCTGGAGCTGCGGGCACTGCGGACGCTGCTGGACTTGCTGACCGTGGATGGTATGGCAGGCACTGGCACCCCCAGGCGCGAGGATGAGCCGGAACCGGGATACTCGGGTGGTAACATGTGAGGGGCATGGCCCGGCAACGAGAATGGAGCCGTCTGCGGGCGCTGTCGGAGTTCAGCGACCAAGCTACTCTCCGCATCAAGGCTCCTGAACATATCCAGATGGTCTTTCGGGCTCGTCGGCGCGATCTCCGGCGGCAGGGGGGCAGAATCCTGCGGTGCTGCTGGCTGGATCTCGTTTTCAGACACCGTCACATCCAACTTCATACTGTCCAGCATCATCCCAAGGCTTGTGGCGGTAGTGGGGCGCCCATCACTCGAAGTGTCATCGTCACAGGCGGCCATATCATCTTCGATACCGTGAGCCAAATTGTAATTTCGGTACAGATACCGACGGAGACGGGCCACCTCGGCGTCCCATTTGCGGCTCAACGACTGGAGAATAACCTCCACGTCTTGCTGTATCAGGGGAGAGGTCTCGGCAGGAGCACTCACGCTTGAGGGCACTGGGGTGCCCGAGCGATGGCTCGATGCATGCTGTTGTTTAGACGACTTGCCGCCGCTTTTACCATTCATGGCGGCATGTAGAGAGCGACGGATAGAGTTGGTCGTGGAGCTCTGCGCAAGACTCACATCCCGCTTCACGCTCCGAATCTCGCGCCGCACCCGCTCCAGGGATTGGATTCGGTCACGGTCCATAAATGACAGGCTCAGCAAGGATTTGTTCCGTTGCAGTCCATTGACAAGGACGGTAAAGGACTGCAAGTTGATGTCGTTATTTTCACAGTAGACCTCACGAAGACACTCGTTGTCTTCAAGCACCGATGCCAAAGTATTCGCGCCCTGGAGGCCCAGCTTCTGATGCTCGATCCTCAGGACTCGCAAGGACTTGTTCTTTTTCAGACCAGTCAGGGCCAAATTCAGGCCGATTCCGAACCGGGCAACATCTAGGTGCGCGCTTTCTCCACCGATATCCAAGTCTTCCAGCGTCTCGTTCTCCTCGAACATCAGCTGAAGCGACTTGCACGTCTCGGGCCCGGCATCGTACGGGAGGGAAGCTTTGGAGATGTCCAGATACTTCAACGTCCGATTCTTTCGCAGGGCCTCCACCAATTCTTGGAACTGCTCCTCCTTCTTGAAATCGATCATCCTCATTGATAGATGGGTAGGTGTCTTGTTTTGAGCGATGGCATCGAAAAGGTATGTGCAGCCTTGATCGAGGCGATTTTCATTGACGTAGAGATGCAGATCGCGAGGGAACCCGCTGGTTGCCATCGAATGCAGGAAGATGGCGACATCCTGGCCGCTGAGCCCGCATTGGTCCAGCCGAAGCACCCGCAAACCCCGGGATCGATCGCTGGCCAGATACGTTGCTATAGCATCGACGGTCTCCCGGTTCACGACGGTCCGACTCAAGGAGAGCTCTTCCAGACGCCAATTGATCAACGTCTCGGGTGTGAGAAGTGGGTCCGAGCCTGACGTGCGGGAGATACGAGACAAATCGAGCGTCTTGATCTGGCTGAAGTAGCCGAGGTATTGTTGGAGAATGTCGGGACTGAGGCGGCCTTGCACGCCGGAGATGTTCATGGCCTCGAGAGTCGGCGACTGCGCAATAACTGTGGAAAGGAGTAGGTCGAGATCGTGAACTGACAAACCACAGTTGCCAACCTCCAATGCCCGCATGTGACTGGACCGCTGTGACGCGGCATCCACAAGATAGTCGAGGTCAGAGTCACCCAATTTGATTCCATTCAACACCACCCAGTCAACACTCGTCAACTCACGTCGACAGATGGGGAAAATCGCTTCTGGGATCCCACACCCCGGATCATGACTTTCACTATCGGACTTGGGTACGCGACTGAGGGTATAAGAGAAGTCTAGCCTTCGGAGCCACTTGCTCTTCAAAGTCAATGCACGCACTTCCTGGGACAGCACTGATAGGTTCTCTTGGCCGGGGATATGAATCGGCGCTCCCGCACGGCTCAGAAGTGCATCCTTGTCCGGGCCATAGATGTCGCGTAGGCCTTGCAGGACATCCAAGCTAACCCCACTGAATGATATGGACCGGAAGGATTCGTTATACCGAAGCGCTCGTAGGACGGCGATCAACTCTAGCGCGGTATATTTCCTGTGGCGAGCGGAAGCCGGGGGGAGGAGCCTGAAACAAGGGGCATCGTCACATTGCACGTCAATCGTGTACCGGATGTTCGAAGTGTCCACATCGTAGCTGGCCGAGTAAGCGACCAAGGTTCGATCGAAACAGCCATAGTCTTCATCCAGGCTCACGGGGGGGAAGTTGTTTTCGTTATCCAGGTCGCGGGGAACGATGAAGTCGTACGGCTGTTTTATCCACAAAGGACGCAGGAATTCCGTCTGTTGTCTGATCCAAAAAGCAATCTCCAGCGAATGCACGGATGCTAGAAAGACCGAGAACGGTTTCTGGGTTGGTACACGGAACGTTAGGTGCAGACTATCATCTCCCCATTCCATAGAAAGACAGGTCAGATTCATGAGGCCGAATGACGTTGCAGCATCCAGGTCACTCAAGGATACGACGGAGCTGCGAGTGGAGATCTTGTGCAACGGGACCAGGTGGAGCTTGTGCGAGCCAAGGGCGAGATAACACCCAGTCGGGGACAGCTTGGTGAGATCCTCCGAGGATGCCCGCGTTGGGGACTTGCTCGACGCCATCTGTATCACCCGGAACATGCGAAAGGTCTCCGGATCGTAATCGCGCTCGTAGTCGAGCATCCTGACCACACAATCGACCGTCTTCTGATCGAAGATCAGCGGGTCCGCCCCGCGGATCAATTCCGCCGCTGAGCGAATGCCCACCATCCACAAGTTCAGCTCCTGGAAATCCGGCGTCTGCATTTGAATGAAGGTGGCTTTTTGCGCCCGTTCGTCGACGTAGGCCACCTCCACTGTCGACGACGGTCTGCCATCGTCCAACATGTAGACCGCAATGATGCTGTTGAGCGCAATTCCGGCAATGGAGTCACTGGCCGCCGACAGCTGTGGGTCTTGTAGTGAACTGATAGAAGCGACCGATTGGCGGTTGGCTGCCACGGAACGGGAGAAGGATGCTGGAATCGAGGGGAACATGTCGGCGGCTTTGCTCTGGCTTTTGAATCGGACAAGATGCGTATCCGTCAGGACCAGGTAATGACTCTTCTTCCGCCACATGCCTCCCGTGATCTGTATCTCGCCATGGTGTAGAATGATGGAGCCAATGCCCTGGCGTAGCTCGGGAGGATCCTCATCCAAGGACGAGCCTTTGGAGCGGCTCAGCGACCGGTCGTCATCTTCTTGGGAATGCAGCGACCGCAGCGATCCAAAGACGGAGGTCCGTCGCTTCTGCAGCGACTTGCGTCGGGTACGAGGGCCCTCAAGTGCCACCGGAGGCAAGGCCGTCACGCAGGTGGCCGATTCCGAGTCGGCGGTCCCGGGCCGACGCAAGCCATGATTTGGCGTTGCTCTCGGAGGACTGGGGTGCCGGACCCCAAAGAATCCCGAGTTGCGTCGCGTTTTCTTCTTCAGGACCTGGGCGTCATCCGAGGGCGATCGTTCATGGGCCGCGGGGCCGGACAGGGAGGTCGTCGTCGTCGAGGGACTGAAGACGCTCAGGCTTTTTCTCCGCTCTTTCTTCCCCAGACTCTCGGCCATGACGGGGGGAAGGAGGAGGGCGGAGAAGACGGGACAAGGAGGCGTCGTGGACGCTACAGGGCGAAACGGACAGTAGCAGGTGGCTGTCGAGGACGGACTGTCACATCGAGGAACCCGACGTCGGTGCTCACTAGAAGGAAGAAGAAGGTAAGAAAAAGACCAGGGCTAGCTGGGAGCATGACGGGACGATAAGAATGGAGACCATGCTGCAGGACCAGCCCAGGAGATTGAAACCCCAGTGGTGACTAGTGAACTAGAGGGGTGGAGCAGGGCGAAGGAACACAAATGAGGAGCTGCGAAAGGGAAGAGGGGGAGCGAAGGAAGGTGGAACATACAGCAGTCCGGCCAGGTGCCATCGATGGGACGAGACGAGACGAGGAGACGTAGAGGGATAGACCAGGGAGGAGGAGGAGGAGCAATGAGCGAAGACGAAAAGTGGCGCAATTGAGAATTGGTAAAAAAAAAAAAAAAAAGAAGGCAAAGGAAGTGTCTCGATACCAGATCAGACCAAACAACCGATGCGAAGAAACAAATGGCCACGGGACGGGCTGACGGAGAAAGGGGCGACTTCAATGATTTGTATCTAGAACGAAAGGATATCACACAAGAAATAGAAAGGATAAGTAGAAGCCGAATTCGAGATCGCGACCAGATGCACGGGGAAGAGGGGGCCGCGAGAGAGAGATACGTAAGAGGTTACAGTTGAGGCGGCCACCGACCACCGACCAAGTAAGTGACCGTGACAGCGACGAGGGTTCAAGGCAAACGAGAGACGAGGGGGGGAGAAATGCAACCGGCCGGACGCGGAGGTACACAAAAAGTCAAAAACACAAAAAAAGCACTGCTTCTTCCAACCTAGCCAGCAAGCCAGTAGATAGCAGACAGCAGACAGCAGACAGCAGAAAGCAATTGTCAGGTGAAGAATGGATGGAACCAGAACCAGAACCAGAAGCAAGAACCAGTTCCTGGCGGCAATCCGGAGAAAAATGAGCTCAGGAACTGCTCGATTGATTGGTTCTGATGATGTCAGTCCCCGGAGCTTCTTCGGGCCACGCAAAAAAAACGACAAACGGAGGTTCCGATGAGCTGCAGAGGGAAAAGTAGAAAATCATCGAAGCAGGAAAAATCCAAATCCCAATTCAATCCAAGCCCAATAGATCCAATCCGTCAGGACTAACGAGTAATGAGAGACGGAGGGAGGGGAGAGGGGAGGAGTGGGGAAAACGACCCAAAAGAAATGACGGATCAGGGGAGCGACAACTGAGGCCGCTGGCGTCAAAAGGGGAGAGAGACGGAGAGAGACAGTGGCAATGCAACAGCACAACGAAACAATGAACCTCCAGCGTGAAGGGATTGGCAGTCGAGGGATGTGAGGGAGCGCAACCCAATTACTCGGTCCGGAAGGGAGATCGCCCCAGGGAGCCGAATGCGTCCTTTTCAACGACGGTCTGAACCATCTTCTACATACTACGGAAGTACTACGGAGAATGAACTATGAAGAGGTGCATCCCATCCCCTCCTCTGCTTCTTCCTCCTCCTCCGTAATAACTTTACTTATCCTTCCTGAGACTCCCACTGGCCGGATTAATATAGCAGCAGCCGCCTGTGGCCGACCAACGGCCGCCTCACCCGTCCCTCCATACTTACGACGGGCTGGTCGGTCGGACCTTTTGACTTGACAAATGACGGTTCACTTCCGTCCTCAGAATAATCTGACTACATGGCGAGGTGACCAGCAGCCAAGAAGAAACGAAGAGAGAAATATAAAAAAAAAAAAAAAAAAAAAAAAAAAAAAAGAGAAAAGAAAGAAGCAACAGGACAGCCATGGTTGTTCTGATGACCCAGGACAAGGCCACTGTCTTTGATGCTCATTTCCCTGTCCCACCGGGCGCCCCAGATGGAGCCCTCAAGCCGATCGCCGGTGGATTGAAACGCGTTCGAGAAGCCGATCTCCAGCCGCGTAACCGGCGCAGGACTGGCCGCCTGTCCAGCGCGGCTCCACTTCGCCCCAGCTGCTGGCTGGCATCCTTCTCGCCCCGGCGCGATGCCACTGCGCTTGCCATTTGCTAGCTCGCTTGGCCACGGTCTGGAGCGCAGGCAACATGACAGCTGGGAAATGACCTCGGGGGGATCAACCGATTGGGTCGCCTGCTTTTGGGCATGCTGAGACCTGACACCTTGTCGCTGGACTGTTTTCGTCCAGCCCATGGTCTAGCCCATTCTTCGTCAGCACCCTTGTCTCCCTGCCCCAGGCTAGAAAAAAGAAAAAAAAGGGTGCAACGGCTGCAAAACCCCCCTCGGACTGGATCGCACTGCCCCTGAATCGGGGTCTTCATTAAATTTGAGATCTACTCCGTACACCAGCGGCCGATTCACCAATCTGGAGATCCTCCCGTCTCCCCACAACGACCACTCAGCCTTCAGCACTGTAGCATGGCTTCTGGACCTTCAACTTTGGTACGCGGCCACCCATCCCATCTCACCGGCAAGCTGCAGACCTCTTCCGTCTTAGATAGCGCGTTCCAGACTGGGCTGTCTCGTTTCGCCTGAACCCTTCAAACACGGGGGTTGAGGATCGGTGGAGAACTGAATCCGAGCTACCAGGGACGGTCGTAGACTCCCAGGGGATGGACTCAGCCTCCCTCGGACACTTGCTATACGAGTCAGTCCAGACCCAACGCCAAAGACTGCGACGCATCATGGCGCCGTTGTTCCACTAAGAACTCAAAGACCCTTTGATATCTATTGTTATCCTACTCCAGCCCCCGGGCGGCTCTCTCCGCCTGCGCCTTTTCCACTCGTTTGACCTTTCGGATGAACTTGATATATTCGTCTACTCTCCGCTCGGCCCAGATGCATCCACCCAGGGTCATGGCCGCGATCTGGAGGAACACCTTGAACTGGGGGGTCAAGCCGCGGTAGACCTTGGATGCGGGGGACAGCCAGTCGGAGAAGCCCTCCAGCGGGCGATAGAAGAGGCGCGAGCGGAGATATTCCTTTGAGAAGAGGGATTGCCTTGGTTGCGATGGTTGCGCGGGGGATTGCGAAGGAGTCGGAGGAGAGGCAGGCGCCGAGAATTTAAAGGGATGCGGGAGGATCATGATCATATGGGCGAGGATGGAGACAGAGCCGAACTATGGTTGGTATCAGCTAGACTGCGGGCAACTGGTCCCCACGGGGATGCAGCAGCATAAGCCCAAGGGAAATAGATAGACATACCCGGAAGACACCGGTCATGAACCCGCGGACTGCCTGGGAGGTGATTTCCTCGGGGGGTTCGACATCGGCTTTCTGATAGGAGGGGGGAGGCATATTGTCCTACTCCTGTATATGGAGTACTCGGTATACCGTAGGATATGTGACTAAAGCGACAGTCAGACAGGATAGATTCATGCAGAGCGGGAGGACTGCAATGACGCATGAACGGATGAACCGCAGCCGAAAGATACTGCGTTCGGTTCTTATACCGTAAAACCAATACCCGGCCGGGATCTGGTCCGAAACCGCACCGCAAGGCGAATCACAGCATCAGATTATTCACCCATACACTCCCTACACCACCAACACAACACATCCCAATCGCTACTACTACACTACTACCACTACTACAACTACCACAACCCTCAACTACCACCCCTCAAACCAACCCCCACCTCCTCTCAAAGCAGAAAAAAAAAAAAAGAAAAGAAAAGAAACGAACCACCACAATGCCCCTCCCCCCCCGAACCGCCTCCCTCAGCCGGAGCACCAACGAAACCAAAATCCAAATCTCCCTCTCCCTCGACGGGGGTATTCTCCCTCCCTACGAAGCAAGCCCTCACTTCCCGGCGCCCAGCGACCCCGCGCAAGCCGAAGCCGCGAAGAAGGGCATCGTGCCGGACCCGGCAGCCGCACACGCCACACAGTTCACCCCGACGCAGCAGATCACCATTAACACGGGGATCGGGTTCCTGGATCATATGTTACATGCGTTGGCAAAACATTCCGGGTGGAGTTTGGCGGTGAGAGCGAGGGGGGATTTGTTTAGTATGTCTTCCCATTTGCTCCCTCCCAGTCACCCTTTAGGGTGGGATATATGGGATACGTTACTAACAAGGATGGTATGATGTAGTCGACGACCACCACACAACAGAAGACACCTTCCTCGCATTGGGCAGCGCATTCACCGAAGCGCTCGGGGCGCGACAATCCCTCGCGCGATTCGGGCGCGGCGACGCGCCGCTCGACGAAGCGCTGTCCTGGGCGGTGATCGATCTCTCGAGTCGCCCCTGGGCGGTCATTAACATTGGGTTCCGACGGGAGAAGATCGGCGATTTGAGTACGGAGATGATTACGCATGGATTGCAGAGTTTTGCGCAGGCGGCGGGGGTGACGCTGCATGTGGGATGCACGTACGGGGATAATGATCATCATCGGGCGGAGAGTGCGTTTAAGGCGTTGGCGGTGGCGATTCGGGCGGCGTGTATGAGACGGGTCGAGGGGGAGGTTGGGGCGGGGGATGTGGTTAGTACGAAGGGGGTTTTGTGATTCTTTGTTTTATATCGATGGGGTTGGTGTAGATGGGTTTAGGGTTGGGATAAAAAGGACTATTCTGTGTCGTCGCTTTAACAGATGTGCTTATGCAATGGACTTAGATATGACAGTATCACCATCTAAGAATTCAACGCCTGCACGGCCCTATCCCAATACGCCTTCCTCTCATCATTCGCATCCGTGCCCACACAAGTCGTAATATACGCCGTCCAGCCCGCCTCCGACCCCGACTGTAACTGAGACCGGATACTAGCCTGACACTGCGTGGTAAGGAACCACGCCCCGGACCCAAAATCATATTCCTCATCCGACAGCAACAGATTCAACACCCCCGTGGGGTCCCCGGATACACTCGCTAGTTTATCACCCAGCGCGGGGATGTCGGCGGCGTATTTGGCGTTGTAGGTGGGGGATTGCATGTTGCGGGCTATACTTCCATTAGTATATCTGCCTTATAATAGTACAACAAAGGAAGGAGAGAAGGAAGGGAGAGGGGACGTACTGCCCTGTCCCGGTACGCCCGGGAAATGATTCTTATTATATTTGAAATCGCCACTTTCAAACGCCATGAGGCCGATGACGGCGGCTTGTTCGGCACGGGACGTGACGCCGTAGGTCTCGAACGATTTGGCGATGTTGGGGGCGGCTTGGGCGGCCGTTGCGCATTCCCCGGCCGCCGGGGGGTTATCGCATGAGTTGGAGGTGGGAGCGATGGCTTGGATTTGCTCGGCTGTGATGGAGGTATCGCGGGCGTGGATCTGGGCAGTTGGAGCTGCACTAGCGAACAAAGGTAAGAGGCACACAGTGCTCAGAATGGATGAGGATTTCATGGTGGAAGAGACAAAGATTAGGGCAACAAAGACGTTAGACACTGTGAGCCGGCACGAGTATGAGAGCAAGAACAATCGACAAGGGATCACCTCTTTAAAGGGTCCACGATCAGGGCCATTGTTGCGGAGACCTGGGCATTCCGGACCCAACTCCGCATTCCTTGAGAGTGGGGGTTGAGTCTCAAGGGTCCTTCAATCAGCCAAAGAAGGCAGCCGATGGCTCTGGACCCTGTTGGTCAAAACCCTGGGGCATCTGACGAACATCGCATGGGCAGACCACGGAGATTGGCATGCTGAGATTGAGTGTATCAGATATCAGCCCTTGCTGCCCATTATCGACGGCCATTGGAGCCAGAAATGCCCCAGCAAATGTGAAACGTCCGTCGCGGAACCTTCCTCCCAGCCCAGCAGTGCTGATTTGCCCATTCGACACCTTCATTGGCGGCAGAGGCCCTGATCGGCACACTTAATAGCATCATTGGTCCTTGGGGCTTGTTGGCTGTCGAAATCCAGGCAAGGTTGCAGTACGAACATGAAACCGACGTAGTTAATGGCAATCACATATTAGTCTCATTTTGCAGCAGCTAGCCTCAGGCATGCAGCCGGGTCGGTCAAATACCCTCTACCCAAAATCGAAAGTCTATAGTTAAGCAACAGTAAAAGGTGTAAGGTGTAAACAGACAGGGGAGAAAGGAACAATTGTGGGGTCACGAAGAGAAAGGTAAAGAAAGGTAAATCCCGACATCCAAAGAGAGCCAGATACAAGACGAGCACCCTGCCTAGCAGGATCGCTCGCACAGATCGAAGAATCTTGCCAAAACATGTACAAGCAGTCATTGCTCCAGAGAAGCACTGCGAACCCATGCCCCGAAACGCCGTACATGCACTCCAGAAACCAAACAGAACGCCCTGAGCGGATGAGATCAAAACACACCTGAGCGGCAATTCCACGGGGGCGACGAGCAACGGTCGGGCGGAGAAGAGTGTCAGAGTGCGAAAGGCTGAAAAGGCACACAAAACAGAGTACACAACGCCACGCCTAATCGCGTCGGCTGTACAGCTCGTACGACGTTTCCGTCACGCCTCCGGCTTCTTCGTCTTCCTTGAAACTGACGCGACGAAGCAGCGTGGGCATCATGCGCCGTGATAACCTTGTCGGCGAAGACAGACGGGAGCTCGAAACGAGGGAAGGGATCTTCGAGTAGCGGTAACGGTACTTCGACCCCAACAGCATCAGGCGCGCGTAAAGCCACCAGAGGCCGAATCCGACTACGGCGGCCAGGAAGAATCCGCACACAGTAAGGAACATCCAATGCTGACCCATCCAGAAGATCAACCGGGCATCCTTGCCGTGCCAGCTGTTGCCCACATGGTGCGTGAAGAAGCTCCACGAGTACTTGTTGTATTCGTCTCGCATCAGGATGCGCACCCGTCCCGACTCGCTGGGGTTGGTCTGCATGTATTCCTTCCAGATGACCGACAAAAAGAGCGGACCGGTCGAGTACATAACCGTAATGTAAGGAAGCAGCCAGTGGCGGTCATAGGATTGCAGGAGCTCGATCGTTCGGAGGAAAAATGGGTGCTGGGGGACCGATCCCATAGCATCGTTGGAGATACCGGTGGGAACCGTGCGACGAACCCAGGCGGGGTAGGCAAGGAGAGGATCTAACCGACGGTTGCAGCCCTGATGTTGTCAGAAATGATGCCACAGAAGACACAATGGGTTATACACACATCGTCCAGGTCAATGTAGGTGCCGCCGTAGTGCGCCAGAACAAAGTAGCGGATAGAGTCTGCCCGCTGAATGGGGTACTTGTAGCCGTCAAATGTCTCGAGGAACCACGGATATTCGTTGGCGATGAATTCGCGCGACTTCTCGTTGGTCCAAAGCTAAGGCGGGATTCAAGTCAGCAATCAGTCATAGACAATGCTCCCAGTACAATAGGCTCGCGACATACAATGTACTCGTAGTCCGGGTGCAAATCAATGCAGCTCTGCTGGGCTTCTCTCCACACTTCGGGAATGGTTTCGTTCTTGTATGTTTGGTGGATGATCTTGGGGATGATCTGGGGCCGTTGTTCGATCAAGCTGGAGTTGGGCGAGGGGAGCTCGGCGCGGTGGATTGCGTCGGCGGAAGCATCTTCCACCAGTAAGGACAGCAGGGTGAAAACGCTGCGAACGAGGAATGTGACAATGATTAAATTGGCGACGAGGAAGATAAGGACACCGCGTCGCATGTTGAAAGAGGGGGCAGGGGCCCGAACGACACCTGCTCAACGGATCTGGGGTACACAGGTGAACAGAAAGAAAGACGGAGTAGAAACCCGCTGTCAGGATGAGGGCACCAATTGATATACTGGCAAGTCGTAAAATCGTGTCACGGTGAGAGGACGGTGCAGGCGGCCGTAAGGGGACGACACCCAATCGAAGAGCTATCGATGATTCTCCCCAGACCGACCCTAGTAGCGGTGATGGGGTTGGAGAAGACAGCGGCGGAAAATAGATGCGAGGCTCAACACGGTCCTACCAGCCTAGGGTCGTAGGACAGGAGGGGGTGCAGCGGCAACGTCTCGAGGCAATTGCAGGGCGGACGTCCAAGGGAGGAAGTATCAGGTGGGTGGACTGAAGAAATGAACGGCCGTGAAACTGCTTGGGAGCCTTTTTTCCCCCTTTTCCGCTTTTGGGTTACTCTAGAGACGGGTGGTTGAGTCTAAGAGAATCAAAGCGCGAGCGAGGTGACTGAACCAGGAAAGGACTGGCGCAAGGGTGAGAGAAGGTTTGGCCCACGAGACGACCAGATGGTGAGGATGGGATTATCCCCAATGGCGCAGGCCTGGGGAGGGCGGGGGATTTTATTGGGAAAATAAGGAAAAAGTGACGACAGACGAAAAGAGGAGGTAAGAGAGAGGCTCGCCCAAAGAAGACAAAAAAAGAACTCAGAGAGAGGGAGTGCGTAATTTACTTCAGCTGCGGGTTGCAGGGGGGAAAAATGAATGAAGGGAATGGACACTGATAGGCAGAGCCAGGTCCTTTGGGGGAAGGAACGAACGATGCCTTAGCAACAAAGCAGCGGCATCAACTAGTGAGGGAGGCAGTGGGCAAGTGCAATGGAGTGTCGTAGTAAGTAGGTAGTAGTAGTAGTAGCAGCAGCAGCAGTAGAGGCAGACTGGGGAGGTACACGCCCGGAGAAAGCCAGCGACCGAGCAGCAAACCTGAGAAGGGCGGGCGGCGAATGTCAACAACGGCCCATGGTTACGGCGGCTCTGAATGGTCGGACGTGCCAGCGTCGGCCGTCACAGGCCAGGGGACGCAGCTTCGGGTTAAGGGGGGGGGCACCGGGGGAGGCAGTGGCAGTGGGGAGCCCAGGTGGGCCGCGCCTGCGAATGCTGGTGGATGCTTTAGGTTGGCGCCAATGCTAAGCCTCCGCCACTAGATCTCTTTTGGTCATCCTCCTTGCCTGTTGGGGTTAGCCCATTGCCGACTGGCCCTAGGCCATCTCGGGGGGCCTCGTAACTAAAGCGGTAATGCAATTGTCGCACTTGGCAGCCTGCAAGTTGTACCTAGGTACGCACAGTTGTATGTAGGTAGTAGTCCGGCCTGCACTGCCATCCCCGTGTGGCTACGTGGTTTCTATTTTCGGCCAAAGACAACACCTGGTGATCTCACTGCCAAACCTCCATCTCTCTCTCTGACAATCAAGCTTAGCCACTCGGCCGGCGGGTGAAGAATAAAATCTCTACTATACTCCGTAGTATTCGTATCTATCGACGGGGACGGAGTAGATAGCTCACCAACCCGATCGAGCCGAGCTGCTCGTTAAATGGGCGCTAATTACTGCAAATATCCAGCCTCTCCATCCCCCGGTGTGCTAGCCTGATTGGTGTGCCGAGGCCGTGGGGCCACCGGTTGAACAGAGAAGGTCGTTCGAAGGAACTCCCACGGGCTCTTGCGGCCACGGGGAAATGTGAACCCGCTTAGGTAACGGATTGTGTTTGGTGGGAGAAGCCACGCTAATCCAAACCGGCGAGGAAAGCGAGGGGGAAAAAGGGTAAAAAAAAAATAGAAAATGAAACGAGGAGGGGATCTCCTCACAGATAAGAACCAAGTGGCGCCTCCACCAAACCATGGAGGGGCGATTACGCAGGCCTCCCTGGTTTAAACTGTTTTAACCCAAGTTATGATCCTGCCAGGTGCCCATGGATCTGGCGTCACGGCGTGGGAGTAAATTATGTCGGGACATGGATCAATCCCAATCCCCCCTCTTCCTCGCTGCCGCATCGCCCACGAGAATCGAATCTTTGTTGCCTAATCCAGCCTTCGGTATTGCCAGTCAATGATGCGCATTTTACGCTTTGGCGAACCAATGAATACCGGCGAACCGTCCTCGTCCTGCCACCTGACGCTGCTGGATTAATTTATGGTTTGGCACCGCCAGCTCTTAACGGTCGCAACTATTACCCTTCCAGTGGTCACTAGAATGGAGCAAATTCCCGACAATCGACGGTTGAGGATTGTTGGGGAAGGCCAGACGAACAACAAACCCTATGTTTGCGACTAGCTGGCCTAAATCCATAGCGCAGCACGCTACTCTGTACCTCCAGACGTAAATTCTCGAGCCCAGACAGTGATAGTCGGGTCTTAACCGCATAATTTATCAACTAGACAGGTACTAGTTGGGACCCATGCTCCAAACCTCCTTTGGACCGTAGTCCCAGTACTAGAGACCACGCCAGTGTGCAAGCCTGCATCTTAATCGAGCTTCATCTATCTGGTACTCGAGGGATGGCTCCTTGGAACCCTGGATACGAACCCGTCAGCCGAACCGTCAATCTCGTCGAAATAGACCTGGCGCAAACGCCCAGGCTGCGAGTGCATAGTAGCTACAGTACTACGTATGTGATGCAGCAAACTGTCCTGCGTGACACCGCAGCTGCAGCATGGACGGCGATGATATGACGGGCCAATTTATTGGCAATGGTTTGACAGGTTCTACCTTGGGCTGGTGCACTGCTTTGCGACGCACAAGCCGACCCGACAGTATCCCAATGCACGATAAGCTGTGACAGCGGCAGTCTTCTTTATGCGAGCCTGATGTGATTGGACATGGGACGAGCTGCATGTAGCGTAATATAAACCCATGCTGAGGACGACCAGGATGAGATCTGTCTGTCCCTCTGTTGCTTCTCTCCATCCAGGCCAGTGCCTCAGGCGATTACCGAATCAGGCAGGTCTGTTGCACTGTGTCCATGACTCGGTGGACACGGTCTAAACCTCGGCGTCTAGCACAACACATTGATTGAACAAACAGCCAATGTGACTGGGGTTCAATCTGATTTGCTAACATCACATCATATCAATGGAGTCGCAGCAATGAGAGCCACGGCAGCGGGGCAGTTGCGAACACTGCCTTCGGGTGTCGCTTCGCATCCAGCAGGCAGAAGTGGAAAACGGTTTATCCAGAAGGCTTGTCGTCTGGGGATCCATAATCAGACCGCCGCTGACGACAAAGTTAGAGGAGCGACTCGCCACACGGGGTTCCTCAGCATCCAGCCACACTGTCCCTGTCGTGGCTGGGAGACTGAGGCTGGGTGGAGGACATTCGATGGTTTTAGATTTTACCCGCCAAATTTAATGCGCAATTTGCATCCTGGACGTGGACCCTTGGGTGCTTGCCATTTCGGAGCAGGATTCTGCCAAGCGCCGACACTGATGAGTTACGAGTACGAGTTCGGAGACGGAGATCGGTGGTAAACCCGCCGACATGATCCTGATTTTCGTGGGAACAGACGACTCGTCCGGCTCCACCGATATCAGATTTGACAGATTAGGTGGGTTGGCGTGGATTTGGGCGTGGGGTCATCGGTAACCTCAGGTCCAGGCCAGGAAAATTGCCAAACATTCAAACCAGGGACACGGTCGTTTGAATAGTCTCATGCGGCGAGGTTGCCACTATCTATCAGTCAGCTGCTGAGAGGGGGCCGTTTCAGTTTTCAGACTGTATCCGACCAGCACGAAACTGATTATCCCCCGGAGAATGCCAAGGTCAAAGAGAGATAAAAGATTCCAGAGGACTCGACGTTAAAAAAAAAACCACTGCCCCGCCGGCAAGGGGCCCAACCACCAATCAGGTTCCGGCAACGGGTCCAGTTGGCGCAGGAGAGATTGAAGCGATCCGAATGGGCGGCTGGCTTTGGGGGCCATCCAGGATTCCAGTTGATGGTTGGATGCTCCGTATTCTCTAATTCTGAGCATTGGTGTTGAGTTAATTGTAAATAGTATTATTCAGGTCCACTTCAATGCAAGCCCGTAGGATGAGACCGCATGGCAACGACCCACGGTTGTCGAGTCTCAAACCCCTTGTGCGGCGTGCCAGATCCTTGCTCGCCAGTGGGCGATTTTGGCGACTGTCAGACGCGTGGACAACAGAGAGTGAGGGGATGGTCTAACCCTGGTTTGGTTTCAACTCCAGGGACAGGGACCTCGGCGGTTCCCCGTCGCACGTCCTGCTGGTCAGAACGTACTCGTATTCCGGCCGCCAATGGTATTTAGCGGAGTCTTCAATCGTTAACAGTGCCCGGTTGAGTCGAGTGTTCAAGGATTGTTATCAAAGCTAAAAATGGAGTTCCAGCGCATCCCCTATCTATCTGCCGTCACGGAAAATGTTCAAAAAATAGAAGCATCGGCCCCGTCCTCCAATGAACAGACGCGTAGTCTGAACTGATGCCATCATCAGCCTTGTCTCGCAGTTGAGGTGGCCAGGTCAATCCCCCACCCGACTGGTGATCTGTAAGTCGGATGAGGTCAGAACACCTCTTGCACTGCGTATCATCCATGGCAGAGACACAGCCACTTGGGGCAGGGCGGTTGATCAACGGCCGACAATCGCGTTGTCCTACGTAAGTAGGTCGGGGCGATGACCAGGATGCCAGAGGCGCTGTGGAATTAAGGTATGAATAGTATGTACTACTATGTAGGAACTAGGAAGGAGGAAGGCACGAGACGGCATGCCATGCGGAGAATTACCCCAAATTTCAGGCGCACCCTGGATCTACACGTGGGCCTCTCCTGGTCCAGTGACTGGTAGGTTCCAACGCATCCCGGCCAGGCGCTCGCCCCTCGCCTTCGGATGATCCGTCCGTGGGATCCATTCACCCCAAGCGAAGCATCAGCTGGTATGCCAAAGGCTGAAGGTTACCATTGTACTGATCATCGCAGTGTCTTCCGGTATAGAAAACACTCTTGCCGACGATGGCACACAGATAACGTGTGTACATCCAACCGCGCACCCGCTAGGACTTGAGATATCATCCCCTTCCTCGAATATCACCCCCACACCAATGCCACCTCCTCAAGGGATTGGCGAGATAAGTTGTGCTGTTTCTCAAAGGTTACTACTCGAGACTGACAGCCCGTGCGATCATTTCTAGTCCTCCCAAAGGAGGCCGTAGCGCAAACAGCTATTGCAACGTGGGGTCAAATGACGTCCCAGACCAGCCACCCGAACCAAATAATCCAGAAATGCCGCTGTAATCCTTGCCTATATCCTGACAGTATTAAGTCTCATTCATCCGCGCGCGTCGACCTTTTGAACAGATAATCCGCAAATGATGGTGGATGTTCCGGGAACGATTGCGCTGACGGTTTCTGGGCGCCATCCGACGATGGTACCCAGGATGCGCAGATAGCTCATCGGACTTCAGGTGCAGCGGCAGCGGCAAAGTCTCCGTTGACATTGGCAGCGTCCGTCCCGCGGACTTCCCCGGGTCTGGTCTCAAACAATCGCACCCACCACATGGGGGGATCAAAAGGACGGTGGCCACCGTGCAGGGACGGATAAACGTCGTTGAAAAAGTACCAGACATGGCCCACGACGACGCCGCAAATTTCGTCCTTGGGCACAATCCCGTGGACGACTAGGCTGAAGGCCATCAAGACCCAGGGGAGATACGGAGCGGTGAAGACCAGCATTCCAAGGAAGCTCAGGCGGGTCTCCGGGTTGCGACGACTCCAAATGTAGACCAGACTGGATGAGAGGGCCGTGCCCAAGAATGGCAGCGAGAGGAACGGCGAAAGAAGGAGGAGCGAGGCCATGGCGTAGAACAGAAGCCACGAGAAGTGGGCCGGCGATCGCCCCGACGACTCTTCGAGGAGGCGCGAGTATCGCTGCAAGAAGAACACATGGAATAGTAAGTCGAGATTGAGCGGTCCGAAGTATAGGAACGTCGTGAGCAGACGCCAATACTGCGCGAGGGTCAGCTGCGTGATCCGGGGCCCATCCTGGGGATTAGATGCGACGCACCTGCGACTTGACATATACGGCGCGAAAGCTATAGAACAGCTGAAATGGGGTGAGGACATGACATTGGACCAAGACCGAGGTGGCGACGGTGGCTGCTGTCCACCACCGAGTCACGGGGGGCATTTCATAGAACCATTGCTCCAGAGGGAACTGGCCAGCCTGCCCGCCGTTACCCCAGATGGCGGCCATGTTCTCGCTTCCAGATAGGCTACTAGAGTTGGGTCGGTTGGCGGGGAGAAATGCGACCAAGAATAAGCGACGGTGAGTGTGAGGGAGGATGTTTGACGGTATGTTTCCAGGAAACAACTTGCTGAATTGATAAGGGAACGATGAATCCACGGGGCCACTTTGGCTGTTGGCTGTTGGCTGCTAATAATCGCCGCCGACTCGCCGAGCTCCAGCTGGCCTTTTGCCTAAGGCCAGTTCCTTGGTCTGGGGTGCCTTGATGCCTTGATGCCTGAGTCACGCCAGTGTCAGCTGTCATGACCTCGAGTTGCACCCGCGCGCTTCCATGCCGGGAGACGCGCCACCACGCGTCTCAACAAGAATCCGGGTGGCTGGGGACGGAGCTCACCAGATAGTTAGGCCACTCAATGGGTCTTTCCCGCATGCAAAATCCCTCCTAACCCCGACAATCACTGCGATTTCGCTCTGCCGGTTGGCACTCCAGTGTTGGCAATCTACCGGTCGCACTCTAAAATTCAAACAAACTGGACACATCTTCGATTTCAGGTTGCCGGAGAACCAACAGCCTCTGCACATCCCCTCTCCACCGCGCACTTGCGTGTCACTGCCTCGCACTGTGCAAAGCAGCTCCGTGAAGCTACCCCTCCTTGGGCCCTCTCTTCTTCCCGACCTTGATCAGTCAATTCCTCGCCAAGCGCTCCAGCAATCAACATGCCTCCCAAGACAGGCCGCGGTCGCAAAGCAGCGGGCACCCCGCGACAATCCACAGCCGGCGACCGGGCTGCAGTAAGCGCTACGAAAGCCGCTGCGACTACATCGCCATCCGCTTCGAGAGTGCGCAAGTCCACTGGACCGTCCCGCGGGGGCAAGAGACCAGCCGGAAAGCAACCCAGAGAGTCCGATGTCCAGCGTACGTACCACCGTTGCAACCAACGTTCCCCGCCCACCTAAAGCGTACCAAGTTTAACAGACTCGCAGCTGGTGACCCCACTCCCCGAGGACGTTCACGCCGCTTCAAGCCTGGGACCGTGGCTCTCAAAGAGATCCGCAAGTATCAGCGTACTTTCGATCTCCTCATTCAAAAACTCCCCTTCGCTCGGCTGGTCCGCGAGGTCGCGCTTGATCTCCTCCCTTCAGATGTAGGCTCCGAGCTGCGCTGGCAGTCGCATGCGATCCAGGCGCTCCAGGAAGCCGCCGAAGCCTTCCTTGTCCACCTGTTCGAGGACACCAACCTCTGCGCCATCCACGCCAAGCGCGTGACCATCATGCAGAAAGATATCCAACTAGCTCGGCGCATCCGCGGTGCCTGGGGAGGTCTGGGTTAAACGCCAAACCCTTGTCATCCATGAGAAGGAAAAGTGGAAGTCGGAGCTGGAAGAAGAAAAAAAGAAGAACAGAACCGTCCGCCAGCACAAACCCCAGCTCCTATTCTATCATCCTCTACTCACGCTCCAATTTCCGACTCCTTCTCATTCCGAGCTTTGATATAATTTACCAGCGGGGGAAATCTCATCATCATTTTGTTGGCAGTTGGTGTATAGGTTGCAGGCGTATGGAGACTACGGAGTCATTCATTCATTTATCGAATGCGGATCCGGAGACGAGCCGCGGGGGTTTATTTGCCTATTTTGAGCCATTTCGTTTCAGTTTATTTCATGCGGTTTGTCTTTTTCTACGCCGTCGACTACAGGATCTGTCGGCGTGCATGTATAGCAGTAATACACAGTTGATGTCCGTTGAATCGAACATTGTGTATGGAAGCGGGGGAAGGGCTGAGTACATTTCACATGCCGTCCATCCGTCCATCTATCTATTTATCTAATTCTTCAAGGTGTTGTGTCTGATAAAGTGTGTATGTATGTACGCATGTATGTAATGTAATGCACATGACCATGAACCCCAATGGCACCATCATCCATTTCATTTCGTTCCAACGAACCGTCAGGCGGTTCTTCACCATTTCCCACACAACAATCGAAAGAACACACGCGATCTAAGTAAGTATACCTCAATCAACAAGATCCGGATCCGGATCGGATCGAATATCACATCACATCACATCACATCACAGGGCATCATCACAGCCCTATAAAACCCCCACACGGGCACAGACACTCACTCCCTTTTATCAAAGTCGAGTACGCCGTAGACACCCAGCGACGACGACAACAACAACGAGCCATACAACTAGACAAGACAAGACAACACAAACAAGGTATGATATGAGATGATATAGCCCCACGCGCATACAAATGGCCCTAACATGGTATCATGAACGGAACTTCAGCCGCAAGAAGAACTACACGGTGATAAAGGAGAAAACGGGAGAAAAAAAAGGGGAAAGAGAAATGGAAATGTAAGAGGGGTGGATGAAGAATTACAAAAGTTGCTGGAAACCACTACCTTTGGGTGGTGGCGGTGGTAGTACCAGCAGGAAGAAAGCATGTGGGAGTCACAGTGAGAGCGTGTGCGGATGTGAATGTGTGTTAAATCGGCCTTTTCAATGCCGATGGTAATCCCATCATGACACGGTGTCCTTCTTCCCGAACACCCCTGGCTTCCTCGTTCTTGCCTTGTCGTTCCAGAGTTTCGGCGAGCATCTCATCCGTCACGCTGACCCAGAGCCGGTCGTTGGCTTTCTTGGCCATTGCGCGACCCGCTCGGGCGCTCTTCTCCGCTTGCTCGCCGACGACGCCGCGGAAGTATTTCCAACTCATGAAGGTCAGGGTCATGCATGTGATTTGGCTGTTGCTGATGGCGGTGGCGGATTGGAGGGCTTGTTGGAGGTATTGTTTGGTCTGGATCGTGGATTCGGTCTGCACGGTGGCGCAGACGAGATAGTATGCTGCCTGAATGTACTTGTTGGGGCTGCCGGTGCAGAATGATTCCACCGTCGATAATATGGCAGGCAAGTGGGGGTGAGATGGATGGGTAGGATCTCGGAGGATAAGGACGGTATTCAGAGCGGCGAGAATGGCGATATCGCGACGTGGGTCGGTGCGAGCAGTCTTGCTGAAGGCTGTGGACAGAGACAGCAGAGGAGACTGAAAGGCGTTCAGGGCTGCATTGAGGTCGCCGGTAGCTTGCGCAATAGCCCCCGTAGCGTACTCCATCAGGCATTCGACAGTATCTGGAAGTTGATCGCCAAGCTCCTCCGCTTCCTGCCGAAGCTCTCGTAACGTCTTGCTGGCCAGCTCCCAGTCTGTGCGACCGCAGGCAAGGAATACTTGCTGGACAAGCAGGTTGCAATAGAGAGTCCTGCGCCACTGAACTCGTCTGTTTGCATTGACCACTGACTCGGTGATCTCTTGGGGCGCTTTGAAGCTTCCTGCAATAACATCAGCAACGCGTTGGGAAGGCTTCATACGATGTCCGCGAAAGCTAGCCACACTAACCTTTGAGCATACGCGTGCCCTCCTGCAGAAACTTCTCTGCCTTGCGTCCATCGTATGAGTTCTTACAACTCAGGGTGATAGAACTGAGGAAATAACAAAGCGCGTAGAGGTCATGCTGAGGTAGCCAGTTAAAGCTTAGCAGTAGCGTGCCACTCTGGACCTGAAGGATGTCCCCAGTGTCTATGGAAGACGGTCCAGCCGACTTGCCATTCAAGGGGATTGAGAATGACCCATCACTCCGCCAATTCGAGTCATTCAGTCTTTCGTCCATCAAGTCTTGCATGACTGTGAGCTTCTGGGAAGATTGGTTGATGTCGTAGTCCAGGAGACTACAGCAGATATCAACAATCTGGACTAACGTCGTAAGCTGGGGAATATGACGAAGCTCGTCGTTGAGTTGGTGACTCCGCGCTATCGCCACGGCACGTTGCGCTTGCTCGATCGAGTCGAAACCGGATCCTTGCTGAAGATGTGCGAGAGCTTCAATGATCGCGGACATGGCTGAAACAGCCTTATCGCCATTGCGGCTGGCCATAGTGGCAATCTTGTGGAGGTGTTGTAGTGCCGACACTGAATCTTGATGGGCCGACGAAGACAGGGAAAGGGACACTCGAAGGAAACGAAAAGCATACTCCCACGCCGAGTGGCGATATCTGTCAGGTTCAGCATGCAATACAGGAAAGAAAGTCATTGACAGTACATACGCTTCGACATCTTGAATCATCCCATCGACAGCTTTCAATGAGGCCTTTGGGTTGGTCTTATATAGCATTCGCGCCAAAAGGTGTTGCATACTATATTTCAAATCTAGCATTCGGTTCTGCGTTTGGTCAGTCCCTTACTATCAGGCATGACTCCCCGCTTGGAGGACAAAACGTAGACTCACCCGCTCGCAAAGGTCAATCTAGCCAGCATAATTAGTAAAATGCCAGCATAGCAGACATGGGTAAGAACGTACACCTTTGCTTAATGCCGTCTCCGCTTCAAGGTCATTATCCGTTTCCTCGAACAATATTCGGGCATATCGTAATCGGACAAGAGCTTCAACCCGGGGTTGTAGTCTCCAATTCTGCCCACATCAATAAGCATCGCCAAGAATACAGATCCAGAGATGAAGGGTCAAAACCGACGTACCTTGAGAACGGCTTCCAAGCAGCCAAGGCCAGTAGCAACTAATTTGTAATATTCATCCATCTCCATCTCCCGCCTCAACAACGCCACCAGGGTCCCATGGCTGTGAGCCGCGTTCAAATACTCGTCTGCCATGGCCAGCAGCAACACTTGATAGTCAATCGGCGAGCCTGTTGATTTTTGAGTGGGTTTTTGGCCGGTTTGGCGCTGCACTTGCTTTTTAGGGGGCGGACGCTGTGCCTTCTGCTGTAGTTCCGGGGTAGGAGCTGGAATTAACACCTGGACGGGCTTAGGGGATGGCGCCGGAGGTGTTTGAACGACTGGTTTGGCAACAACGGGTTTGGCAACGACGGGTTTAGCGACGACGGGCTTAGCGACGACGGGCTTAGCGACGACGGGCTTAGCGGCGACAGGCTTAGCAGCAACCGGTTTGACAGCCGGGGCGGGGGCAGGAGAAGCAGTAGCAGCAGCAGGTGGCACATGAACTGTCGGCGTGGTAGATGTTGGGGGGGTGATGGTGTTGTTGGGTTGGTTCCCTTGGTTCGGACTGGGAGCGGCGTAGTACGTTGATTGGGCGGGGGTAGACGAAGTAGGGAGGACAGGGGAGCGGCTGTTGCCCGCAACAGACACGGCTGGTTGTGCAGCATATTGAGACGGACTATTGGTGAACTGGGGAGGCGAAGTCGAAGCAAGAGGGGGTGGGTTGAACAGATCGGACGGGTTCACATATTGCTGTTGCGGCTGCTGCTGGGGTTGCGGATGCTGGGAGGGCGGAGGTGGTGGTGGTTGCTGCTGCTGCTGCTGCTGGGTGTTGTATGTCTGCGCGTAAGCAGGATAGGCCGGAATCATGACCTGAGGATAAACCACCGGCTTCCCATATTGATATGGCGAAGCGCTCGTGTTGACATTGCCGTTGTACAGTAGCTGCTGCGGGTGGATGGTCTGTTGGTGATGCGGCAGATTGGGGGGTTGCTGCATGTACTGCGAAGGATATGGGCCGTTATGGGGTGGTGGGTAGCTCATCGCCCCAGGACGCAGACAATGCTCATCAATCCGCTGCGCTCTGCTATTCCCGGGAAGTATATATAACAAGACGACGAGGATGCTCTTTCAAATGGTTCACTTCTTGTTCCTCTGAAGCGCGCCGCCTTTTCCGTTTCCGCGTCGGGTCGGAGAAACCCCCGGGCGGTCAGGTGAGGCGCGATCAGGTGAGCGCGCGGACGAACCATGGACTGGGCATTCACACATTCTCTTTATGCAGTGGATACTACTAATGTGCATTGGTGGAAATAAGAATATCTATCTATATCAATCAACCCTCCGCGCCCGACCACACTAACCAGCATCATGAAACACCAGGCAAGCCGTCAAACAGACTCCCAGCCAGGTTAATCAACCCTAAACTTCTTGCACAACGCCGGAATACAGCCGTCTAGCACACGTCACACACATGAGATTCATAACAGCAACAACCACAACATAACAGCATTAACGAATCATCCCTAGATCATACTAATCGAGGAATATAGCTGATTCATCGACTGATCTTGTATGGCGGGATTCAGGATATTCATCTCCAACGAGGGTGCTTCCTCCAGAGCTGGGTGTTCGCGGATCGTCCACGGACAGAGCTCACTGCAATTGGCGACATCAATCAAATTCTCCGCAGGATGGATTCGTTGCGCAGCCCACGCCTGATCGGGCACAGGCCCGGAGCCTCCAAGGCACCGTTCCGTCCAAAAATGGTAAGTGGCTTGGCCCGTCTCCTCGTCCAATTGACTCGGTTGTTTGCGAGGACACCGCAGCGAGGCATTGCATGTATTGCAGACGGATATTCGCTTGCACGACGAGCAGTGACTGTCATATAGCCGGCAGAGTGTGGTCTGGCAGACACTGGAAAGCCACAGGTCGACCGATCGATGGGCGCATCCGAAACGTGGCGTCATGTGCTCTTCCCTACCGAGCTGGCCGGACCCCGTCCGCAAACGGTACTCGGTCTTGATCTTCAACTGGCCCTCATCGTCCAGCTCAGGATAGATCTCTATATCCAGCTGGGTTGACCCATAGTTCTCAGTGCAGTTGTGCCAGCAGAAGCGCTGCTGCTTTATACTAGCGCCGAACTGCATCGCCAGGGCATTCATTGATTTCTCGCGTATCTTCAGAAGCTCAACCAGTTCCATCTTGTCATGGAAAGTCAACTTCTTACAGGGGCATAGGTCTACTATGCCTGCCGAGCTTCCCAGGTTACATGACCTGTCCTCCGGCTTTCGTTTCAGTTCTCGCGCGGGAAATGAGCTCCGTGGGTGGAGCTTCAAGCATCGGGAACAAGCCCGCCACCTATTATCTTCCAGCAAGTTTATGAACTGCCAACGCGGGGTGACGAAGTTGTGTCCGTTTCGATAATGGTGGAAGAGTGGCGCAAAGTCTCGGCTGAAATGGAGGGTTTTGGCCCCTAGGGTAGGTCCACATATCGAATAAAGCCGTTTACAGGTCAACGCCAGACATGCCTCGGGCAACACAGACAGATGAGAAATGATCTCCAGAAGCAGCTCTGTCGGTAGCGCAAGGAGATAGCAATTCCTCTCAATTTCTGTCTCTCCAGCCTTCCCTTCTAATTGGATCTTCGCCCAGCGGTTCATTTTCGCGATGGATCTCAACCTCTCCCCGGCCCGGCGGAAACTTGACCCCATGTCGACTGGCAGATCGGACTTCATCTTGTTGGTCGGAACGTTAAGTGGCGCTTTCGTGAAACTCTCCAGCAAAATTGATGTATGCTTGCTATGGTCTATCGTCGAAACTCCAAATATTTAGAAGTGGGATGAGTACCAGCTCGTCTTCTGAATTTAGGGCATCGTGGCGTTCTAGAAAAGACAACTGAAAGCGAGCCACATGATAAGGGAGCCGTCAGAGAGAAACGGAAAGGAGGGCCTTTTGACCTTCAAGTAGGAGCCCGTAAGGGCCGTCGATTTGCACGCAAACGGAGCACGCGCCGGGGTCACAGCGTAGTAGAAGCCGTCAGGATTACATACAACCGATGGGTCTTTGTTGGACCAAAGCGTAGAAGGCCGATTGTCTTTGCTTAATCGCCTTATTAGAGCCTGCATCCAAGCAGCCTATGTTCTAGACTGCTATGGTGTTAGTTCTTCGAGAACTCTCACCCGACTGGGGGAAAGGCCAAGGAAGTCTATGATGCTATCGGATCAACGCCTACACTGAGCTTCCGCAACCGGGTCAGGGTTTACCGCATCGATCTTGCAGCGACCCGCACACCCGCCCACAAGAATGTCCATACTTCTAAAATTGAGCCGTCAGTTGCAACACTGTCATCCACTGGGTCAACCAGTCCGGGTGGGATGGAAGATGCAACATCAAGTGACGTCGTTTGGGAGGCCCCATGATCGAGCTGGTCCCGCTGCTGACTCAGCAGGGACGGCTGATTTGCTGACTGATCAGGCCCGATAAGGCGCCCGATAAGCAGGTGGGAAGCCTTACCTGAAAGGGCAAAGAAGCCGAGGTCCGTGAGAATCGATGTCTTGGCCATAGGATTATTCTATCCAGGCACGGAATGCTTCTGCTTCTCTTTCCCTCCTTTAAAATCGGGCTCAGAAGGAAGGACATATTAGTTCGAGGATCCCTAGGCACTCGGATTGCTGTTCAAATCAAAGACAGACCTCCATGTCATCTGTGGACTCTCCCGTCAGCCTACTAAGTTCGTTGTCTATACCGCTCCTTGTGGCGGGTTTGCTTGTGATGGGCCTGTTCTCCTGGATCCGCCCTAGTGGCCGCATCTCATACTATCATGCGAAAGATAACAATCTTCTGCTAGCCAAGAAATCGGCAAAGCCAGGGTCCAAGGAGCAAGTGACGCTGGTGGACCTCTGTCACACTGCGACCCCGGAATCATGCCAGCTGAACCCATTTCTTTACAACGGCCACCTCCAGACTGCCTGGACAACGGTGGTCTTTGACAGTGTGCCGGTGTACTACAAGCGCTGGATGTTTGAGGCCGACAACCCGGTGTTTGCCGGTCATTTTGCGATCGATTTCGTGGTAGATCCATATGAGCCGCCTAGCGACGCCCATGCGACTGATAGCGAGAGGAAGTATACCCAGCCATCAGGGCTTCCCGAACGGACCGCGTTCTTTTCAGAGGACGAATATGCTGCGCTTCCCTCGGATGATACAAAACCTATGCTTGTGGTCCTCCATGGCCTGAGCGGTGGATCACATGAGCTCTACCTGCGCCATGTGATTGCGCCTCTTATCAAGGATCAGACCTGGGAGGCGTGCGTCGTCAACTCCAGAGGATGTGCCCAATCCAAGATCACAACGGGGGTCCTCTACAATGCCCGTGCCACATGGGATATTCGTCAAGCCGTCAAGTGGCTACGGAAGACATTTCCGAACCGGCCTCTGTTTGGCATTGGCTTCTCACTCGGCGCGAATATTATGGCTAATGTAAGTCTTGTCCGGTCCAAGAAAGTGCAGCCTGATTGACCGACGATTGTACAGTACTTGGGTGAGGAAGGCGATGCCTGCGAGTTAACAGCAGCAGTACTCTGTGCCAGCCCTTGGAACCTGGAGATTGGCTCGCTGAACTTGCAAAACACCTTCACCGGTCGCCAGTATAGTAAAGTAATGGGTACGAGCATGAAGGCATTGTTCGAACGGTGGGTATTCTATCCAAACGTTCTGTTCGATCACATCTGACTCTATACCATCAGGCATGTTGAACAGGTTTCCAAGAACCCACGAATCGATGTGGAGGGAATCAGGAACGTCACTTACTTGCACGAATTCGATCGGTAAGTCATTGCCCAGACATGTCCTATATGCCAGAGTTTGACTTGAGCCATGGCAGAGCTTTGCAATGTGCCACATGGGGGTACCCTACCGAGGGTGCCTATTATCGTGATGCTACTTCTACCGATGCTATGCTCAACATCAAGATTCCCTTCTTCGTTATCCAGGCCGAAGACGACCCGGTAAGCCAAGCTCTCAGCTCTGGCGTCATACACACTAACCTGAAGCAGATTGCCGTTGCTTCAGCACTTCCATATCAGGAGATGACCAAAACCCCATACGGTGTCATGATGACTACCTCCTGGGGTGGTCATCTTGGTTGGTTTGAGCTTGGCGGTGAGAGGTGGTTTGTGAAGCCGGTACGTGAACGCCGTCTACCTACTCCTATTTACATCGGCTGACTAATCCAGGTGCTAAATTTCCTGAATCTTATGGCGAAGGAAGTTGACCTCAGCGTTCCTTTCAAGGTCGAGGACCCCGAAAACGTCCCCGGTCGAATTGCCCACCATGCAGGTCCAGACAAGGACCAAGACACGGCCCCGAAGCCGGATTTCAACCCTACGCTACGCAAGCTCGTCATGCAGCTCAAGCGGTAGAGTACATCGCATAACCGATCAGTTGCTGATGATAGATCGGCGCTTCATTCGGAGATGCTCATCAGAGTGTCATGCAGCCATTGTTTTCGAAGACATAGACCAGTATAAACGCCAGAGACCCATCTAACTACATAGACCCGGTATAGACAGAATTACTTTTGTACATAAAATCTCAAGCAAACGCAACGCTTTTCTTCTTTCCTTTCGGTTTGGACGACTCCTTGGCTGGGGCCTCGCTTGTTTGGCTAGAGTCGCCCTTGTGCTTGCGTTTTTGGCGGATAGACTGTTTTACCTCGTCCTGTTCAAATTGGCCCGTTAGCAATCATATATAGCTCTTTAACAAGCGAACCGAAGTTGTTATACGTACCAGCTTAGACTTCTTCTGTGCCTGTCGAGCCTCGGCTTCCTTTCTCTTTGCCTCCCGGATCTCCTCCAGCTGGCGAGCCTTCATCATCTTGGATTCGATCTGTCCTTCCTTCTCCGCGTTCACCATGGCAAGGATGGTCATCATTCCCTCCTATCGCAACAGTATCAGCAATGCGACAGATCATTCATAGATATCAGGTGTACCCACCGCATCATCTACGAAAGTCTTTCCCTTCTTCTTGCCCTTGGGCTTCACGACACCGACGGGGGTAATCTGGTTCAGCTTGGGCAGACCCAGTTCCTCCTCGGTGTACTCTCTCTTCTTGGTCTTCTTCAACTGGCTGGCCTCGGTGCGCGCCTTCGACTTGACTTCCTTCGGAGGCGGGCGCTTGACGTTCTTCTTGTTCACTTTGGATCCGGACGAAAGAGGCTTGGTCTTCTTGCCATCATTCTTGTTGGAGTTCTTCCCTGAACCCTTGGTTGGCGCCATTGCTTCGGTTTACTGCTGCGTTGATATGGAGGGTATCGCAAGAGGGACGAAAATCTGGTCGCCCGGACAGCACGATAAACAACGACTGTCAAGAAAACAGTAAAATCCACGATATCCAACAAACCACAGCCGAAGAGAAGAATTGAACCTGAAGCCCCGGACCCTCAACTTGCACGCCGCCGCAAGAGAAATTTTTTGAAACGGGCAGGCGGTGAGGGGGTGGGCGGGAGGCATCCGAAGGCCTTCTTCCACTTCCAATCCGTCGTCACGCTAACTCAGGCTCTCCGAAAGGTTGGACCATCGACTTCCTTCCTCCCCATTCGCTCCCCCGCGCTCTCCTCCCTCTCTCTCCCACCCAGTGTGCCATTGTCGAGTGTCTCCTCGGCCGCATTCAAGATGACCATCAACCCGACCTTCCTTGCGCAGCGCACGCGCTCCTGTACGTCCCTGCCCCCTCCCAGGACGTATCCGACGGTCCGACCTTTAGAAATTGCCGCGACGTCAATGGCCGGAATCACGAGCTGACCTTTCTCGCCTTTGCAGCTGCCAACTGGGGCGATGCGAAGCGTCGTGTCCTCAAGACCTACAGGGAATGGCTTAGAGCGGTCAGTGGCCCTTGTCAATGATGATTTGCTTTCTACCGATGCCTGCTTGCCCCCCCAATTGCTTGCTGGCCGACTGGTGTGCACCGTCGCGCCGACCAGAACCTGCGCCGGAATCAACATACCACCCACGAATCACAAGACCTACAGACTAACATGCACCTGCCATTGAGACAATCTAGTCCCCCGAGATTCAGACCATGTACTCTCTGAACATGCCCGTCTCCGTGATCCGGACCAAGATCCGCCAGGAATTCGAGAAGCACCGCTACGTCCAGCAGCTGAATGTTGTCGATGTGCTGCTGTACCAGAGCCACGCTGAGTTCCAGGTGAGTCCGCACTAGATCTTGTTGGATGCAATGGGAGCTGGGCGGTCAATGGCATGCTATACCACCATGGCCAACCATATCCCGATCTCGCCAATCCACCAGTTCTATACATACATACACATATACTAACTCGCGCGCTAGGAAACCCTCAACTACTGGAAGCAGCTGTCGCATGTGATGAAGTACTTCCGGCCCGAGGAGGACCCCGGTGCTCGGCTACCCCCCAACTTCATCTCGGGCTTCTTGGAAGGCCGCAATTGATTGTCATTTATCATACCTCGTATTATCTTTTTTTTCCCGTTATCCTTAGCATTGAACGTTATTAGGCTCTGGCTCTGGCTGTGGCTCTGGGCTGATGCCGATAGAGTGTTATGTAAATATTGTCGGATTGATGGTTTGCTCTGTTTGGTAGATATGTAGAGTAAGACGGATATGCATGCTGCCATTGTACTGCAACAAGTCTATGCAGTGTATCTAGACCGCTACTTTTATATACAACCCAACAATACGAAAACGCAACAAGCTGGAATACTAGTAGGACTGTGTAAAGAACCCCACTAACCCTCCATAGATATCTATAACCCAGATAAGCAACTCACTACTACCCACCTACCCCAATAACCAACTGAAAAGAAAAAAAAAAAAAAAGAAAGAAAGAAAAATCAAGGAAACAGGTATATAAAACTTTTCTAATCATGAAGAAACGCCAACCCAAGATACCAATACACATACGAGCCACAAGCCACAAACCACAAACCACAAAACCAACCAATATACAAACCCCCCACCTTGAAAATCCACCATCTATTTATCCAACCATTCCAATCAGCTAAGCTTCCATACGATCGCCCTGAGAGGCATTGAATGCATCCCGCTCGGTGGTGAACTTATCCGTCACGACATCACAGAGGTCCATTAGTGTGTCGAGACCTTTTTCGAGAGCTTCGGTGGCGGTGGTTGTGTCTATTATTACATATGGTGTTAGTTGGTGTATACTATCTTGGTTGGGTTTGTTCCTTGGGGAAGAGGGGATAGTGCAGAGTGCAGATGGGAGAGGGGAGAGTAGAGAGGGAGAACGAACCATAAGTCTGAATCCGCAAATTCATCTTCGTCTCAGAAGGATGAGGAATCGTGTAACCGCAGAATTCGACCTCGGGGCTAATTGCACAACGTTATCGGTTAGCACTTATCCAACCACCAGAGAAATGGTACAAAAAGGTTAGAAGGTAGGGGCGAACGCACTTCTTCATAATCGCATATCGCAGGGCATTACCCAGCGTGTGACCTTCTCCTTCGAACTGGAATGAGGCGGCGGTGTCGGAGGCGCCGGGCAACTGGTGTTGGAGTTAGTGGGGATGTTTGAGGCCAGGCCGGGGCAGGGTGGTGTAGGGACGTACGACAACGATGCGCTTCTCCTCGAGCTCGAGGACATCGGTCTGCTCTTCTTGCTCTTGGGGCGCGGAGGCGTCCAGCATGGACTGGTCTTGTTCTTCGGAGTGGACGGAGGCGGGCATGTTGGGTGTGTTGGTGTTAAGTTGGTAGGAGATCTGGGGGTGGGTGAGGTTAGAGTGATTCCTAGGAATAAGTATCGGATTGAGGTGTAGGTTCACTGCAGCCCTGCGAGGCTGGAGGGCTGGAGAGGGGAGGTATATAGGAATTGTATGCTGTTGAGGATCTTGGAGGGGCGGAGGGGCAGACGCGGGGCGCGACTCACGGGTTCGGATGATTTTGGGAGGTGGCTCAAGTGCAAGCGGTTCTCGGTTCGTAAGAGTAGGTAAATTGATCTCTTCAGCAATCTGCAGCGTGGTATTTCGCAATAAACTGCTGCTCGATGCTCGTGAGGAGAAAAATGCGAAAAACGGTTATCGATATCTGACCGCCTTCGGAGGAGAGCAGCCTCACCGCCTACCAGTTATGCTTGGTTGGGTGGTCACGCAGTTGGCTGGCTGTTGAGTGGTTCGTGGCTGCTTCTGACATGACACTTTCTTTGTTGACAGCTGTATGCGCGTGACTCGATTGCGCATTGTCAAGGATGGCTACGGAGTACTCCGTACTCGTGAACGTATCTCTGAAGAGTAATCCAACGCCATAGACTCTATTGCAGCGACCAAAATGTCCTATTCAAGTACTCTGCATGACTATTCATCCGTCTTCGTCCTCGTACTTGAACTGCAGGATACGTACAGACCGTGTGACGAACTTTTCGCACCAGCCAGACGAGTATCTACAAACTGTCAGTCTGTCAAACATGAAGACACACAGTATGATCTACCACTATGCACACCTTTGTGTAACGGTGGCTTTCGTTCTCTGCCGGGCGTGGGAGCTTGTCCTGCCAAATAGGACATGCATTCCATTTGACCGGCGTGCTACAAGACCCCGTATAGAGAACACTGCAGGTCACCCTGGGACGGGATTCAATGTACTTGGATTGATTTGGTCTTGGTTGGCTTTTACTATTAGCGAATACCTACGGTTCTTGTGAGAGAGTCGAGTTTCTATAAATACCGTATGTGGTGTATGTGTTTGTGTGATAGCACTTTAAATGTCCGGTGCAAAGTACAAGAGTCACACATGAAGTTAGTGCAACGCTGTCTTATGTCCAGTCGGGTGTAATACTATTCCCAAATAATCCCCGAATCAATAGTCAGTCCTAACTACGACAGTACGTACGTAAAATGTTCCCAAGAATAAGAACAATGTCTATGATAATAATAACAACATAAGCGATCAAAGACGGGCCCCCTCCTCCATCACCATGATATTTGTTACTATTATTATTAAATATTGACGATAGCTTATTGCGATCGACGAGACACTATATCGCGTTGCCTTGGAGGAGGCTGCAGCAGTGAGCAGTGAGCACACGCCCCCTCTGCCCACATGGAAGCACCAATATTAGCAACAGGGCCGTGCAGAGCGGCGCCGTTGAGACTAGATCCAGGCTTAAGTCGGGGTGTTATTTATTATTACTTACTCCATATCATCTCTCCCAATGATGGGAATGTGATGTGACCGTTTAGATATGCCGCAATCACCGTGATATTAAACTATTTCCTTGGCATTGATAGCAGATATGCTGTGGGTGGAATGATGATGCGAGGTCCTCGGAGATAGTACGTAGTGGTTATCGTCATTAATATGAAGATGACTCCGTAATGACGAGCGATATGGCGTGGATGGGGTCCGTCGAGGCGATTTTGCATGGATCAGGGGAATACTATTTAACTTGCTCTCTGGGTTGCCGATGGCGTGGCTGTCGGCAGCATAATTGGGTCATACTGTCCAGGGAAGAGTGGTGTATTGTGTTGATGGGGAACGGACGGAGGACGGAGGGGTTCTCGCTCCGTCGCACATGGTTTCTAGGAACGACGATATCGCATATGCAGGGCATAATCTATCTCGTACCGGTTCATGGGTCCTAAGAACTCAGAACGTTCAAGTATCTAGCTTTGCCGAGCAAGTTAATCGAAAGTCGAAACCGCACCGCGAACTTTGCATCGTCCTGGAAATCTCAGCAACCTGACATGTCGAGACCCTGTGATGTGACCACCCATGGTACGACTCAGCAGGTCAATAATTTCTGGAGACGGCAGGGCGGACCCATAAACTAGTGGTTCACCGGACTGGATGGCAAGGCCGTTCCTTAATCTTATTTGCAAGGAGCACACGTGGGCCTGCCGGACATGGTCGAGTTATACCCAGTCCACAGGTCCGTCGACGGTTATGTACATAGCGGGTTGGGAAGTTAGATAGCAGGCTGAGCAGCTGTTCGACGATTCAAGCCAGCTGGTGCCAACTTCCCACTTCCCCGTGATCGAGCCGACTAGTCTAGCTGCTACTAGACCGAATCTCACTAGCGATCCCCGGGTTGATGAGGTGGTCCCGTTTAATATTACTCGCCTCGTGGAGCGGAAATGAGGGGGCAGCGATCGGCCCGGTTGATTGGTCCAGGAACCGGACGTATCCGCAGGTAGTTTTGATCTTCCTCCAGAATCCAGATAGCATGGATATTGGATAGTAGTAATGGATATCGCTTCCACCATCGTACCTCGGGACGGATGGATGGAGCCCTCCATATGTTACTATCTATCACCATATTGCTGCTCAATCAATAACCAGCCCCCCCCCGACCGATCCACATCCAATCCAACCTATTAAACGAGTCACGCCGACGCCGGTCCTGCAAGCATCAGCGCTGCAGCTGGAACAAGGATTGAGTAATAGTAATATCTATGCCACCGGCCCTGATGCAAGTCCGACCTGTGATGGAGCCATTCTGCATCGACTACCAAACCCTCGCGAGAACTAATTGAACTCTCTGGGCCACCTAGTTGTCGGTATGTGGTTCCGCGCCTTAGTTCCTGAGAAGTGGAGGTCCCAGTGTCAAAGTACTATCGGTAATCGGTATACGAAGGAAAGACGGTAATGAGAAGGGGACGATGAACTCGGTAGGTCCGTAGGAACCACAGTAATGAGTAAAGACAATCATCTATACGGAAAATTCCGTAGCAATTTAGGCTTTGACTCCGAAGACAAGTTTGACAGGCCCCATGTTTTGCATTGAGTCTTGTCTGAGTCAAGCAAGTGTCTGGCCGGCCGAATTGGCCGTCTGACCACCGAGCCCAGGCGGGCTGGTTGCACGAGGCTGGAACAAACCCAACAGTCGTTACACCCGGACGGCATCTCGGCTATCAAGGTTGAACTGGCTGTCTGGCTGTCTAACTGTCCAATTTACTCCGCGCCTGCACTGCAAATCTGATTGAGACAATAGTGTTGTCACAGAAAGCGAGCTAATCGGGCGGAGATGGCAGGGTTGGAACCCGAAGTTGATCTTCCTCCCAATAGTTCGTGATGCATGTGCTGGACGGGACCGCGAGAATTGAACACGAAACTGAATCGAAGGCATGGGAAAAATTCTGCCTTACAGTAGTTCGGTCGCTCGGGCCCCTTGGGATGTCGTCAACCAAGCAGTGCCGGGCGATCACGTCTAGAATTTTTAACTTGAGGCGGATGTGTGCGGGTGAGCAACGATGGGGGAGCGACCGGGCAGGTCAACTGATATCTGATGAATCCCTGGCTGGACCCGGAGTCCCACGGAGTCCCTTATGGATTGCGATAACAGGAAAGTTCTTTGGTTGATCTGGTCAGACTACGTACTCCATACTAGGAACCCGTTGGGGGCAAAGAAGCACAGTCAGACATGACATTGATTTCGAACAGCTGGTCTTCCCGGCCAGATATTATTTTTCAGGCGACTGTTGGCCCGTCTCGGGCATGTCACAATGCGACGCCTCGACAAAGACCAGAGCCGATCGTCGGACTGTGCCGCGGGATGATCGATCGATGGATGCATCGTGGAAGACCTGGTTGCCTACATTATCCGGATTAAGACTGACTAGTCCTATCTCCTTCCAGGTGTCCTGTTCTGAGAGGAACGTGGGGAAATGTGAGATGTCAACTTCGGGTTAATTTGTAAAACCCAAATCCTCTGGAGGGTGGAATAATAATCCTGACTGCAGGATGGGAGGGGAACGAGGGAGGTTACTTACTAGTAAGGAATTAGGATCATGTCTGACAGAAGGGTGGATTCATGGATCGGGGCAGGGACTATTGTTTCCACCAGTTTGGCGCCGGTGGATTCGGGGATGGTGAGGGACGCTGGTGTCGCAGGTGCGTCGCCACCAGGGGGAAGGGAACCTCTTTTTCTCGCTCCGTTACCCACCTGGCGTCGGACACCGACGATAGTTTGTTGGCACGGGATGGAGAGACAAGGTGACAACCAACCCTTTTCCTACCTTTTCCCACCCCGGTTGGGGTTTATCTAGATAGAACAGTGGCTGGAGAAGAGAAGCCAATATGGAATTCAAGATACGGAGTACACCCCCTCGAGGTGAGCGCAAAATTGCCGGCCGGTGACTGGACAGGGAACGTGAAGTTCCAGCTGTCTCACAGGCCAGCGGCAGTTCCTGGATCTCCATAGGTCGGATCCCGGATGGGTCGCAAGGAAGAGCCCCTACCTTACTTTAGTCGGTCGGGCCAAGAGGTACCTTTGTTCTGGACTGTTCATGCTGGGAATTTTGCTCGTTTTTTTCTTTTCTTTTCTTGAATTGCTTGTATTTCCCTCCTGCTCCGTGAATATGGCAATGTAGACGAAGTAGTCAGTAGACCGGACTCCCTAGACAGTCAGATGAAACAAATCATGAACTTCAGCTCATGAAGAAGAAGAAACACGAAGAATGTTGGGTCTAATGGTGCCAGCCCGACCAGAGTGGTGCTACGGACTGTCCAACCGATCAGCAGCAACCGCCAATTGTCACAAAAGTGTCACATCATCGACGGACAAGCCCTGGGCGGAAACAAACCATGTCTCAGCTGGTGCCAATCAGGTGGAATCCCTCTCCACTTGGTCTGAGCATTCAGGAGATTATTGGGATTGATCCTAGTCGGCTTGTCTATTTTCGATTTTCTAATTTCTGTCGTTTAATTATTATTATTATTTACCCTTGGGGTGGTGCAGTTATTCACCTTCCTTCCCAGGTGGATGGGATATCCTAAACGTCCCTAGTAATGCTCTTAGCGAGATATTTGCATCCATGATTTTGGGCCTTTTAGCAGTCGTCTTCTATCTACTGCTCCTGGCCAAGTGAGTCTCGCCGCTTTCCCCACATCCCATTCATTCAAGGTCTCGTCGCTCCATTGCAGCCCAATTAATTCCCACTCCCTGTTTGATGCTGATTACTATTTCTCCTGCTCGTCTCGCGCCGGTTCCCTGCCCCCCCCGGTGTCTTTGACTTTTTGGGGGTTCTTTATTTTAATTGATCTGAGGACTTACTGTTTTATTTGATTTTTCTAAACACCCCCAAACCCTGCCGCGTGTTCGGATGGAATGGCACGGTCCAACTGATAGTCCTTTCATCGTTCTGCCTAGTTCCAACCCTCTTCTGCCACCGTCTCATCGAGATTGAATCGACCGGTGGGATTTCTCCTCCATACCGGCCATACCATACATACCTCCCCATACATCCCATCCATACAATAACCCCGATCTCTTTTTCTGTCTGTCGCCGTCGTCGCTTTCTTCCTTCTCACTTCTTCCCCATTTTGCTTTTTTCCCTTCTCTTCTTCCTTCAGGGCCTCTTGCATGTCGGGTTTGTTTTAACTTCCTTTACCCTTTATTTATCCATATTATTTATTCTTCTGGATTGATCTCCATTTTTTTTTCCGTCTTCATCATCATCATCATCTTCTTCTTCTTCGACTACTACTACTTTCCTCCCCCTCCTTCCCCCCTCCTTCCTCTCGGCCCATTCAGCTCGCATTGGGGGCCAGACCTGTCGACCAAGTACCAACTAATCGCTGGAGTGCTCTGGATCACTTCCGGCCTGACCGACCTCTAACCGTTGTCACACTGCCGCCGGCCAGCCTTAGTTAACCGCCTCCCTCAAGTATCTGACCACTCCCCGTCGTCGTCCCCCTCCCACCACCTGTTTGACGACCTTTCCCTGGGGTGCCACACTGGCGTTGATCTCTTTCCCTCTCCCCTCCACCCTCCTCCGCTTCCGTGTGCGTCGTGCTGGTCGTTCCTTGAGCTGCATCCTCCGCCCACCCCATCCTGAGCTTAACGTCGACCTCCCCCCCCGAAGACCACCACTACGATTAGCCGCCTCCGCCGCCGAGCTCTTGCACCCGCGCGCTCTTTTGATCGGTCTCGACTCACCCTCCCCATAAATCCGGGCGCCTGTCAAGGAAAAGCTTGATACTCCACCTGCCCCAGCCTGTGAGACGTTGGGTGGCACAGTCTTTGCCCCGTACAGGAGGAACACTCTATACAGTGGCTGTGTGAGACAGCTCCCGAGGGGGGTTTTTCGTCAGCCTTTATATCGGTCCAGCTTCTGGGCGATTCCCTTGCATCGACCGCCTCTCCTGGTCAGCTGTGTGTTTTCGCCAAGGAGCTTTCCCGCTCCTTCGTGTCCAGTCGAACAGTTCACCTTTCGTTATCATTATGTCGACCGCGGTTGCGCCTGCCCAGGCTGCTCCGCTGACTTCTCCGCGTATGACCCGTGATCTCAGTCCGAAGAATTGCCCAACATTGGCGCCTGCGACTTCAAGTAATCAGACGAGTACTACGCCGCCGCGGCCGTCCGGTCCTTCCCGGGATGGTTCTTCAGCCAAAAGCTCGCCTGCAGGAAAGAAGCCGACGTCACCGTCGTAAGTAATCTGGATCGGAATCGCAAGTTAGGTTACGGATACAAATGCTGACGTTCTAGCAGTTCGCAGGCCGGATCCAATGCTGCAAGGGTCATCGTAAAAAAAGAGCCCCCGTCTTCGCCCGCCATGCAGTCTCATACCCGACCTCGCCCCCGACGATTGGACCTGTCTACTAGCCTCCCGAATTCCGGAGGGTTGTCCGCCCGAGCTCCTGGCGGCCCTATGACTGCCCGGGAGGGCGTTAACATGCAAGAGGTCGGGATCGCTTGTTTGTCTCCTGGGTTCCAAACGCAAAATCCAGCCATGAGGGAGCAATTGCAGCGGAGCTTATCGGTTCGGGATCAGCAGCGATCAATCATCGAATCGCGGTTACAAAAATCTGCCAAGGACGACGGACCCGATGGAATAAAACCATCCGAGTCATTTGGCATCCCCAGAGCCGGTGCATCGAAGAGGAGACCCCCGCCTGGCCTCTCTATCGTGCCTCCTTCAGCGGCTCAATTCGCCAGCGAGCGCGTTATCCAATCCGCACCCTTGAATCAGACATTCACGGGCCGACATGAAGCGCAGCCCTTGACTCGTCACGTCGTGAACCAAAGTCCGACTCTAGGTTCCACGTCGCACATCCATCATGTTCCTGCCACCCAGACTAACAATCGCCTACCACCGCTGTCTGATGTCTTTGGGTCGGACGCTTTGGGTGCCCGCGATCGTGAGAACAGGGGACTATACTACCCCAGCGCGACCGCTGCCAACCCGCCTCAGTCAAACAATCTCCCCCCGATACCTTCTCCCAGGATCTCGAGGGATGCCGCACAGCCCCCCAAGCGCCCCCGAGAATACCGCTCTGCGGAGGAAGCCGTCCAAGAATTGTCCGGCGGGCGCGAGGAACTCCTCCCGCGCATTGTACATTACGGCGGCCACCAACCCCCGACTCCGCCATCTCCCCGTGTGAGCAATGGACCCCCAAAATCTGGTGTGCCTCACTCGGATGCTACGCCCATGGCAAACGTGCATCCCCCGCAGCCTGCATTGTATCCATCGGAGGCCACTGCTCGTCGCCGTTCGAGAAACGAGTATGAACATGAACACGGAAGTCCGCCGTTAGGCCACGGCCCTGACCCACACTATCGTCCCAATCCAGCCTTGGCCTCTGGCGCAAGCGCCACTCATGGCCCATTCGGTGCGGGGAGAGACTCCCCTGAAACCCAGCGCAGAAAGAAGGAGGAATTCCTTAGTCTCTGCGCCCGTGCATGGGACCTCTTCCATTCCTGATCTATGATCAACCTGTTTCCAAATTTATCTATGAGATCTGAGTCGGACTATTGTGGTGCATGCCCTTCCGGACCATTCTTGAAGTCCTGGCATGCGGTTTCCAGTGTGACCCAAACTTGAGCTTATACAAAGGTATGATCCAGCCGCGGGTGGTTGCTTGGGAGCAATGGCCCGCGCCTAGACTGCCAGTCCACAAAATATTGTGTGGCGAGAGAACGTGTCTGGAAACTATTTTCTTCTGGACATGATGAATATGCAAAACTACGACTACCGATATGAACAGCATGAACAGTCGCTCCTTGAACAAAGGGAGGGTGGAACCCTTCCCCTTCAATATACTTATCCCGTTTACTTTTCTGCTTCTTATACCATCCAAGGCCAGACACCTTCAGCATCGTCTTTGATTGATTGATGTCACTGTTCTTATCCTGTCGTTCTCGAATCTCTTCTCTTGTTGCTTTGGTTTTTTTCCCCTCTTCGGGCCCCTCTTTGGGGGCCCTGTTCATTTGGATACGCGGCGTTACTTTGTTTAGGGGTTTAAAGATCGTGTTCTTCGAAGAATCATGTCTATATTGTTTCGAGGACCTCAGATTTCGGTGATCCGTGTCATTGATTTATGGCTTGTTGCGATACCATTTGTTTTTGGCCTTTCTTCTACATCTGTTTATCTTGGTATAACAATCGTTATTGGATGACTCGTTGGGTTTTCCTTCGCCACCTGGCATTGATAATTATTTCTTCATTTTTACCGTGGGTTAGGCACACATACGCTTCGGAGGGTTGAATCGGAACTGGATAATGATAAGTAATACCGTGTTTGTCAACCGACTCTTGGCCAGTCATCGTAAAAATTGGGTCCCAGGGGACTGTGTAAGAAGAAGACGAAGCGGGGTGAAGACGCAAACTCTATGTACAATAACATGATCAACCTCACCAAGGCCAGACAGACAACGCGGTCATGGCATTCTATGCCACTCGACGACGTTTCCAGTCGCCGCCGCCGCCGCCTCCACCGCTCCTTGGCCCATCGTCGTTGCTCAAGCCTCTGCGCTCCATTGGCATCTCTTTCCGTTCCTTGGCCGCGGTCTTCTTTCGTTTTCTCTCCAGTGCCTTGGTGCGGTCCCGGGAATTCATACCCTCGTACTTCTTGAGCAGCACCTGCTTCTTGAGATCCGACTTCTTCAGATAGTATGGGTTGCTCTTCTTGCCTTCACGGATGAGTTGCTTCTCCTTCTTCTTATGCTCCGCTAAGATCTCCCGCTCTCGCTTTCTGTTCTCCATCGTACGAAGACGATCTTGGGCCGATCGGATGGCACCTTTCAGAGCTTCTTTCTGCTCTGGATTCTTCGTCTTGGCATATTGTTCCTTCAACTGCTTCAGTTCATCGGCGCGATACTCATCCAGGAAAGCGTATGCATTGCTCGACCCCTGAGGGTTCCTGCGACCGCCATGGCTCAGCACAGTCGGGTCAAACCGTGGATCTCGTGATTTGGGCGCACTTGGCGGCTCGATGACTGTCCGCTTGCGCGAGACAGCATACTTGGAGGATTGTACGGCGGGGGCATGTTTGGAGGAACGAGAGGGCCTCTCTGAGTCTTTAGATTTCGACAGCCCTTCTCGTTTCTGTTCGCGTGCCTCCCGAATCCGAGCTCGGATATCGTCCAAGGGGGAAGAGGCTGAGGGGTCTTCTGCTGGTTTGGTGGATTTGGATGACCGTTTCGCCTTGGGTCCCAGAGAGGCTTGCGCTTTGGCTAACGCACCGAACGAGATGCTGCTTAGTGAAGCCTGAACATCATCCTGAGGGGCGTCGTCATCGTCGTCGTCTTGGCTGTCTTGGTCGTCCTCGTCATCTTCATCTGTATCATTCTCGCCATTCTGGGACTGCGCCTTGGTCAGCACTGCAGATTAATATCCTGGAAGCCGCGAAACAAACCATATCATCATCCTCTTCGTCTAGTGAACCATCACTGGCATCTTCCGAGCCCGACTCGGCTGAACGTAGATCGTCGCTCGCCACGTCTGACCCAGACTGGTCCGAGTAGATCTCCTCGTCATCCTCAGCCACGGCTCGCACACGCCGATTCAACAGGTCTGAGATAGCCATCTTTCGATTGTGAGGAGAGATGAGCAGACAACCAGGGTCTGTCTGGATGATGAAAACCCAGGCTGGCCGGGCGGTGAAGCCGGTTACGAAAAAAAAGTAATGTTTCTGCCGCCCGCTGAGGCGGCGAGGAGGGCGGCTGGGTGCTGGTTGGTCTGTCGCGATTTTCCGGTTGCCATCTTCGGGCCTTGCCTTGCGACTCTTGTGTTATCTCCTCCCGCTTCGTCGCCGTTGTCGCCGCCGCCGCCGTTTTCTTCTTCTTTTGTCTCCGGGCTTGCGTCAAATTCCTGAAGGCCATTATTCCCACTGGTCATATCTAATGTCGCGGGCGCGCCAATGCTGCTCACTCCCACGTCTGCCTCTACTTGCTATCCGGCCTCGTCCCGCCTCCATCGCCCCCTCTCCTGATCGCAAGTTTCGAAGTGGGGGGTCTCCCAAGGTGCGTACTCTCGACGTGTTGGTCGCGAAGGGTAGATTTTCAGATAGTTAACACCCTTCACAGCTTGGCCCGGAATTAGTCGCTTGTCATCGCGCCCCTCTCGCACTCCGCTCATGCTTCCATTCCTCGACGAACCGACCCCAAGTCCCTGTCCGTAATAGCCGGACCGTCGATCCCAACATGGAACCCCCAAAGCCTCCTACAAATAACACATCCGGCGTTGACAATCGCATCCGCCCCAACGGCTCACCTGCTATTATCCCATCTGAGGAGAAGCCGTCATGGAGGCCGTATAAAGGCCGTTGGAGATCGAGGAAGGCGAACCGTAAAGGCACCGACGAACTCGATACGACGACACCGGAAAGTGCTACAGCTCCTAGCGCGCGGTCATGGCGACCACGACGAAACAAACAATTCGCTGAGAGGAGAGTGCAGGAAGAAAGGAATCTACAAGCATCACAGCCTGTCAATACAGCATCTTATACACAGGGTAATCCGACTCAAGCCGGTCCTTTGAATTTCGAAAACTTCAGTCCGGCTCCAACGTTTCCAGGGTTCCCGGGTGGCATGGCCATGCCAAACGAGACTGGCCTAGGCTTTCAGCAGCCTTTTTTGCAGCTTCCATGGGAGCAGCAGCAATTATTACCCCAGCATCCTCTGGGCCAATCCGCACATAATCCTCTCAATTTCCCTACATGGAATGATCCCGGCGCCTTTGCCGCTCAATTCCCTCCCATGCCGCCACCCGCATTCATGAACTTTGCCCTTACAAATCCATTGATGGCAATGCCCTTACTCGGCCCTATGGCCTTCCAAGCAGCCGGCTCTGCCAATACGCCCAGCCCCCTTCCAGAGTCTCCCTCAGCTGAACAGCGTGCAGGAGAAGCGAGACGGGAAGCTGCTAAGGGGTACAGAGACAGGGTTCGGACGGTTAAAGCCGACAATCGTAGGAGTCCTCGTTCTGAGTCACCCGAGGTTACGGTGGAACTGAAAAGACCCATGCCAACAAAGGCCTATCTCGATCAGTCGTCTCAACCGCCCAAACGAAACTTCTGGTCGCAGCCTCTTCTGGTCATCCTCGACTTGAATGGTACACTTGTCCACCGGAAAGACCGTTCGCTGCCGCCCCGATTCCAGAGAAGGGCGGGATTGGAGGATTTTCTAAAGACCCTGTTGAAGAAGTATAAAGTCATGGTCTGGTCGAGTGCCCGGCCCCCCACCGTTGACGGCATCTGCCGACAGCTCTTTTTGAGCAAGAGCCGCAAACGAGTCGTTGCAGAATGGAGCCGAACCCACTTCAAGCTACACAAGAAGCAATACAATGCCAAAATTCAGGTCTACAAAACCCTGGACACGGTATGGGCCGATGAAGGCGTACAGGCTTCGTATCCTAGCCTCCGCGCTCCGAATATCTCAGTGCCCGATACTTTCCAAAAGACTCGCTGGGACCAGACCAATACTATTCTAATCGACGACAGCATCATCAAAGCGAGCAGCGAACCACACAATCTCCTCGAGATCCCAACATTCGATGAATCTGCAGGCCCGGAGGACACTACTACTTTGGTTAAGGTCTTGAGGATTCTCGAGGAACTGGCCAAACACGACGACGTCAGTCAGGTACTCCACCACTGGCAACGTACCATTTCCAAGGGGTCCAGCATTCTCGACCTCGAGTTTGAACATGAACCTCAACCGTACGGCCCACCCACCTTGGCTGAGGTCACCGAAGCCCGCAAGCAACAGCGCAAAGCCCGGAAACGTGCAAGGGCTGCGGAAAAACGCAGGGGGGCTAAGATCAACGAGATAGGAGAGCATCTGGCCGCAAAGACAGAAGTGCCTCCCACCACCCTCCCGACCACCACCACCATCATTTCCGCAGAAACTGCAACAGCCGAAACTGACACCACTCCCGCGCACGTTTCTACTTTCTCCTCTCGTCCTCCGTCCCCCGCATCTTCAATTTCCTTGCCCGATTCGATCGCCGGTGGCACCACCGTCCCTGCTGGGCTCGAAGAAACCAATACCACCACCCACAGCAGTGATTCAACCAACCGCTCACCATCTCCCGCCCCATCCACTCAATCCGAGAACTTCCTTCTCGACCGGCTAGAGGAGTCATTGAAGAACGTCTAAGCGATTGATACTACATTACTCTGACTGCTATCTTATCCCTTCTTATTTGGTTTTGTCAGATATTCTGATTTGGAGTACATATCATTCGTCTGGGTATTTATTTGACTTGTTTGGGGTCGGAATTTTTGGGATGGGGGTGGGATACTGGTGTATTTATGGCAGGAGTGATATGTATATAGGCGGTGTTCTATGTAAGGATTGAGATCGCGGGGTTGGGGTTCTGGAACAAGAGCAACGAAGCCGGTCCGGTACTGGCTGGTTGCGATATGCATTAGGTTGGTTGGACTACTATGGGCACTGAGCATATGGGGCATGTGGAGTCATGGACGCATTTAGATAAGAGAACTTGCGATAGACTGCTTAATTAACGGATACAACAGTTACGAGGTATTGTTACATCAAGGACAAGTGATGACTCATGGAAAGCACAAAGTGCTAGTTAGTGGTTTTGATTTTGACTAGCTACTGCTATGGTCCATCACAATCGTAGGCGTGGCATTACGCATGAAACAAAAGAAGTTTTCTTTTAAAGGGGATCAGCCAAGAATGAAAACACGTAAACCGGACCATCAAGGGCAGTGTGGAAGAGGGAGGAGGACTAAGGTGAGGAGCGACAGACGGGATGGATGTAGATCGGACGGAAAATAGCGTCCAAGTTTACATGTATGCCCCGCGGGGGCTACCCGACGACAGCTCCCCACCTGGTGGAGGAAGGGATGGCGGTTTGGAGGCCGAGTTTCAATCTAGGAGATCGCCCAACGAGAAAAGGAGAATGGGATATCATCATCGTGAATTGGCTACGTCTAACGCACCAGCTTATTTGAAGACGTGGCCGTCAACGTGGGGGAGCTCCTTGCCGTCAACGACGACCGGGACATCCCAGGCCCACTGGTCTTCAACGAGCTTGCGGTCCTCCTCGTTGGTGGGGTCGAGCTTACGGAAGTCGTAGCTCTCCCAGTCGGGGGCAACCTCGAAGGCGGGGGCGAACTCCTGGCCACGGACCAGGAAGACACCCTGGATGACACAGGCGTAGTTGGCACCGTAGACGGACTGGGCACCGAAGAGGTACTTGCGGGAAGCCTCAAGACGGGCGTGAAAGCCACCGATCAGGTTGTTGGCCATGAAGGTAAGCTTGAGCTCGTCGTTGTACTTGTAGTTGACGGACCACAGAGAGTACTCGTCGGGGTTGTAGTTCTTCCAGAACCAGGGGAGGGCAACGGGACGGGTGTCCTCGTTGGAGTACTCGCGCTTCAGGTCATCAAGAACGAAAGTGGGGCGGCCGAGAGCCTCAAGGGGGTGCTTGGGCTTCTTCTCAGCCTCGGGCTTGGGCTCAGCGGGAGCGGCGGCGGCGGCAGCGGGAGCAGCCTCCTTCTTGGGCTTCTCCTCCTTCTTGGGAGGGGTGTACTTGATGGTCTCCTCAACGAAGACGGGGTTCTCAACGATAGCCTTGAAGGCGGGCTGGTTGACAATGGTCTTGTACCAGCGGGTGATGGCAACGTTCTCGTCACGGAACTTCTTGTCCAGGACGGTGGCGAAGGCACGGGTGAGGAGAGCGGCGGTGAAGTAATCAGCCAGGGTGATGCGCTCACCAACCAGGTAGGTGTTGGCAGTGAGGTGGGTGTTGAGAACGCCAGCGTTCTTCAGGGCAGCCTTGGAAGCATCCTCGACGTTCTTCTTGTTGTAGGCGTCAAGGCCAAGGAGAGGGCGGAACCAAGCACCGAAGCGGGGGAGGACCTCGGAGTTGGCGAAGGACAACCAACGGAGGATGGAAGCGTAGTCCTGCTTGGTCTTGCCCAGGAGGGTGGTCTTCTCGTTCTGGGAGGTCACTTTGGTCGAGTCAGCATTCGAGGCCCAACAATGACAATGGCAGCATAGCGAAAGTCAAAAAAAATCTCTTCCGCCCCAAGTGGGGTGGTAGATATTTTCAGAGTTACACGTTATCAACATAGTTTGTTTTTTATACCTTTCTGACAGGGATAACTTGAAATAAAATTGCTCATCATAAAAAAGAGACTGTAGAGAAAAAGAAAACGGGGGGAAGAACATACAGTAGACAGCGATGGCAATGGACTCAGACAGAGTGTAGCCGTTGGCACCCTCGAAAGCGGGGATCTTGCCGAGGGGGCTGAGCTTGGTGTACTCGGCCGACTGGTTGAAGGCAGCGGTGGAGTTAGGCTCAGTCTTGACCAGCTCGACCTCAACGTCGTTGGCCTTAGCCGCGACGAGGGTAGCGATGGTGCGACCGTTCTCCTGTGGACTGGAATTAGCCAGCTGTCCTCAGCGAGGGGTAATCCCGACAACGCTGTTCAACCCATTGAATGGAAGGAAGAGCAGGCCGAGAAGAGGCAGGCAGACATACAGGAAGGCCGTAGATCTTGCCGAAAGACATTGTGAAGGATGTGTGGAAGAGGGGATGGGGAGAGGAAAGAAGGAGAGGAAGAAGAAGAAGAAAAGGAGGGGAAGAAAGAAAAAGGCAGAGCTCGAGGGGTTTGGCAAATTTGTGCGAATCAGACGGCGTCGGGGCCGGAGCAACCCGAGCCGCCGGTCACGTGCCCGCGGCTCGAAAAACCTCAGGATTGTCCCAAGTCGGCACAGGCGAATGTGCCGGTTGGGTCGCTGGAGTTCTTCGTCTGCTTTCCCCACTCCTCTTCTCCGAATCGTCCCTCCAGGCTCCTGCCAGCCGGTCTGCTGCATCATGGCCTGGCAAAGCCCCAATGGCCTTGTGCACGCCATGCACTCTATCCGTCGAGCTGCTCAATTGCGGCCTTTCCTCCAGCGCTCCGTGATCTCCGCATCCCCCATCTCCTCTCCCTTCACGCCCACTGGCCTCCGGCAACGCATGAGCGCTCGCGGCTTTACGACCGAGCTCCAACCCGTTGCTGCCCCCGAGGTTGACTTGGCTGAGTTCCCGGTCAAGCCAGCCCGCATTATTCCCGTGTCGGCGGCCTACTTCTCCGGCAGCCCCAAGTTCATCGACCACCTGCTGAGACTTGAAGCCCTTCTCGCGAAATATGCGTCGTTACCAACTGTGTCCCCCAGCGACGCCCCCAGAATGGCTTGGTTCAAGCTGCTCCAGTTCCGGGATGTGGTCGGCGAACCGGTCCCGACCAAGAAATACAAAGCCCTCCTCAAGCTCCTGCAGAGACTCAACCGGATCGACCCCACCGTCGCCCCGGAGGAGGTGCGTTCTGCTCTGGGCCTCTTCCTCCGGCCGGGCAATCCGTTCGGGGTCAAGCCTGCCCCGGCTACAGTGGATGACAAGGGTCGAGCCCGTGGTAAGGGCAAGCGCAAGGCGTCCTCGGCGGTGGTGCACCTCGTCGAGGGTGAGGGTGAAGTGTTGGTGAACGGCAAGACGCTGAACGAGGTGTTCCCTCGTCTACATGACCGCGAGAGTGCGGTTTGGGCTCTGCGGTGTACGTCACGGCTGGACAAGTATAACGTGTGGGCTACCGTCCAGGGCGGAGGAGTTACTGGCCAGGCGGAGGCGATTACACTGGCTGTGGCACGGGCACTGTTGGTTCACGAACCTGCCCTTAAGCCTATCCTACGGAAGGGTACGTATATCTCCGGCTCCCGAGAGACTGGAGGATGGTGCAATTTGCTGACCGATTTCTTGTACAGCTGGTGTTATCACGGTGGATGCCCGTCGTGTGGAGAGAAAGAAGCCGGGTCATGTCAAATCGCGCAAGATGCCCACCTGGGTCAAGCGGTGAAGGCGCAGCCGACTCCGACCTCTCTCTGGGGAGGGATATTCTCTCTGTTCTTTTTTTCTTAATTTCCTTGTTGTATTATTCCACTTGGCCTTGTGATTCTTGACGAAAGTATATCCTGTATTGCAAGCATCCCAACTCGGTGTCACGGGGGTCGTTTCAGGACGCGACACTGCATGTTCTCGGCGATAAGCATGTAACTATTGGCGTTGAACAATTGAACCGAATTATAGTGTAGACCTTCTGTGCGACCAGAGCTTGAAAGTGATTGGCCCAGGCAGAAATGTCTCGTTGACTAAGATGATTACCAGAGATGATATGGTTCTCTGACCATCCTTGGCATGATGGGGTCGATGAGCGAGCCCTCTTTTGCCCGTCGCCTGAAACGAAGCTGAAAAGCGGATGTGAGTGGATGTCCGGACGACCAGAGCCGACACCCTGTATCTGAGGGCAACTAGAAAGGGGCAAACGCGGTCGGTCTTAAAGGAGGTCGAAGTCACATCACCGGAACTCCCCAAGCTAGTTCATCCGACTAGTATTCCCTAGGGTCCGACGAGGAAACCCAGCCTGGTAGCGACCAGAGTTCCGTTGCACAAAAAGCCCCAAGCGGTCAGTAGTGTCAGAGACCAGGACGCGACTATTCATAACGTGGCGCCCCAATGATCTGGAGGGGAAAGAGGGGGAGCTGGTGAACCTAATGGGGTGGGCCAGAGGGGTGCGTTCGCTTCTTCGAGTCAAGACCGACCGACGGGAACCTGAAAGTGGTGACACAGAGAGCGAAGCGAGGTTCCAGATGAGTGAGTCTGTCTCCCGGAGCCCGGATGCGATAGGAAGGTATATACGGCCAGATCTTCATCAGGTGGTCGTCGTGTCGTCATCCGTTCGATTGGGAATCCCTCCACCGCGACTGGAACAGGTCTTACCTTCCTGGTGCCATGGCCGTCATGGTCAGCGCCATCTTACATCTTGTGTTCCGGGAGTCATGGAGTCCTGGAAGTGACTCTATTGGACGATGCGATCGAGATTTGAAGGTGGGAGGAGATGGCTGGACGACCAATTGGATACAATGGAAGTAAGTTGGATGAAGGGGGCCTCGGTCTGCTTCAACCTATGGGGTGAGAGGTGAATAGAGTTGCCTTGATGATGCTCATAGCTGATAATGATGGTGACTATTCCGGAGGGGTATGAGGGAGAGAATGGGACATGGTCGGTACGAGCCCAGGTACGAGCCCCAATGACGGCACCAGCTCAGGGAGAGAGGCCAAGCATAATACCATTATGATAACCCCTATGGTGGAGTGAATGTTGGGATCCATGCGGTGTCGTTTGTTCGTACTTTGTTCGTACTTCGTTCGTGCCATTGTTCTCATTACGCAGGAACACATTCCAACTCTGCCAGAGGGGTTCACCCTTGAGCATGCAGTTGTGCGGACAAGCTTCCGATTGATACCGAGGAGATCGCATCGCATCGCATCTCCAGATATCGCCGAGACTAGCGCCATGTAGAGTACTTTGCCTACTCCGCCGTAGTCCAGTGAGTCAACGTCACCAGAGTAATGACAGGACACTCTGCTCCACAGCTGGCACGAGGAGCAGCTGTCAGAACAAGCACGAGGCAAGCCCATCGTATGTCGCTCGTCCAATCGTCCTTGACTTGACGATCTCTCTTCTCGATTGACCACTAATCGATGCGATTGATGACTGTGCTCCTGAGTTCAAGTGTGAGGGGTGAGGCTGGAACCGCCTCACTTTCGTTCCCATGAACCTTGGAATCATGTCCCCCGTAACGGAGTATGTACTTCGTATATCCCTCAGCATGTCTCGGGGCCATGATTTGGAATCCTTCCCATAGAGACGCCGTACTTCTGCTTTGAGATCACGGCCCCTAGTCTAGCCTTGGTCTCTGACAGGCTCTAGGCGGCGCCGTCTCTCCGGATGCCGTTCTAGTGCACTTGGCTGGGCTGGCTTGTTAAGCCTTACACCCCAGCGCACTACTGCTAGTCCTAACATTCCAAAAACAGACGGGAGAAGATAGACGAAAAGAAGAAGAGAGTAGAAAAATAAAAAAAAAAAAATCAAATACAAATCAGACAGCCCGGTCTTCCATTGCTGCGGGCTAACTTAGCTCGCTCCAAATGCAGCGCTGCAGATCCCCCTGTCTGGCCGGACCAGCGTGGGCTCCATTGGTCGCCGAAAGGTGCACAACCTTCCCAGCAGGCCGGAAGGTGTGCGACCCGGCGGCTTAGCCAGGCACGGCACGATCATATACTTTAGCCATCGATCGAGATACTTGGATGGCCCGGATGGGTTCCTTGATTGCTGATATGACGACGCCCGATCTGGTCATGTGGGTGTGAAGAAGAAGGTTGCAAAGAAAGCAAGAGGAGGTCCTGCACGCCGGGAGCCATGCCCCAAGGTGGTGGCTGGACCGCTGCATGATGCAAAAGCCATTATTTCCCCGACTCGGTACTCCATCCTGGGAACCTCACTTCCTTGCGTTCGCATTGAGGTAGTGCACGGATTGATCCACCTTCCAGCTCCCCGGTTTCCTCGAATCCCAGAGAGCGGTTCTTCCCGTAGGCCTAATCCTATCTTCGTAACAGCGAGCGCCCATCACGGATGTGTTCCATGGAACCGGCCCGCGGAAGTGATGCGACCTCTTGCCCTGTTCTGAGTTTTCCTTCTGTTGCTTCGAATTTACTTTTGGACTACTCGGTAGACGGGCGTAGATCTTCCCGGCAGCAAACCCGATCCAGAAGACTGGTACACGGTTCTGTGCATGGACCAGAAGACGATCACCGAAATAGCGTTTCGGAAGGGCTTTAACTTTAAGAGCTGGTTCGGGGAAGTCGGCCCAGTGCGGCGGAAATCAATCAATCAATCAGTCAATCAATTAATCAATTGTCGGGTGAATGGGGCTCAGGATTTGGAATGATGGATGGGAGAGAGGGAGGTCAGCAGTAGTGCTAGTCTGGGTGGCATTAGTCCCTGGCTACTAGTCGATAGTCAGCTGTCAGTGAGGGCCATGGCGCTCCGTACCTGACTATACTCCCTGGGGACTTACTTATCTGCCCTGTCTCTTGGAAACTCGGCCAGTTAACCTTATCGGATCCTCCAGGGTGAGATCCAAGGTGCAGCACGCGGCGGGACAGAGAAAGTACGGCACTGGCGTCAGGATGTACTCCGTACTCCGTACGATGTAGAAGGTCGGGGGGGGAAGTTCGAGCAGGTAATTTCAGCCCGGCCAGCAGCCCCGAGTAGCCCCGCGCCTCGTGTCTGACTGATCTTCAGCATGATCACGAAAGATTCCTTGGTTCCCAATTTTTCGAAGGAACCCGATGGATCTGAGGCGGTTCCTGTGGGGGCCACCATTCTAGTGAATAGGGATCCTCCTGCCCTGTCTTGTCCAGTGTCCACACCCTTTGGCTAGTAGTTGTTCCATCCCCATCATCATCATCACCACCACCACCACCATCCGCTGAAACCTTCGCATCCTTTGCCCGCAGTCCCGACGGACTGGTCCGCAAAAGAAATGAGAGCTGATCAGCTAGTAGTTCACTAGGAGGGACCATTCTGGGTGGAAGCCAGTGAATAATGCTGCTTCGGGATCTAGTGTGTCCCAGGTCGATGGATCCAGTTTCCCTTGCCGGGTGGAGTGGAGGGGGGAAATGATGGTGTAGAATCATGCCCGAGGACAAACAACTTCCTCAGTCCATCTATATGGGACCCCAACCAGAAATCTCTCCCCACCCCATTCGGGAGCCAAAATTAAAATCAAATCCAAAATAAAATAGAGGAAAAAATTGGAGACAACCGAATTGAAATTTATTTGTTCATGGACCAGTCAAATCCGGAGAAAATGGGGATTGCAGGGAAACTGGCAGGAGAAAAACAAAAAAAGAAAAAAAAGGCCTCCTGCACCTGGTTTGATTGCTGGATTAGCCTCTACTTTCCCTCGTTTCTTTTTTCCTCATCCCAGGGATTTTTCCTTCTCGGAGGCCGTCGTTTGTTTTTCGCCCTCGTTTCTCGCGCTTTCTAGTTGCGGCCGATGGCCTGGGGTTTCTTTTTCGGGTCTGCAAGTCCCTCAGATGGGTCTGTCTCTCTGTCTGCCTGCCTGTCATGTTCGGTCTGGTCTTTAGCTGTTTAGGTTCCCACTGGTGGAAGCCGTCGAGGCGAGACAAGACGAGACCGGACTGACCAGAACCGAACAGACGGACTGACCTGATACTGACGCCTCCTCTGTTTCATTGTTTCCTGCTGTCCATCCCGAGCTGCCTGATCGACCAGCCCCAGAGGCTTTCCAATAATTTTGCGGATCATTCTCCGGTTATCGCCGTCCCATCAGACTGGTTGCTCGATGCTATAAGTAATCCGTGCATCCCAATCATCCTCTGCCGGTCCGCTGGTCCCCCACTTCTCCCCTCTTCACTGTGTCTCTTCATTTTGATCGTCCTTCTTCTCCTCCTCCTCTTTATCATCTTCATCTTCTGGTTGTGTACTATAGTTGGTGGGACGAACCAGCAGTCGTTGGTCGTGATCTGTCGTTGGGAACACAAGTGTTCCTCCAGTCAGTCAGTCGGCTTGACTCCATTCACGCCCAACCCATTAATCTCCTCTGGTCTGGCATCTGATACCGGGCCACTTCGCCTCCCTTCCCGTCCGAGCAGGATATACCCCTCCCTCCCGCTTTTCTTTTCTCCCCCCACCGTCTCGCCTCCCACATACATAGATCGAAAACCCTGGTCGTGCAGTGCAGTCCATTCCAACAACACGGCGTCCAATCACTGTCGATCCCTGTCTGAATCAGACTCGGGCTTTTTCTACAAAGGTGCGCAAGCATAAAACGCAAACAGACCTCCTTCCCCTGTGCGCATTCTAATCCCGGTGAATGGGCAGCGACTGATCGGTGGGTGGCTATCTAGATCGCGTGCGCTGGTTGTACCCGCGTCCCTGCGCTGAAGTGAAACCCGTGAGACCTTTGCGCGCTTACCTGCGAATCTTGTTGGCTTGGATCTCAATTCCCTGCTAGCAGGAAAAGCCACCGAGCGAATAAGCTAGGGCATCCCGCATCCTACTTAGAAACAGCCGATCGCACATCCCGCCAAGCTGGAATCCTACGTGAGCCCGCCGCTCTCCCCGCTCGCGCATTGGTCTCTCGGCCTCGATCCAGTGCGTAGGGGTATGGATGGCGAGATCCGGCGCATGAAGCAGCATGACCCTCAGGCGCGCTTTGCGACCAGAGCTGGGATGTCCCGCCGCACGGCGGATCGCTTCAGGCAGGCCGGGGTCCCCTCCGCACGTGGAGATGCGTCCCAGGCAACAGGGCGTCCTCGGATGCCCACTTACCTGGACTATGGATACACAGACAGTCCTTTTCAGGGGAATGAGTTGCAACCATACCCACCGACGTTGCGCGACCAACAGCGCCAGCAACACTCAGTACACCAGCCAATAGCTCCTTATGACTCCGACATGGTATACAACCTCAGCCAGCAGGTCCCAGCACAAGCCCCGTACGAGGTGGTGCCACCATACCCAGGACGGCAGTCTGCAGCGATGGAAGGCCTGTCTAACCAATTTGGTGTTCCACAGTACTTCCCTCCAAATGAACCGACGGGCACCGGGGTTCCGCCCATGGGGTCGCCCTACCTGTCGTTGCCCCCTTATAACCAGTCCGGCGGCATGGAACGCTCGCACCCTACGCACGTATTTCCTCCAGCCATGGACACTCTGACCTCGGTGGCATCACAGCAGCCTCCGTCGCCGTCGCAGCAGCAATTGCCACCATCGTCCCGGGAAGGATCTGAGTCGACTGGTTGGAAGACATTGTATGCGCAGTTTCAACACGCATTACGAGAGACATTCAATAGTACGCGGGCCGGCCGATTGGTAGAGGCTAGTAGTTCACTTTTGCAAATCTCCGAGTGGCTTGTGGCTAATGCGCGGGATCTCGGTATGTCCTCTTAGCGTTCTCACCAATTTCCAGCCCAATGGTTTTACCCACCCTTCCCTCCTTCCCCGGGCACTACCTGCATGTACTTAAAACATGGTGCATGATTTGCAACTCGTTCCATGCATGGAGCATGGCGAGGGCCTGAGCGACTGGATAACGAACTTTGAGGCTAATGCGAGTGCCGATGGCTATGATTAGGTATTCTCCGGGACGATCAAATGCCTCACGGGGATCGACTACAGATCTGGAATGATTTCAATATTTGTTGGCTTGCGGTGTGCCAGAAACAGAAAGACTTGGCTCAAGAAGTGTTGCAGACCGGTCGCCAGCCGCCCCAGACTAGTCTCCTTAGTGGCGACGCGATGGACAATCTGGGCAAGGAGCTGATCCAAATCTGCGATCGGATGGAGCCCCATGGGCTAGTCGATTACCAGATGGGGATCTGGGAAGAAGAAATCCTTTCGAGTAGGTGTTCCTAACTTCCTCGAACTTGATTCCGATCGGAGGAATTCTAACCCGCCTGCCAGTTATGGGTCAATGTCTGGATATTGTCGAAGGTCGGCCAGATGTCTTCGGCTCCCCAACCTCGCGATGACGGGCAAAAAAAGCCCTAAGCTGGAGGGTGAAAAATTTGGGTTGCCGGCTCGACGCCTCGCCAGACTCGACTGGATCGTACTTTTGTGGTGGCTGGTTTAGGGCCTCTAACGCAGGGACTAGTTTAGTTAGTGGATGGGAGAAAGCCAAAGCGACGCCCGGCACGGACTATCGATTGATAGGTCGCGGTATCCATCGTCATTCGTGGCACGACTTTTCCTTGGTCTCTTCTTTATTTCCTCCTTTTGTCTCACTGACCAGGCCATGGGCACCCAGGTTTCGACAAGTCAAGTGTGTTCAGGCATCGCCCCCACTCCCTGCTGGTCCCTCGTGTCAGACCATTCCCGGGAACAAACTCCGCCCTATAGGGGAGCAGACACTTGAGGATCGCAGCGGCGGAAGGAAATTGGGATGAAATCCCCAACCCGCATCATCGAAAACTAACAGGGTGTTACGTATTTCCCAGTCGGCGTTTGAAGGGTAGTGTACACACCGCACTACGGTTTCGCATAAAAGGAGCAACGACCTGGTCGGGCGCAATGGTTGGTTTCAGGATATAGAGCTGGACGGGGGTTGGGCTGATTTGCTTGGTTGGGATGGGATTGTGTTGGCGGGCTGTGTGCGACTCGAATGATGGCGGAGTGCGGCTGAACCGGATCGAATCCTGCGGCAGCCCTTTTGCCCTTTCGGTCAACCCCCGAGGAGTGATGGATGCCCGGTTTCCATCAGCAAGCAGGCGATGGCCTTGGCTGAGATACTTGGATCATTCCCTGTTCCTCGAGGGAGTGCGCTTCGATCTTCGGGCATCGTCGCAAATCAGGTGGTTGGTCGCATGGGCGGGATTTCTTATGTGACTGTACTATATTTCCTTTGTGATGATGTTCCTTTTGTATTAGTTAGGACTAAGATACCCAGATTAGCATAATAGGTAGTATTAGTATTAATCTTACAACTCCTCGACCATGACATCCAACTCCATCCCAGCTCCTCCGCTACAAAGAATCAGATTACATCCTGCAGACGCACCCAGCAAGACATCCACCCATGCACATGTACAGCTTAATCCCGACACCTAAGTACCGACATATCTTCCTCCGGGGATGCCATTCCTCCTGTATAGTACTAAATCTGCAAGATCCATCGATCGGTCCCGATCAATGTCTGACTCTGACGATCGATGCATCGAAGCCCATAGAATCATCCAGAATGCAAAACGAACTATCTTTTTCTTCCCGAGACGGGCGTTTGGGATTCTGCAGCTCGAAAATCAAGGTAGGGGTGCAGTAGTGGGGAGGGGATTGTGGATGGGTGAATGGGTAGATGAGGGGGTGTGATGTAGTAGCATAGAGGATGGGGAAAATGGGGGGGGATTGGGCTTGACTGGTCTGGGGTTGGGCTGGGTTGGGTTACTGGGTAGATGTTGGAGGTGTATACTTAGTTGGGTAGTAGTATATAGTTGGAGCCTGGAGGAGTTGGGTACTTAGTACCTATCATGGATATGGGATCGGTACGGAGTACATAAGTATCTATCTATGTGGTTTGGTAGTGATAGGATCGTATTGTTAAGGTGGTAGTGGGAGGAGTATGGAAGCTTACCTACATGAATTCAGTATAGAAAGTTAGAATACGAAATTTGGAGATCTATGAATAGGAGCACGTGGTCATATACGAGCCCCCCCCCCCCCCCCCCCATGATACACAGTACATATGTAAAGTTAGGTTCGGTTCGGTTCGGTTAGGTTGTTGGATGTAGTACTGAAAACCTTCATCTTCACTTTCTATTGGATGGCAAATGATCATGTGGCTGATGGAACTAATCCTACTGCCTACATAGTAGGAAGACTAAGTACTAAGTACGGAGTACCTCTAGCCTGGAAGTTGGTTGGTTGGTTGGTTGGTTGGTTGGTTGGTACTTTCTCCCGTCTAGTTGGCTGGCTAGTCTTTCCTGTTGGTGGTACGGAGGACAAAAGTACTACTACCTACGGACCTGGGTTAGGGTCTCGGTGGGTTATCTACATGCTCACTAGAAGTCCGGGTTCTTTTCGAATGGGGTCTGAGACCTTGGGTTTGGGTAGGTGCTATCGCTATCTGAAGAGAAAAAGACGTATTGGATATAGTTCAATACCAGTGAAGCAGATGTTGGGAGCTGGACGATATTAAGTTTGCTGATTCGAGTATGGACTGGTTGGCTGGATTGGAGGTATGTAGATCACCGACAGGGATGGGTGCATGGATCGCGTGATCTACTGACATCTTGCTTATTAGGGACAATGGTTTGTGTTTGTGGCACTACTATATGTGGTGAGGTCAGAGTAGGTAGGATCGATGCTCGTTTCACATAGGGTGTTCCTTACGATTGGAGAGCGTTTGGGGAGAAGGTATGTGGTAAATGTTAGAAGGAGTATCTCATCTTACTACATATGGTCTCTTTCAAAAGGTTCCTCAGGGGTTTCTCATAGTGTAATCTCCTTGGAGAGAGGAGGGTTTAATATATCCAATATGATCCAGATATATATACTATTGCAAAAGAACAGTGCAGATTGAATCTATTGGGAAGCAATGTAGCGCTGACTAAAATGCCCTCACAACTACATCAGAGTAAACAGTTCACCCGATTTGGTTAGCCCCCCTTCGCCACTGGTTGTGTGGCGGGGGAGATGGTGAATCGTCCAACACGTGGCTGATGTGGCTGGCCCCCATGCCCATCACACCGCTGCTGAGTGGATGCCTCGTTCATACACCCCAGAGATGCCGAGATGCGCGATTCTCACCCGCCAGATTCTGACGCCAGACAGAAAGAGCTGACTAGGCGGGGAGAGAGTTCCTCACGCCTAAATCGGTCTGGCAGGGTGCGACAGAAACAGTGGACCCCCAAGGTCAAGACCGGCTGTGTCACCTGCAAGTAAGATTGAGTCTTCGATCGCTGGTGGATGACATCGTTGACTAGTCCAGGATCCGGAAAGTCAAATGTGATGAAACCAAGCCGAGGTCAGCCCCCGCCGTGCACAGCATATATAAGCCAGGGCCAGGCCCACTGACGTCCACATCTCCATAGCTGTCAAAGATGCTCCTCCACCGGACGAAAATGCGATGGCTACAACCCGGTACCCCAAAAGCCGACGTCCAAGGCTCTCAAGGTAGTGCAGATGCCCTCCCCTTGGGAATTACTGCCAGGGGACCGCATCGAAATGGAGAGTTTCCAGTTCTTTCATTCGGTCACTACGCCTAATCTGGCTGGCTTCTTTGACCAAGGCCGTTGGGCTTGCAGGTTGCTTCAAATGTCGCATCAATACCCAGCACTCTGGCATGCCATGGCCGCGGTAGCAGGTGCACATCGAAATTTCGTGACAGACCGTACTCCTATCACTGTCTCGAGATCGCAGGATAACAATGAAGTCAGATTCGCACTACGGCAGTGGAATAAATCCATTCAAAGTCTGCAAACGCTACTATCAGGGCAGGACCTGACCAAGCTCGACAGACTAGTCGTCCTGAGCATCTGTCTCCTGTTTACCACATTATCCAGTCTACAAGGCCGACAGTCGCAGGCCTTTGTGCATATCAACAGTGGGCTGAAACTACTGCACCACTGGAATCTGGCGGACATAGCCGGATGTCAGTCAGACGAGGATCTGGATCTGAAGATGTTGTTCATCTTGTTTTCCCAACTTGACTCGCAAGCCCGTCCGTACCGCTTAAAGAACCTCCAATGGACGGACAAACAGCTCACCCCATCATCATCCCAAGCTCCCTTCCAAAGCCTCCTCGATGCCTGTGTCGCATTAGAGGTACATTTCAACCATATGATGCAGCTCTTCTCAGACCCTTCACTATACACCCACGGTCCGAACGCAGAAACGCAGACCAAGAAACAGAAATGCATCGACAACTTCACCGACTGGGATAACAAACTGGCCCAGTTCCTATCCACAACCCCCCAACCAGAAGACAAAAAAGCCCTAAGCCTTCTATACATCCGCCGCGCCCTCGCCCGCGTGGCCCTAACCATGGACTTCTCCAAAGGCGAACTCGCCCACGATGACTTCACCCAAGACTACGCCAGCATCCTCCACCTCGTGAGCGAAATCCTGGAAGCCCCCAATCACCAAACTCAAAATCCACCCCAACCCCCCAAACTAAATTTCTCCCTCGCAACCATAACCACAGAGCCCTTGTTCCTGGTCGCATTCCGCTGTCGAGAGCCGACGATCCGAAAACAAGCAATGCGTCTGTTAAGACGATTCCCAGGCCGAGAAGGCATCTGCGAGGGCATGACCGCCCTGAAGATCGTAGAGAAGGTGATTGAAATCGAAGAGGAGTGTTTGACTAGTGCGGAGGGTGCTTGTACGAATGGACGCTGGATATGTGGGAATCATCGAGTATCGTTGCTGCAGTTCTTCTTGGTCCATGAGAGACAGGTAAAGACTGTGATGCATACGGGGGAGGACTTGGTGCTTGGTCGGTCGGGGAGAGAGCTTGTCACTACGTATTGGTGAGGGGGGTATCATTATAGATAGGAGGTACTGTTACTTCGAAGTTATGCATCAATATTCCCTATCACTGATCGATTATCCTCCAGTTTAGATCCACGCATCCTTCACACTATCTACCGCAAAAATCCACCATAAACCCTACAGACCCAGTAGTCTTACCGCCGCCTGCAGTAACGATGAAACCGGATAAGGGGTAGTTATCACCACAGGCGACGGGACGAACTACCTAGTGGCATCATTGCAGATGAGCTTGCCTCGGGTGTCGCAGTCACAGGCGCAACATCACTTTCACTCACTGGAGTCGACTCAGTAGGGTCAGCATCCGTGGTGGTCGACCGAATCGAAACTCCCACGCAGATCTCCGTGTCTGGAACTAATCCCTCATCACAGGTTCTTTTCCCTGAGATATCCGGGTTCCAGTCTAAGAGCTCCTCCATTGTGATGCCGTTGTTATGGGCGATGAGGAAACATGTGTTGGATCTGGAGGGTGTTAGTTGTAGTTGAGTGGTTGGATGAATGGGAGGGAAGTTACAATGAAACTAGCCACCACTTGTTGCATGCTTTATTCACGCCGGCTTGACTGGGGAAGGCTGTAGGAATGGGCGTTGTAGGGATAGGTCGGATGCGGGTGGTGGGGGTGTTGGCGTCGGAGATGCAGTAGTAGTAACCGTTCTACAGAGATGGATGATTTGGGTTAGTATGAGGTTGTGGAAATGGATAAGGTGGAGGAGGAACGGGATACCTCGAGAGCGATACAGTCTTTCCCAACATCCGGGTTCCACGCCACGAACTGTGCCTGATCGAACGTGCCGAACATATCCAAGATCAGGGAACAGGTATCCCCGTCCTCCTTTAGGTACCAGCCTGTGCAGTTCTTACCAGTGTACGGCTTTGTTGGGTAGGGCTGGTTTGTGACTGTAGGTGGAAAAGGAAGGGTCGAGCTGTTGTAGGCTGCGATGCAGTAGAAGTAGCCCGGCTGAAGACCGGAGCAGTCGGGGTGAAGGGCTGGGTTCCAGTCGTAAAGAAGAGCGGGCACGAGGAGAGGATTGTTGGAGAGGATCTCTGTGCAGCTATCGGACTGTTATCTTTGAGTTAGTCTATGCATGTTAGAGAGCATTGGAAAGGGGGGCTGAGTGTACAGGTTTGGCTTCGTAGAAGATCGAACAGCTCGGGGCGAGACCCGGCTGGGTGTGAGTGGGAGGATAGACTGTCGTGGAGTTGTCCGTTGGAATGGGACGGGGAGTCCAAGGAGTGGGATCGGGGATGGAGACCGGGTCCGTGCCGGTGGGATAGACCAGAGTTAGGGCTGGACGTTTGATGCCCACACACACCCAGTAGCCGGTGAAGGGGTAATCACAATCTGCCTTGAGCTGGGGGTTCCATTGCAGACTGACAATCATATTAGCAACGGCAGACAGGGCTGGAGAATTGAGACTTACAGCTCCTCTTTGGTGATGGTGTTGCGGTAGCGCTGGAAGATCCTGTCACAGGTGTCACCTGCCCCGACTAGATGCCATTTATCGCAGTCTGTGGGCTGGCCGGCCTGGGTTTTGGTTGGAGGCCACTGGTCATCAATAGTTGACGTGGTCACGTTATAGGAGGTGATTGGATTGCGGACAGAGTAGGTCGTGTTAGTGGTTCCCGTTGTGCTTGGGAGAGTTGTGGTGATCGAGGGAGGGAGCGTTGCGGAAGTACTAGTAGAGGAAGTACTGGTTGAAAGAGTTCTAGTCGAGGAAGTGATGGGAGCGGTGGTTGTCGACGGGGGCCCAGCTGTGGAGCTAGTTGAGGTCGATATCACCGGTCCAACACCCACACAATATGCATATCCCGGCCAGAAGTTCACCGTACAGTCCAAAGAAACAGCTGGATTCCACTGTTGGAATTGCTGAGGGGTGAGCCCGAATGCTTTCTCAACCGCATAGCAGGTATCACCCTGGTGAACAGTGTACCATCGATTGCAATTGGCCGGGGCCCCTGTCATGGTTGAGCCATGGGGAGTCGGATCACCGGTGGAGGCTGAAGTCTTGGAAGTCGAAGTTGTCGAAGTTGATGTCGTGGAGGTTGTAGTCGGGGCCACAGTTCCTATGCCCACACAATATGCATATCCGGGCCAGAAGTTGCCCTGACAGTCCAAGGAAACAGCCGGATTCCACTGCTGAAATTGCTGAGGGGTGAGCCCAAAGGCCTTCTCAACTGCATAGCAGGTATCACCTTTCTGAACGGTATACCATTGATTGCAACTGGCTGGGATTCCTGTCATAGTTGGGCCATGGGGAGTAGGATCAGCGGTGGTGGTGGCGACGTTGATAGCCAGTGTCTGTGCAGCGGCCATCCACGCCAGCAGGGAAATTAGCGGGATAAGGGGGAAAGCCATGATTGTGCTCAGGAGATGATGAAGATGGAGATTGAGATGGAGATTGAGATGGAGATTGAGATGGAGATTGAGATGGAGATTGAGATGGAGATTGAGATGGAGATTGAGATGGCAGAGAGGGAGAAGGAAGGGGAAGAGAAGATATAAGTGGGAGGGGGGAGGCCGGGCTGGTCACCTGCTGGGGGGAATCCCTCTTCCCTCCTCTTGCTGTTCCTCATTCTCTTTTACTCTTTCACTCACTTGAACTCAGTCAGGTTACTGGCACAGTCACTCTCACCTCACAGCACGGCACAATCCATTTTAGGCTTCCAACTAACACTAAGGAATACAAGTTTCTTCACCATCACGATCTAGAATAATCCATTAAGTGACCTGCTCCCCCTCCTATTCCCTTCCCATTCCCTTCACACCCAGCAGTCCCTCCATTCACTTGCTAGTGGTCAAGCACAATGGCTGAACTGTCGAAAGAGCGCAAAGTAAGGGCTCCGAATATCATTCCAGAACGGCAGCATTGGATTGGCCCACGGGGACTCATACATGGCCTCCAATCCGGCCACATCCAGTGTACTGGGTGTCCAGGACGACTCCCAGGTAGATGTGTCCCATCTAGTGAGAACCGGTATATGGTCTTCATCAATGCTATCACTAAAAGACTGGTAAAGCATGATAGAATCCCAATCAACCATGCTGTCGTGTGCCCACCACGGGTGCGGTGTGAATACATCGGTGGCCACTTCTGGAAGCCAGTCGCCGGCACTAAAGCCAATCTCCTCTGCGGATATGATATCTCTGCAGACACCAGTCTGTCCCCAGACGTCGTCCTCATACATTCCCTCGGTGATCTCCACGAAATCGTGCAGGTGCATACAGTAGAAGCGAAAGACCTTGTCGGCACCATTGGGACCCCAGAATGAAGGATTCTGATGCTCGTGTAAAAGTCCAAAGGCATGTCCCAATTCGTGAGCAGCCGATTTGATAGTCCATCCAAGATTCTCACGATCAACAAACACTTTAATGGTAGGTTTATCGACCTCGGGTTGATCTGCACCACTCCTCATGCTGATTAATGGCATACCGATGTCGCTGGCTAGTACATCACGCGTGCCCTCAACGTACAGCGATTCAAAAGGGTTGTGGATGCAAGCCAGGCGGTTGATCTCGAGCAGTCGGAAACTCTCGGGCAAGCCGGCTGCATACCATAATCGCATCGCAGCCCAGAGAATGTCATGAAATGTGTCACGGGTTTCGTCACTGTCATAGCATAGCGGGATGGTCGACCTGGGCCAGAGCTGGTACTTAGCCCCTGGTTTGATAAAAAGCCATGCGGGGCTGGAGAACCGAGCATGCTCCCAGTCAGGATGACCGGCATCAACCACGGGGAAGATGGACAGCAGGAGGAAGACCACCCAGTGTTGCAGGGACGCCATTGTGTCTGAAAAGAGAAGCTGTGCAGAAATAGGAGGAATGACAAAAAGAACAGGATGAGGAGAACTAGGAAAGGTCGGAGGGCGAGAAACGGCTGTTAAATATCCATCCTAGGGTGTGGTTGATTCACAGTCTTGCAGTGATATTCACAGAGCATGGGTAGGCCACTACTCCACACTACGGACTAATACCTTGCACAGAAAGCGAACGGGATATTTTCAAGCAGGAAGTCTATCAGTCAAAGCATCTACAGCTTGCCAACCACAGCGAATCCCCGCCCATTCTGCCTACTGCCTACCGCATCCTGCATACCACGTCCCACCTCCAACATGCATCGTTAGCATCAGTGACCATGCCCGCCATGATGCTCTCTTCTCCACTTCTTCCATCCCAAAATATCATCTTCATCGGTCGTCCCCAGGTCGGGTATGAGCGCGGTGCGACGGGGCCGGACGATCGATCGATTCTTCCCCATGCCCTCGCCGAATTCCCCGATCAACGTCCCGTCATCCAGATCGATTGCCCAGACCATCGTTCCCCCGAGGCACCGCTTGTTTGCGTAGTCGAGCTTCAACTTCAGCGTCTCCTTATTGTCCGTGCTTACCCATTGGTCCTTGTCCCAGGTGATCACCGTGACTGCTTCATCCTTGTAGAGGGTGACGTCCGCACCGCCCTTCTGGATGATCTTGTTGATCTCGTAGGCAGCCAACACCCCTGGCGTGCCAGTACATTCACCAGCGCGCGCCCCAGCTGAGAATGGACAGCCGGGCTTCAGGCATCCAGGGTTCTTCATTGTAAAGCTACGGCCGTAAAAGCCTAAACCCAGGTTGACTCGGGCCGGGTTGATGTTATTGCGCCAGAGAAGCTCGAGCGCGGCGTTGATCTCGGTCAGGTTGGTGTGCGCAAAGGCATACGGTCCGAGCTCCTTATTCGTGGCATCCCAAAGACCGTCTACATGATTCGTCAGTCAAGAACCTCTGCACGGTGCAAGGGGAAGTGGGATCATACGGATATCATAAGTCATGATGTTGAAGAAATCCACGTGTGGTTCGAGATTGACAATGTCAAATCCTCGCAGGTACCAATAGGAGGCTGGCTGTGCGGTGTCAGTCCCTGAGACGTGATCCCTCTTACGAATGACTTACCAAAGTGATGGACACGCCGAATCGTCGACCGGTCTGGTTCAAACGCTCCCTCAGGCGCTTCAGCAGCGTCACAAAGTTGGCAAAATCTTGCGGTTTCCCACCCCGGTCGTCCGTCACTGGGTATTCCCAGTCGAGGTCCACCCCGTCAAAGCCATTACTCTGCATAAAGCTGATCAGCGATTCGAAGAAAGTGTCCTGCGCAGCCTCAGAGGCGGCCAGATCGGAGAAGGCGGTTCGAGTCGGACCCGGATCGTTCATCGCCCAGCCCCCAATGGCAATCCACACCTCGAGGTTGCCCTGTCTCCTCTTTAGGGCTGTCACCGATCGGTACAGGGAGCCCGTGGTGTTGTCCATGGCGGCGATGCGGAACGTCTGCGGGTCGATCGAGGCGAACGCATAGTTAAGGTGCGTGTAGTAGCCCAGGGGAATGTCATCAGGAGCCATCTCTGTCCGTGGTTAGTCCTATGGCTGTGGAATGGACCTTGGAGGCAACTGACTTCCGCAGGGGCGCTCTATGTTCCACGCTTCATAGTACCCGATGGTGCGTTCACGGGCACTGGTACCACTGCACTGGGGAGAGACAACAACGGAATTTCCGCAAAAGTCCCGAGAGGTTCCTATTGCCGGCATGATTAGAAGCAGTCTACTGCTGGTGCCAGGGGTGGGAAACGCACCGCAGAATCCAAACTTGCTACAACAGACGTTCAGTGGGCACGTGCTGCTATTAGCCCATTCTTTTCCCCAGCCAGGATCACATTCGCTCTTGCGATCGCAGTCTGACGTGCATTTGGGCCCGCAGAATTCCGGGCCAAAGCCACAGTTGCCGCTACCAGAGTTGTCGCTGTTGGGGTCAGCCTGGAATCAAAAGTTCGGATAGGAAGGCTCTCACAGGGGACCACAGCATCCTATCTTGCAAGGCTTGGACTTGGAACAGGTGGTGTCCGCGCCGGTGGATGTCGAGAGGAGGTTGAAGGGATGGATGGGATCGAAATTGGGAGGGAGGGCTCCATTCTCCGAGAAAGCAACGCTGGAGGCCAGCTGCCAACCGAATAGGAATAGCCAGAAGACGAAAACGACCGAGCTGTTTGCCATGGTTGTTCCGACAGCGTTGGTGGCAGTTGAGGTTTGGAAGGAGAGAGAGGGTCTTTTGCCTCTGGTCTGCTTCTTATAAGGGAGATTGGTTACCCCAGACATGGCCTGCTTGCCTTCACGGAGGTCAACACCATGAAGCCATTCACGCGTTGACCCTGGGTGGATCCCTAGCAGTGACGGAAACGCCACCTTTTTTTTGTTGGAGTCCACCCTATGGCCACCATCGATACGAAAAGAAAGAAAGGGTGAGTGTCAGCTTTCACGCCGTCTGGGTGAGTTTATTCCGGTGAATCCACATTGTGACTGGGAAAGCCTGGGTCTTGGGGCTCCTCCCCATCTCTCTGGCAGAGTATAAACGGTCGACGTCTTCTCTTCGTTTCCAACCTTTCCCACCTACTACCCTCATCGATTCTCTGTTACTCCCGCTCAATCAAGCCAGTATGATCCTGCTCATACTCCTGCTGGTGAACCTTATCACTGGCCATGATCTGAACTCCAACGACTATTCCACTCCCCAGGTGTCATACGACCCGCTGGATCTTACCTGGATTCAAGACTGGGCAGCCATCGGCGACAGCTACACGGCAGGTATTGGCAGTGGAGATCTGTGGAGTGAAAGGGAAGCCGACTACAAATGCTCCCGCTATGATCTGTCGTATCCAGCTCTTCTGAAACATGCCTTCGGGCCACAGGTGCGGTACTTTGATTACAAGGCATGCAGCGGTGATCGTACTGCCGACATTTATCAACAGGCCAAGCGGTTGTACTCAATGCAGGATTTGGTAGTCTTGACTGCCGGGGGGAACGATCTGTGCCTGGTACGTTTCCAGGTGTCTCGTATCTTGTATAGCACGCCATGACTGACTGACCGACCAGGCCGACATTATCAAGACCTGCATCTTCCTTCCCTTCCAGGGCGAACAGAAATGCCAGGAAGTCATCGACCAGGCCCAGCATAACATCGACACCATCCTCAAGCCCAATGTCCGCGAGATCCTCGACACGCTCCTGACCAAGATGAACTACAATGGGATCATCGTCTATGTCCTCTATGGGCAGTTTTTCAACACGGAGAACGACGACTGTACGGACAATCAGGATTGGGCATTCCCACGTCTGGATCCGATCAACCCCCTGCCCTTGACGCGCGAGCGCCGCGAGAAATTCAACCAGCTGGTGGTCAACATCAACAACGCCATCAAGGACGTCATCCACGAGATGAGGCCACACGAGGACGGACGGCCGTACATTCGCACGGCGGAGTGGGATGCTTTCATGAAGGACGGCCTCCACGGGCAATACTGCGTGCCCTGGTCGAGCGGCCTGTATCCCGATCCCAAGCAGCCCTATCTCCACTTCTTCAAGCCCGACACCACCATCTCCGGACATCATGAGCTGAGGAAGCGTGGCTTTGTCAACAGCACCGCCCTCCCAGATGATGCCCTGTCCACCCTCTACAATTCCACTCTCTACCACTCGCCCAACCCATCCGCCGCGGCCCTGCATGACCTCAACCCCCGCGACCCTGCGCCGCCCGGCTGCCCCGGCGACAGCGGCGTCTCTCTGGGAGTTGGTCTGCCCGACCGCTGGGGCAAGTACTTCCACCCAAACGAGATGGGCCACCGGACAATCGCCTCCTTTGTGCTGGACGCAGTCATCACCGAGCGAAGTGTCATCCTCGGCAAATCCAACCCGACCTGCCAGCGTCACCGTGATGAATTCCGCTGCTGGCAAAAAGACGGACGCAAAGACTACGCCAACGCGGACCTCCTCTACCGAAACTACAAAACCTACTGCGCCGAAGTCAAGCAGCCGAAGAACCAAAAGAACTGGAAAGACGAGCGCTGGTTCAACGACAACACGCCCGACACGCACTACTTTAGCATCACGCTCAGCAACGACGCCACCCACTACGACCAGGCCCACTGCATGGAGTCCTTCGAGCGCATCATCACCAGCTGCGATGGCAACAATCCCGAGAACCCAATGAACTGGAAGTTCGGGGGCCGTTGGACCCGCGGGAGTTATACGTACGAACTCAACATCCAGAACTCGTTCAAGCGACCCTGGCCGCCGACCAAGGAGGTCGGAGGGTCCTGTGATGGTGGGTATCGTGTCTTGTTTTCTCGATTCAATATGCGCGGCCGCGGCTGGTCGACCTGGGACTTTGGTCAGGAAACCCTCAAGCCCGCCATCCAGAAATGTCTCGGGCCGGGCGGGTTGACGGCGTTCGAATTCCAGTATCTCGACGAGCCCGACGCGGACGGGAATGAGTGGAAGGCGAAATTCCGAACCCCGATTGCATTTGGGCCTAGGTGCTTCAAGAATAATAAGGTGGCTTTTGCGGCGGGTGGGTTTACCAATGGTTGCAGTGGGAGTGGATAGCAGTTAGGGTTTCGTGACCATCGGGATAGTGAAGTGATAACTCGCAAGGAGCGATTCATTAGTACAGCATGTTACTTACTTCACTGATTGAATTTAATGAGTCCGAAAGACAATGATATGGATATTCGCCCTTCATCATATATACTCCAACCCACTTCACAACTCGGTACATAGTAGCCTTCTCATGGCGTAAGCCTCACAGATCGTCAGAAGCGCACAACCAACTGACCAGGATGACAGCCAGAGGAGGTGCCTTCTGATTGTTTCCATTTAGTATGGACTGGGTTCAATTTAAGATAACCTGACTGGGTTGTTTGTTAAGGAGGGTAGGCTATGGATAGTACGTAATATTTATTTATCCCTCCCGCATTCGTTGATTTCTCGATGTATTGATTATAAGAGAAGTACTCCGTAGTCGGTTACAGATAGCATACTACCAACGAATCACCTATATATCGATAAAGACATATACCTACCTGATAAACGACTGATAAGGAAGAATCAACACAACTAGTAAACTAGCAAAGTCCGACCCGGAGCAAATTAAATAAGGAAAGTAAACTACAGTCGTCGTGGCTATCGTCATAATCATAAGAAATATAGAAAAGGGACAGAGGAGAGATAATCACCCTCACGCTGATACTCACACCCACCCCCCCTCAACTGACAACCTTGGGAGGAAATATAAAGATACCAGATCCGATCCTTCGCTCGCAAGGAACCTACCCGTCAACATCCTGCCTACTCGGTTCCTACTTATCCGGTAGGGAGGTAAATACTCCATATGCCTATCCACCATCCAGCGGATTCCTCCCAAATTAAATCTGGTCTAAAAACAGTCAGCACACGCCCTCACTCCACATCCACATCCCCATCCCCATGTGCGAACACCACCCATGAAGCCAACCCAAGGAAAAGCCCACTTACTCAACGTCATACTCAAACTAACATCCGTATTCTCCACCATATCCGTGAACTCCTCGAAACTAATCTTGCCATCGCCATCCTTATCCGCCTCCATGATCGTCTTATCCACAATCTGCTGCAACTGCACATCCTTGAGATTATTCCCGACCATCATCTTCAACACGATGAACAGCTCGCCGTTGGAAATGTATCCGTCGCGATCGATATCGTAGACCTTGAATGCGAACCGCAGCTTCTCTTCTTTGTTGCCCTTGGAACTGAACGCCGATAACCCGGACACGAATTCTTGGAAGTCGACGTCGCCGCCGCCGTCTTCGTCGAAGATGGCGATCATTCTGTTGAGGGGTTCAGAGGTGTTAGTTGGGGTGGTGGTTGGGATGGTGGTGATGTGGTGGGGTGAGGGGAAGGTGAGGGGAACTGGGATGCAGGTGGCTACCTCGTGGCGAGTGGGTTGGAGGAGACTTGAGGGAGGGAGAGGAATTCATCGCGATCGATGGTGCCGGAGCTATCCTGTTGGATTGCACATATCTAGTTAGTAGAGTTCTGGAATAGAAGGATGAGGTGGGGGAAGAGGCGCGCGGCCGACCTTATCCAGCTTCATGAAGCGCTTGCGGAGTCGGTCCACTTCATCTCGGTCGACTGGAGGGTTCCGATTCAGTGGTCAGCAGCCGCACACCCATCGAAATAGCACCAACGCGCCCGCTACCCACAGTTGGAGGCCGAGACAATGTTGTCGAACAGCTGGTGGGTGCCGACGGAGCCCCTGCGTCTCCGCGCGTCGTAGAGGGCGGCGTTGTTGGGTTGACTGGAATGGTCCATGGCGGGCGGAGGGGGGGAATGTGGGGGGAATGGCCAGGGATGACTAGGTCGGTCAGGGAAGGGATGGAGGAGGCAATGAGAATCAAGTAATCAATCACAGTTGCTAGGAGAGTCGGAGCATCGAGACTGGAGACTCCCAAGTCTCCCCGGGCAATTTGATATCGGAGAGCCCCGCACTAACCGGAAACGGACAGGCAAGCGAACCCCTGAGGCCGTGCGCCGGGCCAAAACAGGCCATCGCCGGGTGACATTGCAACGTCAACTCATCCGCCAGTGCCATTACTACGAGATTTCCCCCGTCGATATCTCCCCCACCCCATCGACGGCCATCAAGCAACTACGTCTACGCCCTTTCGCATGACCAGACCTATCGCCTGATACCAATTTTATCCCCCCCTGGCCCATGGTGGTTGCCCTTTTCCGCGCCCAAAGTTCGTATGACTAGGTACGGGGGAATGGGGAGGACGCGCCCGAAAAAGCTCACCTCCAAGGCCTCCATCCCCATAGTTCGTGAGCATGAGATCGATCTCATCGACGACGAAATCCAAAATGCCCTCCAACAGATCGAGACCGGCGTGGAGAAGGCCGAAGAGTCGGTAAGTGTTGCCTCCCCCCGACCGTGCTAGCATCCCTGCACATGTCACGTGATATCATCCCGACCTCACCCCATCGTGAAAATTTCGCACCCCGGCAGAATCCCCGCAACAGTGCCCGCTAACCCCCGGTGTTGCATAGGAATTCCATCTGCAGGTCGCAATCAATGCCGCGGCGCAAGGAAAAGTAAAAGATGCCCACATTCCGACCCCGGAAACCGTCCTCAGTAACCTACGCTATGATGAGCTCTACCCGCCGATCTTCTCGCAACCCGCGACCTACATTCGTTTCTCGGCGACCGTCGAGGATTGCTGCGGGCCGCCGTATTGCATGGATGAAGAGGATGATGTCTTCCTGAAGATCTTCAACCAGAAGCGCGATGCGGGCAGCCGGTGCACCGAAGACCAGTTCGAAGAGGTTATGAGCTTCTTCGAGCTGACATCGCGGAAGGAGCAGCCATATGCTTGTGTAGATAACTCACCCCTCATGACTTTCGACGAATTCCAGCAGGCAATGGACCCGGCCGTAGAGGAGAGCGTAAAGCGGTTCGCCAAGGACGTCTATGAGTACTGGAAGTCAAGGCGAACCAGCGGCGGCAACGAACCCTTGCTTCCCACTCCCAAGGTGAGTACCCTCGCAAATGGCGGGCGCAAGGATTGGCAACCTCGGATTGCTAACCGGTTCCCACAGATCGAGGCCGGGCGAGACACCGATGATACAGACCCATACGTCTGCTTCCGTAGGCGGGAAGTGCGCCAGACCCGCAAGACCCGGGGCAGAGATGCGCAAAGTGCCGATAAACTGAGGAGACTCAGGAAGGAGCTGGAAGATGCTCGGCAGATGGTCGCTCTGGTGCGCCAGCGCGAGTTGGCAAGGAAAGAGATGCTGGCAATCGAACGCCAAGTATTCATGCAGAGGTCGGAGGTCAAGGAGATGAAGAGGAAGCTCAACATCAAGGACGACGACGAAGATCTCATCAACCAGAAGGTGAGCCCCATGCATACCTGCCACCGTTGGCTTCCCATATTGATGACCCTGCAACAGCCCAAGAAGAAGCCAGTCGAAGCGCCAGCCGTGCAACGCCCGGCAGCGCCTCAACTGCGCATGCCTCCCAAGGCTGGCACACAAGCTGCGGAAGACCTGCAGCTGTTGGAGGATGTCCAGGCAGAGAAGGAGAACGAGATTCTGCGCGACATCAAGCAGAACATCACCAAGCACATCAAATGGAACGAGGGCTATGTGGACTGCACAAGAGCCCCGCTCTCACCGTCGCCTGACCGAATGTTTGAGTCCGCCTTCCGCCCAGCCATCACCACGCAATTGCCCACACCGCCATCCTCGGATTCTTCCGAGAATATGCTGGAATCCGCTTTAGATACCCCGAGTGCCATTGCTCTTCGAGATAAATTAGCCCCCCATGCCATGGAACTGAGTGAGGACACCAGCAAGATGCCCTCTTTCAGACGACGTATCGGGCGCGGCGGTCGTCTGTGGATTGATCGGCGAAAGCTGGCGTCACGTTGTAGAGTCGAAATGGATCCGTGGAAGGCCGATCGATTCAAGTATGATCAGGAAGACTCGGACGACGATCTCGACTTTGAGCGAGACCAGTACGATATCCAGATCATGCAGCATCGGGCCATCATGGCGGCCAAAGCCCGAGACCAACAAGCAGCGGCGGCAGCTCAAGCTCATGCGCAGGCGCAGGCGGCTCAAGCCCAGGCCCAGGCTCAAGCTCAGCGACGATTGCAAGCCGAGCAGACCTCAGCCACCAACCCACCAAGCGGAGGGCAAACAATGGGATCCAATCCCGGGCCTGGTGCCATTGCCTCGACTTCTGAGACCTAAGCTGGGCTTCGTTCCTCTCCACTCTCTTACCTCCTGATTATGCCTTTAATCTTTCACCCCCATGTTTTGCATCTGACAGGCGTTGTTCTTTCGACATTTCCCTTACCCTCAACTGTACTTTTACCCCTTCAGCCCTGATTCTTCACCACCATACCCCAAACACCGTCTCTTTCTGGAGCGCCGGAAAGCATTCGACTCCCAGGATGACGTCGCCGGATGATGCTTTTTTTCTCTTATGACATGACCCTGGTATTATGCGAAAGTTAGTGTACATAGCCAGTTTTGTCTTCTTCTTTTCTTTCTTGTCTTTCAACCGAGCAGTCGATAGACTCATGTACGGATAGCGAAGCTATGAGGTCAGCAACGAAGAAGGAACCAAAATCGATATTAATTAGACAAAAAGAAAAAGCAAACTTTTGTTCTTATCCATCATAATAAAACAGTGTTTCGTCAAGTCCGGGCGGCTTTGTTTCTCTGAGGTTCATCGCCGTCGCCATTCGCAGTCCGCTTGAGGGGGTTGCACTGAAAAGCGGACCCGAACTGACTGTTGAGCATAAAGGACAAATTCTGGAGGATCTCCTTTTCGCCCAGGCGGACCTGAATCGCCATCTTTGCGCGACGAGTGGAGCCTTCCACGGGACCGGAGGCTTCGAGGTGGCGCACCTGCGCGAGGAGTTCCTGATCATGGGCGATGGTAGTCGCATATCCTGCCTGGTTGAGCTGCAGAGCCCTGGCGAGGATAATCGCTTCCGCCTCGCCAAAAGATGGCTTCGGGGGCTTGTTCTTCGAACGCTGCTTCTCCAATTGCTCCGATGGCAGCGTCAGGGTCTTTAGCAACAGCAGGAGTTCATCCGGGAGGATATCCGTCAGCGGATCCTCCGGGGAGGGTCTTGGGATAGCATAGCCATCGTCAAGGAGTTCGAGTTCCTCAAGGAATTGGAGCTAAGAGATGCGTCAGGACGAGGTCCAATAGATAAGGGTGGGGTTCACAATCAGTGAATTACCGGAGGCTGGGTCTCGATATCGGCACTTCCCAGGCCAGCAGCCTGGCAAATTTGAGCCAATGACAGTTCGACCACGTCGTACGGGGCGTAGTTGTCTGTCACGTAGCCATACCGTCTCAGGAGGTCAGAACGTGGGATCTCTCCATAGTCGTTGAAAATCTCCTCGCCCGCTTTGATGGGTTTAATGGCCTTCATGACTAGGGATTCTTCCTCTTGGAAGAGACGGGCCTGTGTAGATAGGTATATATTAGGATGCATGTCAAGAGAATGTACTGGTAGATAAGCACTCACGTTGTTCCGATCGGCATCCGCATTGAGCAGGTCGGCCAGAGGAACCATCCCCTTGGACGATTGCTCTTCCTCTTCATCCGTCAGGTATCCGTCTTCGCCATCACGTTCGCCTTCTTCGTCTTCCGGTTTCTCGATGTCAAAAGCATAGGCCATAATGAGCGATCCCATGGTATGAGCGAGATGGAGGAGGGCCTGGGATCCAGCATCTCCATCGTATGAAGCGAGTCCGTTTATGGGAGGAAACAGGGCAGGATTCGCCCGCACGATAGGGAGGATCGTCTCGAGGATAGACTCTTCGGCACCCTGTCTTCCGATCTTCTCGACGATGGCGCTGCCCTGGAGCTCCTGGAGCTCGGCGGCGGACCAGAACATGAGGGTGTCAAAATTCCGAGGAAGAACCCTAAAGTAGGGAGCCCACGCAGACTGTTCGCCTTGGAGGTATTCATAGATCATCACGACCATGAGGGACAGCCAGGGGCCGAGGCCCTCAAGGTCCTGAGAGAGCAGACTCTTCAACTGGGAATTCTGGACGGAGAGAACGTGTGCGCGGGGGATGGTAAAAAGCTCTTCACCTTCGTCGAGATCGGACCGAGCCACTGGGAAAGTGACACGAGGGTATCAGAGAGGGAACCACTTCCAGAAAACCGGGTTTAATGAGACGAGAACGAGCGGGAGGAAAATTCTCGTTGGGATGGAGACCTACCGACACCTCTGCCAGCAGCGTGGGACCTCAGATCGGCGACCTGGATGCTGGGGTTGATTCTGACGCCGGGCTTGCCGGCCAGCCAGGTGAGAAACTCATCTGACTGATGCTGGAAGTTGCCCGAATCAGGGAAATGGGTGGTGGAAGACATTTTGGGGGGTTGGTGAGGGAGAGATTGTGTGAATAGTCTCACACCAAGAAAAAGGAAATTCGGGACCCCACCCACTGCAGAGTTGACGGGGTAGAAGTTGGAGAAGGTGAGATTCTCACAGTCTCACTGCAGAGCAAGAAGGGGAGTGCTGCAGTTCGCTGGATCAGCAGGCAGAGGGGGGGAACAGAGGGAAGAGTGGGAGAGCAGAGAGGGACGGGGGGGTTCGGGTTGATGGGATCAGCAGGTAATTGGCATACTAGTATGGGAGGTTAATTAATCCCGGCAGTACCACTACTGTAAGTACCACCCGTACCACTGGCAGACCGTGACCAGTCGGATAAACGCTGCGGCGGAACGGCTGTCCAATCGATAACGCGGGTGATAACCCCCCCCCGTCCGAACCAGCACCGAATTTGCCCCTCCGCGACTGGCTCCCGGCAAGCACGCCTCAATTTTTGACCAGCCCGGCACCTTGTTTCGTGGGGGTGTGAGTGATCCTCAAGGAGAGTACGGAGTACTGTTTGATTGTCTTCTCCCCAAATTCGCGCAGGCTTCCGTCTCACTCAGCCATGATCGCCATCGGTCTCGAGAGCTCCGCCAACAAGATTGGCGTGGGCATCATCCTGCATCCCGACGATGGCAGCACCCCGCAGGTCCTGGCCAATGTTCGGCACACGTATGTCACCCCTCCGGGTGAGGGATTCCTCCCCAAGGATACCGCCCGACACCACCGCGCCTGGGTGGTGAAGCTGGTCAAGAAGGCCCTCCGCGAAGCTCGCATTACCCCCAAGGATGTGGATTGCATCAGCTTTACCAAGGGCCCCGGCATGGGCGCCCCTCTTCAGAGCGCCGCCATTGCGGCCCGCATGTTGAGTCTGCTCTGGGGCAAGGATTTGGTGGGCGTGAACCACTGCGTTGGACGTATGTACTTATCGATCATCTACTAGCTCCTGGACCATCTGCACCTTGTGGGGAAGCGCATTGACCCTTCCTGCCCTTCGCCCATTCTGGCTGATCGCGTCGCATCGCTAACACTGCCCCTCTACAGATATCGAGATGGGTCGGTTGATCACTGGCGCTACTAACCCGGTCGTCCTCTACGTCTCCGGAGGAAACACCCAAGTCATCGCCTACAGCTCCCAACGGTACCGCATCTTCGGCGAGACCCTGGATATCGCCGTGGGCAACTGCCTGGATCGTTTTGCGCGCACCCTGTGCATCTCCAATGATCCTGCCCCCGGATATAATATTGAACAACTAGCCAAGAAGGGCAAGAAACTGGTTGATCTACCGTACACAGTCAAGGGAATGGACATTTCCATGTCCGGCATACTAGCGGCTATTGATGGGCTGGCCGTGCAGTACGGCTTGGATGGAGAATGGAACGATGCTGAAGAAGAGGCGGCATCGAACGACCCGGACAACGCCAAACCGACGCGCGCGGATCTATGCTTCTCGCTCCAGGAAACGGTTTACTCCATGCTGGTCGAGATCACGGAGCGTGCCATGGCCCATGTCGGCTCCAAAGAGGTCCTGATCGTCGGGGGCGTGGGTTGTAATGAGCGCCTGCAGGAAATGATGGGCATCATGGCTCGTGACCGCGGGGGTACCATCCATGCGACCGACGAGAGGTACTGTATTGACAACGGCATCATGATCGCGCAGGCCGGTCTACTGGCATATAAGTCCGGCAGCACAACGCCATTGAAGGATTCCACTTGCACGCAGCGCTTCCGGACGGACGAAGTGTATGTCAAATGGAGGGATTGATTTCTATTCAGCTTCCACTGGATGATGATGATTTAGATGAATGAGATGAACATAATCTATAGAGTCATGAGCAAATGTCTCCGAGCAATGCAGGGTTCGGCTAGTGGACGCATTACGTGCGCATCCGCCCTTCCAGGCTAGCTCTCCAGGACACAAGGCTATTGATTGAAGCCTAGTTGAACTTATTCTCGGTCTTAAGTCGGGCAGTGGGATCATGTGCAATGCCACCATGTTTCCAAGCACAAGCCGGGGTAACCCAAATTCAGTCGGTCGGGTGGAAGCGTGTGATCGACTGAAAGCAGCAACGCCTCTGTAATACAGCCGCACCCTCCAGCTGGAAGAAAGGGGGTTAACAACAGGGGCTTGGCAAATACTTCTCATCGCCAGTCATGCATTGTCTCAAACACCAAAACTAGCAATGGTCTAAGGATAGCGCTTCCTGTACCGCAGGTAGTCGGACATCAAGCAACCATCGGGGCGTAAATCATCCAAAGTGGCTTGGACTGGGAGATATCGGGGGGTATGTGCATTTCTGCAGTTCAACAAAATCGAACCAGAGGAGTTACCTGGATGGGCGTTTCCCTAGTTCGGCCAAGACCGTAGGGGATTATCCTCCCGCGCGGAGGCAACGTTGAAGAATCGAATCGCTTCCGCTCCGTCAGCCAGAGCAGTCTCGTCCCGCTTATGATTCGATGAGAGGCACGGGGGATGTACAAGGCATCTCGTCTATACACAGGCTACTCCGTAATATCTCCAGTCGGCTTATACAATATCGTCGTCACGTACTGTTGTTCGTCAGTTGGATGGGTTTCCAGACAATCATTGCTGAAGATGCGTCAACCTACCTTGCGTTTGTATCGAGTCGTTACGCTAGTGGCAAGCACCCCGTTTTTGATGCTGCTGGTAGCTAGATGGTTTAGGACAGTGTGGTTGGGGTAGTTCAGGACGCTGCTATCATCTTTCATGGGGGTAGTGCCGTTCAAGATGGATTTCCCGAGGAATAACGGCAGGCTCGGCGGTGTAGGCGCATCCCCAACAATATTCACAGCTTGCTGGTACTCCGGGGCCTCTTCCTCACGATCCAAGTCCAGAAGGAACTGTGGGATGATACCACGGAAGTCGCCCAGAGGGATCTCCTCCGGTTCTTCTTTGTCCGACTGCTCCTCTACTGTGGACCCATCCTGGTCGGCTCCCACGGGACCAGGAATCACCTGCGGAGGTCGAATTCCATCGGGGATCCTATCGCTTTCTCTCCGCGATCGGTTGACGTCATCGGCACTGATTTCGATGTAGTTGACCAGGTGGTTTGTGAAGTCGACTGCCGTCGGAAGGTTGTCTGAAGCGCGCATTTCCCCGTCGACTATGAACTTCAAATGATGCGTCCCCGGGCGGAGATTTAACTTGGTGGACAAGACGCCCGGATTATTCTCGCTGTTGGTCAAGATACCCGATTAGTTGCCACAACGTCTAGCAGGCCAGAATAGAATCCAAGCAAAATCACATACCTCCGGTGTAAGCGGAACTTCTTTTCCCAGTTGACGAACGTTCCCGTAACGTAGACCTTGTCTCCAGGAGCAGTCCATTCTATTAGGGTGGGCACCGCTCTTCCCACACCGCTGGGAGCATATGGTTGGAGTTCATCCAATGCCTCATCGTCGTCAACCGGGGCACCCGCCAAGCTCGAATGTCTCGGATCGTTGGGCTCCTCCAGTAGGTGATCGGGGGGGACAGATCCCATATACGAATCGTCCGGGCCAATGATCGGCGAGCCAGGGGTGGCCGTAGCATCTCCAATCGGCAGAGGCATCCGCGGCGGACGCTGAAGGTGGACCGAAGCGCTATAATAGGCATTGGGAGGAGGGCCAGAGGGTGCCACCGGGTCACGTTTAGCAGCCGCCCGAGCCCCTGGGACTTGAACGGGGATGGACTGATCAGGTGCGGGAATATCTCTGTAGCGGGCATCTGGCTTCTTGGGGATTTGACGGTCGGGTCGATCGAGATTGCGCGTCGGTGCATCCGAGACATTGCGGGATTGCAGACGCTGCTGGACTGATGGCTGGGTTTGAGATGTCGGGTGGCCAGTCGCGGTCTCTCTCGTGGCGGAGGGGTCGGCTGCGGAGGCCTTGATGGATGGCCGGCGAGCTACTCTCCTGTCCCCCGCGAGGCCCGAGGAAGCCGAGGGCGATTGGGCATCCCCGGCAGGGCCTTTGGACGGATTGTTGCCCATCTGGAAGGGGGAATCGGTGGAGGCGCTGGCGGAATAACAGAAAAATTCGGTACGCTAGGGAAACGCCAGATATGGCACAAGAGACGGGTTCAGGAAGTCTGGTCTTTGAGGTTGGGATGTTGGGATGCCAGCATCCGATGGTCGGTCTTGGGAGGGCGGAGGGGTAACGGGAAAATAATAATCAGGCGGTGCAGAATATGAGGACACTTCCTGCAGCAGGTTGCACAACCCAAGAAAGGCTACAGAAAGGAAGCTGGTTCCGGGTCAGGGCTGGGGAGAAAGGAATATCCACCGAACGACGGGGCGTGGAGCGAGAAAGAATGCGATGGGCAGCAAGTGATGATGTCGATGTCGTCGACCCCGGACTGGCTCCAAAGTCGGGGCCGAAGGGGCCCCTTAGGGCTTAGGGCTCGCTCCCTATTGTTCCTCTCCGAAGTACGGACTACGGCGGAGATACTAGCATAGGTATCCCCGGAAAAACACACGGCTGTGGGGGAAGGACAATAGGAAGTGGGAAACCCCAGGCGTTCGTCTCACCCACAACTCCGGTATGCATCCGAACTATCATGGATCGTTTCTGCTGCTGCGATCTAGGTTCAAGGTCTAGGTATTTCCTCCGTTTACTCCGTAACAGGAGAAGTACTCAGCACTCCGTACAGTATCCAGGAGGAATCCAGTTCTGCCACTGCATACCGCTTTCGACTGCTGCTCTGCCCCGTGCAATCCAGGCAGGACCTCACCATTACATTCCTTCCTAGTTTACTTCGTACAGAAGGAGTGCAGTCAAGCCATGCAATAGCTTCCTTGTCTCTACTCCGTATACCATCCCCCTTTGGCAAAAGATGCCCATGTAACCGACTAGTCTTCCATCAAATACCTTAGCAACCCGAATGACTTGGGCCTCAGTCTTGACCACCATCTCTAATGGCACGCTCTATGCTCTGGCTTGCCTTGGCGGCTGGGGATCCGGTCTGCTACGTGTAGTGGTCTGGCCATTGCTGCGTCTGGTTTACACAATCCTTCTTTCTCTCCTCCTTCCCTGGCAGCTTCTTGGCAGGTTTGAGGTACGGATCTATAGTCTTCTTGCTCACCAGCGGAAAGATGAAGGCTTATAGATCACTCTCCTAGGCCATGCTTAGCTTCATTGTGACCGCGGTACTGGCGGGAGCGATCCTGGGGCTCGCCATCCATTTAATCACCACGCGTACGATTGATGCGCTTTATCGATGGGTTGAATCGATCTGGAATCCTGCATCCCGCCGTAGAGGGGGTGGATCTCGGGGGCGGCGTTTGCTTGAGGCCGTCAAAGGTGCACCTTCATATTCACCCAGCCATTCCGTATCATCCGACGAGGATATTATGGAATGGTACGACCGGCAAGACCAATCGCCACAGAACGACGGTACAATAGTTGAGGAGGAGGAAGAGTCGAGCTAGGCGACAGTCCATTGTAATCCCTCGGTGATATATCCAGGCCGGCTGATGGGAGTCTACGGAGGATGTGGTAATGTATAAACTATAATGTACTAGTATATCAAGAGTGGAACGGTTCGGATAGATAGACCTTCCAGCAGATAATCTCCAGGTTTGATTGACGCAATCAATCTGCGACAGCCATGGTTCGCGGCGGCGGCGATGGACTACTATGGATGGACCCTGCCGTTGCGCTCCCCACCATCCGTTAGTCTAATCAAATTGAAATTGCGCTGCAATTGAGGGGAAATTACGTTGAGTCTGTCTCTCCATGGCCCCCTTCCCCAAAAGCTTCCAGTGTGAATATCCGATGCCTTCAATAGCCACCTTTTTTTTCTTTCCCCCCCTTTTTCTTATCCCCTTTTCTCACTTCTTGCAACAATAAATCAGCAGAATACATCATCACTTGTGTATCCACTGGGCTGCTTATCGTCGAACATCCGGTGGGTCGCCCTGGAACCATCAACCAGAACCAAGCCGTCGCTCTCGAACGGACCATCCTGCAATCTGTCCGGCCTTCGCTTGCTTTTTCATCTCGGCCTTTTAATTCTCCCTGGGTCCCTTGGTGATCCAACCTTCCTCTCAACTCCCCTATTCCCAGGCACTTATTCCTCCTGGAGACGCATGTCTTCTCACTGCATATCCGCCCAGCACCGTTTTCTCCACGTCCTTGCATATCCACTTCCGGGATCTCTGTTGACGCCTCGAAACGCCTCCATGTCGTTGCCCCTGCGCTAGCCGTCTCCTCCCGGCCTCCTACGTCAGACCCCCCTGCGATCGCTAACGATTCCTTCGCTCTCTACAATATTTTTTTTTTTGGCCAGCTCATCAAGGCGCAATGTTTCCCTCCCGAACTATCGTACGAGCGCGTGCTCTACTCTTTGCGCTAATCATCGTATCCACCCTCGTGTGGTCCTATTCGCGCTGGCACAACTATCCTCTCCCCGAGCAAGCCCAGATCGTACGGCCTGTCTCCAATGATAGACATACGGAAGGACACATTCAATTTTGGCGCCAATTCCAACCTCTTCTGACCGCCAATGAGCCGAAATGTGAGCCGCCTTTGAGACTGGGATCGGCGCCTTCGATCAGATTCGAGCAGTCGAACCCCGAGGATCGGCCGGAGCTGCTGGACATGCTCCCGTTCGACGTGGAAACTATGAAGAATAAGCACCGCGACTTTGTGACGGCAATCAACACCAACCCACCTCAACTCAACTACACGCGCAACACGCGAGGCCTGGTTTCCACTGCGGGAGGGTCATACCTACCGGTGCTGGTCATCTCGCTTCGAATGCTTCGCAGAACCGGTTCCATGTTGCCCGTCGAAGTCTTCCTCGCAGATGAGGAAGAGTATGAGAAGCACATCTGTGATGTGGTCCTCCCATCGTTGAACGCACGATGTGTGGTGTTGTCGGAAATACTTGATGCTGTCTCGGGAGACATGGAAATCGAGAAATACCAGTTCAAGCTATTTGCCATGTTGTTCTCTTCGTTTGAGGAGATCCTGTTCTTGGATGCTGATGCATTCCCGCTCCAGCCACCGGAATTGTTATTCACGAGTGGACCTTTTGTCTCAACCAATATGGTCACCTGGCCCGATTTCTGGGCATCTACTGTGTCGTCATACTATTACGAGATCGCCTCTCAACCTTATCCCGAAAATGCTGTCCGGCAGTCCAGCGAATCCGGGGAGGTCCTCCTGTCGAAGAAGACGCACATGAAAACTCTCCTTCTGAGCACCTACTACAACATCTGGGGTCCCGATTTCTATTATCCCTTGCTATCTCAAGGCGCAGCCGGGGAAGGCGACAAAGAAACCTTTGTCGCCGCCGCCATGACGCTCCAGGAACCATACTACCAGGTCTCGGAACCGATCTGCGCCATCGGCCACGGCACCGACGGCGGTCTGGCCGGTTCAGCCATGGTCCAGTTCGACCCGATCGAGGACTACGCTCTGACCCAGAAGGGCGAATGGCGGATACATGGGTCCAAGGCGCCAGCTCCCCGAGCCTTCTTCATCCACGCCAACTTTCCCAAATTCAACCCGGCCACCGTGTTCGATAAGCAAGCCGTGAACCCGGCTTTTGCGGATGACGGTAGCTACACGCGCGCGTGGACCATCCCCGACAACGTGATCCGGGCCTTCGGCACGGACGTCGAGAAGCAGTTCTGGGAGGAGATCCTCTGGACCGCGTGCGAACTCGAAGACAAGTTTAGCACTTGGAAAGGCAAAAAGGGCATTTGCAAGGGGGTGACGAGATACTGGAATGCCATGTTCGGAATTGGGCATGCTCGGTGAACTGACATCGGTTTCCCGTCTTTATCACCAAAGCGCTGGTCGGATCCCTAGCAGCCTTGTTAGCAGCCCTGGATAGCGTTTGCTGTTCGCTTGAGACGATCTACCACATGGGTTGCTATGAAAGCTTTTTCCCATGCCTCGTCCATCGGCATACGATCCGTACCAGCCAGCTTGCCGAAATACCGCCATCAGACTCCTCATCCTCATCGGCGCTCTTCCCTCGGGATGATGCCTTCTGCTCTATATGCAAAGAGCAACTACACAATGAGATGACGCAGTGACGATGACGACTTAAAGATACAAGAGAACCAGCCTCATGCATGCAGTCCAACTGCTACTCTCACGGTGCCTACGAACCGAGACATGAACATAGGCGCAGGCTATTCGCCGTCTGCTCGAGTATCAGTTACTCAACTCTTACAGTCACCCGTCCATACCATACCCTATATCATATCATGACATATCACGTACCATACAGCCCAGCCTGTATCATACATCCACCCACAAACGATACCATTCAATACAACCTACCCACTGCACAATTCTTGTAACTATTGATCTCTACATACAATCTAGCCTAATATACATACCCCAGACCCAAAACAAGAGAGGAGACATGTATCCTTCCCCATCCCATCTAACAATAACCCCATATAATAATAATAATACACACAGACAAACCCCTAGTAACACCACCCTAAGTCTGCCTCTCAATCGTCCCCGCAACCTCCGCCCTCCGAATCGCATCCCGAAACAACTCCTTACACGGGACCCGACTGCCCAATCGCGCGCACAACAAGAACGCACCGCTCAGCTTGCGATGCAGACTATACGTCTCTTCCGGCGGGGGGGTCAATCGTTCGCGAATCATGACGGGAATCAGACCACGGACGCGATCCGTGATAGTCTGATTCCGAAAGTCGTACACATCCGGCGACGACTCCATGAAGGGTTCCGCGATGGTCGTGACGGACGTGACGTGGGCGTCGACCATGGCGGGGGATTCATGGCCGGTGAGATAGCCGAGGTCTCGGGAAAGGGCGGCGCAGCGGTCGCGGTCGTTGCGGGCGGCGGCGATGAGGGTATGGATGTAGGTGGTGATGAAGGTCTGGGGGTATTCGCGGGAGGCGCCGAAGTCGAGGAGTTCGAGACGGTTGGTGGAGGGGTTGTAGAGGAAGTTAGTCCAGTTGGGGTCGGTTTGCATGTATTTGAATTCGGTGATTTCGCGGAGACAGAGACGCATGATTTGGGTGCCGATCCAGTCGCGTTGGGCTTGGGTGATGTTGTGGATTTTGGTGACGGCTTTGCCGGCGAGGCGTTCCATGGTGAGGACTTGTTTGCCCGAGGCTTCGGGGATGATGGCGGGGACGAGGAAGACGGGGTCGTCGGCGAGGAGGTGGCGGAAGTGGGTGGCGGATTGGGCTTCGCGGAGGTAGTCGCATTCCCAGGCGAGTTCGGTGCGGGCGTTGGCGATGGTCTTGTCGAGGTAGAGGCCGCGGGGGAGGATGCGGGATGCGGTGAGGAGGATGGAGAGGTTGTTGAGGTCGGAGTCGATGGAATCGGCGACGCCGGGGTATTGGATTTTGATGGCGACGGGCTGGCCGGTCTTCTTCAGCACGGCGCTGTGGACTTGGCCGATGGAGGCGGCGGCCATGGGAATCTCGTCGAAGGAGGAGAACAAATCCCGCCAGTTGGGGCCGAGGTTGTCAATCAGGACTTTGTCGCGTTGGGAGGCGGGCATGTAGTCGGCGCGGTCTTGCACTCGCTGTAGGACCTGGTGGATGGAGTCGGGGAGCATTTTGGTGTCTGGAGGAGTCAGAGGGCATCGGGGGAGGGTGAGTGGTTGGTTGCGGTACGCACCTTGGATGCTCAGCATCTGGCCCAGCTTGAGGGCCGCTCCGCGCATCTTGGAGAGTTTGGCGACGAGTCGTTCCATGTTTCCGGCGCTGAACATGAGGGACCCGGTGCTCTCGGTTTGGCTGCCTGTAGCTCTGCGCAGACTCTCGCCAACGGCGCCAAATGCCATGGAGGTGGCCAGTCCACCGTACTGCCATAACCGTCCGAGACGGGAAGATGGGACGCGCGATTCCATCATTGTGTAGATGTCCTCCTGCTTCAAGGCGGCAGCGGTTTCTGGCTCCGCCTGCTTTGTAGTCAGATATAGATCTCCCAGCTGGCTAACTGCGGTGTTCACTTACCGTGGAAACCAGGTCATCCACGGCCTGGGCCTCTTCTGCCGATAGGTTTTCCTTCTCGATGGGCTGGAGGGGCTTGACGTCAGAAGGCATCGAAGTCCGTCCCTTGTATCTCAGATCCGCCGCAGCTTGCCGAGACAGCATCTTCGCAACCTTCGGGCTGTGGAAGAGCTCCTTCATCATATCGTCCGAGATCTCCTCCGGTTGTTCTGCGGGCTGGTTTGACGACGCAGATTCCTCGGCACTCACGGGAGAGTGGAACACATCCGCATTGATATCGCTGTCGATGCCCGTTTGCGTGTCGCTTGACGTCTTGGGGAGCTTAACCCTAGGTAGGCCGGACAACCCGGGGGTGGTCTCCTTGGAGGGCTGATAGAACACATCCTGCTGTTGGCTAACGTCCAATGGGCTAGCCCCGTAGCCGGTGTGTCCTGCCGCAGACGACGGGATCTGAAATTCCGCCTGCCGTTGTGCTTTCCTGGCCTCATCCGGGGTGAGATTGGTGGCGCGCGACTCGGTACTCGGCGGAGGGTGGCTCGGTGCTCGGGATGCCGACGGTGGTGGTGGTGGTGGTGGTGGTGGTGGTGCTGATTCGGGCTCGTTGAACCGCTTTGCTAAGGCTGCAGCGGCTTGTGCGGTAAGGCACAGACCCTCTGCCTGGCCCTTGATGCCCTTGGTGAGGGTCGAAGTCCTGGTAAACAGATCGAGCTGGCGCTGCCGCACCTCCAGGTGCTTCACAGCGACGGACTTGGCGACATTGAACAATTGGATGGCGTCCAACAGACGCTTGCCCGACATATTTGGAAAATTCGTAGAGGAAGCCGGACTGGTCTCCGATCTACCTTCTTCGCATGATTTGAGGATGACTGTTGCGAGAGCGCGAGACCGTCGGAGCGTCTCGTGCCTCGAAAAGACCCGCCGGTTTTCTGCCGGGTGGCACCGCTCTCCGGGCAGGACCGGAGATTGATAAGGAAAGCCGGCCGGAGAAATCCATCTTTTTGGACTTCCCGCGGGCCTCCCTTCTTTACCATCGCCATGAACCGGGCTCCTGAACGTGGCAAGGGCAAATGACGGTGAAGACGAACGTCCAGGATATAGAGCAAGAGATCGCAGATCTCGAGGACCGTTTGCGCAATGCTCGCACTCGTCTAGCAGTGGCCTCCGCGTCGCAAAATGGCGGGGATCCCTATCTGCCGTTACCGGAGGGTGCGTGAGCCCCCCCGGATTCCTTGGTCGGGACCTCTTCTTTCCCCCTCTACGCATGCTGATCGGTTGAATCTACATACTAGATACCGCGGGTATAGTGCCTACCCATGCGCTCCTCCTTCTCTCGGATTCAGCCCTGCCATTGGGTTCTTTCGCATACTCCAGCGGCCTGGAGTCATATCTGGCGCACAACAAACCCCTTCCTCGCTCGGTGACCCCGATTGCGTCCTTCCATCGCTTCCTGAAGCTCTCAATTGCTTCGCTGGCCAGCACCTCGCTGCCATACGTTCTAGCTGGGTACCGGCGCCCAGTGGATTTGGAGTCACTGGACAATGATCTCGACGCCTCAACGCCCTGCATAGTCGCCCAGCGGGCGAGTCTCGCGCAAGGGCGGGCATTGCTCGGGGTTTGGGAACGCGCGTTCCGGGGAACATATACGTCCAGCCCATCCACGGCTGGCCCAACTGCTGCAAAGGCAGTGAAGATGATTGAGGCATTTTCGGACGCTCTCAAGTCCTCGGTGGATACGGACGAACTAGGGCCCAAGGGTCACTTGGCGCCATTGTGGGGGGTGGTGTGTCTGGCGATGGGAATGGATGCGCGCCAGACTGCCTATGTCTTTATGTTGAACCATGCGAAGGCCGTCCTCAGTGCTGCAGTCCGTGCGTCCGTCATGGGCCCGTATCAGGCCCAAAACATCCTGGCCAGTAAGAACCTGCAAACCATGATCACTCAACGGATAGACCGGGAGTGGGACACTCCTATCGAGGATGCAGGACAGATCGTACCTCCGCTGGATCTTTGGGTTGGACGACATGAACTCTTATATAGCAGAATCTTCAATTCATAACACGTTGAGCACCACGGTGGACTGGTTCGACTCCCTTAGTAAAGGTGGGATTCCTCCATGAATATTGCTGCATTCATCATGTTTCTCTCAGCCGTGACTTCCTAGTTAATCCTACATCTCACACCGTATTGTCCCACCCAGATGCCACTCGAACACTGACATGGGTATCCAAAACAACTCCTCTGGGCCGGAGGGTTGAAACAAGTCAAAGAGAAAGAAAAAAAGGGATGGGGGATAAAAAGGAGATTATAAAGAAAAAAAAAGAGCAAGAAAAGAAACCGGCAACCCGAAGACCAACAACCCGGCCACTATGCAAAGACAATATCTGATGAAAAGGAACAGATTTAGATCGAACGCCGGCCCTCTGAGATCCTATCCTGCTAAACCACAGTAAACACCGCACCAGGAGCATTTTTCCATGATGATGGAACGAAATGGGTAACAGAAAACGAAGAGGTAATAAAGTCAAGTAGGTGAGGGTAATGGGGGGGGGCGAGAAGGCAAGAATCGGAAGAGAAGGAGACTATGGTACACGAGATGGGTGGTGTTGAACCCAGATGGCGTTCGGACACATCACAGGGTGATATGCATGTAATCGTTGTTTCCGAAAGATTTGTTGCAGTTGGGACACTTCCGGGATCGAGAAGTGAGGCGCTCTTCCACGCATTCTTTGCAGAACACATGGCCGCAAGTCTTGATCGCCGTGTTCTTGAAATTCCGACGACAAACCGTGCAAAGTGCGAGAGTCTGCAGGCCCTGTTAGCGATAATGATCTGGATGGGCAAGTCACCAGCAACAATAGAACGCTTACCCTTAACATTTCGTATTCAGAAGACGAGTTTCCGAGACTCTTGTTTTTCCAGTTTTCCAAGCTCTTCTTGGTATCGGCAAGTGTGGCCTTCAAGCCCTCCACCTCCGTTTCCGCTTGACGACACGCACTCGAGGCACTGGCCAACGTCGAATCCTTGGAAGTTGACAACGCCTTGAGTTCGGCCACTTGCCGATTCAAGCCCTCGATCGTGATATTCTTCTCCGTCACTTGTTGTTGGGCGGCGTAATTCTTGCTCATCATCGAGTTTAATGCTTCCTTGGTCTCGCTGACTTGTTTTTCCATATTCGCGAGGAGAGAACGGGTGGCGGCCTCGGATTCCTTCAGCTGCGATACGATGTCCGAAGTCTTGGAATTCTGCATGCGCAGCGTGCGAACCTCCAATTCTCGGGCCTCCTTGCTTTTCATGGCAGCAAAATACTTCTGGTCGGCCTTGGATTTCTCGGCAATAAGTCGGGCAACCTTCTCTTCCAAAGCACTGAAATCGGTGACTTTCTGCGACGCCAAGGACGAGTATTTCTTGCAGGCGATTTGCATCGATGCGAGTTCGGTGTTGAGCATCGAATACTGACGCTCCAGGTTACTGAACTTGGTACGCAACTCGTCGGTCGAGATCTCATCGGCACTTTTGGACGAAACGCCATTCCCAACCTCCATGCGCAACCTCTCCACCTCCGATTCCAGAGCCGCAATCCGAGCCTGCCCAGCATCTGCAAGTTCTTGCACCTTGGCAGCCGCAGTCTTTTCCTGTTCCTGCGCTGCCTTGCGAATTTGCTGGTCCGCCAAAAGTTCGTCGCGTGCGTTGCGTATCCGTGCTAGATCCGTTTCTGCTCGCATCAATTGCGCCTCCTTCTCGGCGATCGCATTCTGTGTCTCCTCATCGACCTGATTGCGGTATGCCGTTCGTTCCGATCGGAATTTCGCCGCCTCTTCGCGTAATTGCACATTGGTTGCTTCCAGGTGATTGATTCGAGTAACAACATCATCGTACTGGGATTTCAATTGCTTGAACAAGTCCGTATGCGCGTAGTCATCGTCAGTCAGTCGTGAATGCTGTAAAACCACGTTAGCGCTGGATCAGTCTGGGTAGTCAAGCAGAGCGGGTGAACCTTTATATTTAGTTCGGTTATTTGACTCAGTAATTTGGCATTTTCGCTCTCCAGTTTCTGCAGCTGCTCCTTCTGCTTTTCCGACACGGCCACAAGCTTGTTGTGTGCCTCCTCCAATGCAGGGCTCCGCTCACCGCTAGGAGTCGCACCGTTGGAAGCAGCCACTTCTTCTCGAGGTCCCGACGCACTGTCGCCACCAGGGCGCTGTGCACCTAAGATATACTGCTTCTCTAGTTTGGCAACAGTCAAGCTCCGTGCACGATCGAGCTTCTTCTCAGCTACCATGTACCGCAAGGAGGCTTCTTCTAGGCTTTCTTCCAGTTGCTGTTTTTCAGACAGGGCTTTCTCTAATTCAACGATGGTGGCTTTCTCCTGGGCCAGCGCCTTGGCGAGCTGGCTCTGTAAATCCGAAAGATCAGGTGAAGCCTTGGAGGGTTGGGACTTCAGGCTGGAAATAACTTGGCGGATGTCCTCGGAACGGGACTTGAGGTGCTTTTCGAAAGCAGTGGCATCCTCAAAGAGCAGACTGCTTTCGAAGGCCGGGCGTTCTGGGAAAGTTCTTTAGCGAAGTTCCAGGCAAACCATCCGCCGGTAGGAGGGGGACCCACCCTTGGCATCCTCTTCGGCAGCGCCCAGGAGCAATTTGACCTCGTCGACCAACTTTCGACTCGTCAGACGTTCTGCACGGGATGAGCAAAATACAACGATCTACTCACTTGCTTGTACCAGGTATCGATAATACGAAGGTGGTCATTGTGGTAGGCGGTGGCCTTGGACGTTTCCTTCAGCTTGGCCTCGAGTGACACTTTCTCGCGCTTGTACTCCTGCATCTGGCGCCATATTGCGTCTTTCTGGAATCGCTGCGACGAACAGACGTCAGTATGTCCCCTGGAGGCTAGCGGTGCAGTCGACGTGGCGTTCCAAGTACTGTCTAGGGGAACCCTTGGGATAAGTTGGCACCCACGTGGGCTGGTCGGGGACTTACCTCCAGGTCGTCTTTCCAAGGCATATCAGCGTCAGGGTGCGGCTTGCTGCCACCATTGACCGAAGTCGCTTGCTTCTTCAATGGTGGAGCCGAATCATTGTGATCATAGGCAGCGGCTCTCTTCCGGTCTTCCATCATGACAAAACCGGAATCGGAAGATGCGACGGGGGATGCTTCGGCGGCCGGCATCAGTGGCTAAAGAGGCATACGTCAGAAGAGGCCGTCACCACTGAGCAGCAACGGGCCGAGAGCAGGGTCCGTGACAATATCCGACCGTAAAAGACGTGACGGGGGAGAGTGGTGGTTGGCGGGAAGGGGGGAGAAAGAGCTGAAGAGGGGGATGGAGGATGGGTTGAGATAAGCAAGACTTAAGGGAAGCCAGGAGGATTTTCGGCCTGGCAGTTAGCGTCCCTTAGCGCCTCCCACGTGACCGCATCCACTTTCCCCAGGAGTTCAGGTTCAGGTTCAGCTCTGCCGCCCGCATCTAGACTTTTTGCCTGTCTTTCACCTGTCCTCCTCCATCCATCCATTGTCTGCCTGCTGCTCCCTCCCCTCCATCGGTGCTTCCACCATCACCTCCCCCCTTCCTCATTCGCCATCCTAGCTATGACCGGCATGCAGCATGAAGTCCTTTTCGAGTTCGGTCATTAGTGAGTTTTATCTCTCGGTTCTTACCTGAGTTCTGTCGCTCGGCTCCTACCTGAGACCCCGCTGCTAATCACGCGTCATCTGCAGATAAATCGGGCAAGAAGTTTGCCCCTAAGGCGCCTGCCCGTCGCCCTCCAGCTCCCGCACCCCCGAGGAGGCCCAGTGTCGCCTCACAGCCATCTGCTTCTCAAACTCCCCAGCCCCCGACCGAGACGGCAACCCCCGAACCCGGTCCTCCTGCGTCCGCAACTCAACCCTCCGCTCCCACTGAGTCCACAGTCCCAGACGAGCCGGCAATTTCCCCCAAGGACAATGCTGTGGTAGCTCCGTCTGCGACAGCCATTCCAATTCCTCGTCCCAAGCGGAAAGCTTCGGTCTCTGCAGTCTCTCCTGGGACCATAGAACAGATCTCGACCCCGCCTCAACCTACCCCGCCCACTGCGCCCGAAACTCAAGTCGAGCAGGCACATGCTGCTGCAACAGATGCCGACGCATCTGCGTCTCTAATTCAAGCGCCTCGCGCTGCTAACGATGCAACAGTGATTCGTCCATCCAAGCGTCCCAAGACCACCAGAGAATCTATCACCGTCCCCAATGATGCCGCTCCCGCTCTCCCCGCTGCCCCGACTACCGCAACTACGCGCACTACGGAGCCCGTGCCGATAGACGCCAATCCCCAGCTCGTTACTCCTCCGGCTACGCAGGCAGCACTCACTGATAGCGAAGGGACCACAGAAAGTCGGGCTAGAGCTGAATCGCAAACCACAACCACCGAGCAGGCGCGAAAGCCGACAAAGACGCGGAGGAGGTCGGTAAAGGATGTCAATGGCGAAAGTACGGCAAAGAAGAAGGAAAGGAAGCCTCGGACACGCAAGAAGCGCGAGCCCACCCCCGAAGGTGCCGAAAGTGTAGAGATCGCCCCCGCAATTGTCAAAATGTCGGAGCTATGCAAGGATATGCGAACGGGAAAGATGTCCAGGCGGGAGACCGAGCTGCGCAACATGGAACAGGCCGAGCTGGAGCGCAAGCAAAAGGCGCAACAAGAAGGCGATACAGAAGCACCGGTCAAGGAAAATGGAAATGACGCATCGCCGGCAGGGAATTTAAACGACACCGCGGACGACAAGGCCCAGGCCGGACCAGCCGGACCAGTGATGAGGATCGTGAACGGAGAAATCGTGCTCGATACTGCTTCGTTGCAGGTGGATCGCCACGCCGATGCGGCGAGGAACGCCGGGGAACTGGAGGATGTGGTTGAAAACTCGCTTACTCGGAAGATCAATCAGGCTACATACGGAAAACGCTCCAAGACGGAGTCCTGGGACGAGGAAATGACGGATCTTTTCTATCGGGGCTTGCGCATGTTTGGCACGGATTTCATGATGATCAGCAAATTATTCCCGGGCCGCTCCAGACGGCAGATCAAGCTGAAGTTTAACAATGAAGAACGTCGTGACCCCATGCGTATCAAGGACACGCTTCTGGGCCCGCGCGAGACGATTGACATCACCACCTACTCGGAGATGACCAACACAGTCTACGACGATCCCCGGCTGATCCAGCAAGAACTGGATGAGGAAAAGAAGCGGATTGAGGCGCAACATGCGAAGGAAAAGGAGGCACAGGAAGAGATGCTTCGCAACCCGGATGGGGCGGATGGTGCCAACGCCAATCAGGGCGGTGATGTACCCGCCAGGGTGAAGCGGAACAACAGAAGGCAAGCCATGAAAGCCATGGCCGGAGGAACTGAAGAGGTTTTGGGCACAATTGACGATATTCCTTGAGTATACAGGATTGACATGTCCTTTTACGGCCGATTTCAATGCCATGCAGGGGTACAGGCGTTTTTGGCGTTCCGTCCAGACCAGTGATACTGGCTGGCGCAGGAGTTCAGTTGGATCTCTGTTCGTCTTTGTTTTACCCTAGTGATGATGATGATAATGTTGTTGTCCCCTCTGCGTGTTGCATATGCAGCAAGCATGTCTGCAGGGGATGTGAGACGCTTGATCTTACTACATGTACCTTAGTTCTCGACCTGACCAGCGAAAAGAACGAAGGCCTTAATAACCAAGTCAATTTGGAGGAGCAAGTGCCATGCCTACATAACACTGCTTTTCCCGGGCATTACCTGCGCCTGGTTGAACCAAACCCGGTGCTTGTGGTAGTGCTCGATAATCCCGAGCTACCTTCACCGGAGTCATCGTATCTTCTAGACGACTGATACCGAGACGATGTCCATGACGAACCCGAGCGGTTGCGGTTGCTTCTCCTCCCCATCTCATAGCCTGCCGCGGCACCACCCAAAGCACCCGTCCAGAACCCAGGTCTCCAACCCGACCCAGACGTACGAGGATCCGAAGAACTATAATAGGGAGGCGGCGAGCTGCTATACGGAGGCGGAGGCCTAGGAGGACCACCACCGCCGTCGCCTCCGCCGCCGCCATAACCACCAGCATTAGCCCCTTCGCCTTGCTGACGTCCAAAACAGATATCCAGCATTCCCATCACAATGGCCCCACAAACCAGCACCATGATGCCCCAGAAAATAAAGGTAGCCACGGGGCCCAGCTCCCCGCTGGAACCACTCGTGTCGCGTCCGAACTTCTCCTCTCCCAGCTCGGTCAGTAGCAATCGATACTCGACACCACAGCTGCCCTTTAACACCCAGTTATCGTCTGCGTTTCGGTAGCCCTCGCACACGACGTCCGTTGATCCGAGCTTGAATTCTTGGGGGAGCTCCGCGGTGCAGGTCCATTGGATGTCTTCTTCGTCGTAGCCGTAGCCTTCGTTTGTGCAGCGCATGGTGTCGATCGTGTACATGTTGCAGATGCGTTTGGAGGGGCCGGTGCATTTTAATTGGGGGATTGGGGATACGCGTCTGGAGCTGGTGAGACGGCCCCCGTGGAGGGTGAGAGAGTGGACGCGCGAGAGGAGGATGGCATTGTTGCTTGGTGGTTTGGGGGAGCGGTCGGCGAGAACGTGGTTTGAGAGGAGGAGGGTGACGAGGAGCTGTATAATGATGAAAATATGCATCTTTTCAGAGCCTGAGGTAGCCTTTGGTGTGTTAGTGGAGGCTGTAGTGATATGAAATGGGCATGCTGGCGATGAGCAGCAGCGCGTGGGATAAAAGCAACGGTCAGGCGACGTGGTATCTATCCACTGGGTCGGTTTGTAAGCTGGGATTATTTGTGTTAGTCTGTACGGAGTACTATGTAGGCAGTTGCAGTTGCCTGCGACGAGCAAAACCCAACGTGTCCTCCCAGGAACTTGGAAGCGAGGCGAAGTCCATCCATCGGCGGATGACTTTGCATGGGATTCTGGCCAGTCCCGCCGATCGATCGACGGTTAGCGTCGCCGCCGCCGAAACCTCCAGCGACTTTCGCCTGTTCGCTTCGGTTCTTTCGTCATTCTTCAGCTCCCCCATCTTACTCTTCGAATTTTCCAGTGGCAGTGGTGGCCATGGGCGATGGGCAGACGCTGAGGTCTATATCGGCGGACAATGTCTTTTCAACCAAGTGCGATCCGGTTCCTCTGCTGCTGATTGCTGGAAGCTGACGATGACGAACCAGATGAACCGGTGCCCGTTCCGGCTCAATCCTCGTATGGTCTGATTCCCTGCTGGCTCCGATAGATAACTAACGAACTAGTCTAGCCTATCCTTCACCCAAGGTTTCCTGCTTGGGCAGCTGTCGGTGGTGCTGCTGATCGGAGCCTTCATCAAGTTCTTCATTTTCGGCGAAGCACCTCCGCCGCCCTCACGCGGTCTTTCTCACCGCGCCTCGACCCACCGGCGCTCCAATTCGATCTATACCATCAATCCGAACGATGCCAACTCCCGCTCGTTGAGGGAGAAACCGTCGAACTCGAACGTCCTCCGTCCGGTGCCCTCCTCCTCGACGAATACCCGGTCTATCCTCCGCAAGACCTACTACAGCGCCATTCCGACCAATTCCGTCAAGCATGGCAGACATAAGATCCCTCACTCATCGCATCAGCCCGAGTCGCTGGACTGGTTCAATGTGCTGATTGCGCAGACGATTGCTCAGTACAGACAAACTGCGTACTCGTTGAAGGACTCTCCGACGTCATCGATCCTCAGCTCGCTCAATGCGGCACTCAACAACCCGGAGAAGAAACCTTCGTTCATCGACAAGATCAACGTGACGGATATTTCGCTTGGTGAGGAATTTCCCATCTTCAGCAACTGCCGCATCATCGCCGTCGATGACCCCAACTCGGACGGTGGGAGACTCCAAGCATTGATGGACGTCGATCTGAGCGACGACAACCTGTCCATTGCCATCGAGACGTCCTTGCTGCTCAACTACCCCAAGCCGTGCTCGGCGATCCTCCCTGTGGCTCTGTCTGTTTCTGTTGTGCGGTTTTCGGGGACGCTTTGCATCTCTCTTGTTCCCGCGTCCACCCCTCCCCTCCACACCCCGTCTCCATCCCCGTCTCCCCCCACCGCTGATGGGAACTCGCGCGGAAAGACGTCCGGAGACGCCAACCCACCAGCGGCCGATGAGGAGGATAATGGGCTGCCACCGAAGAGCAGTCCCAAGAGTAACGTCGCTTTCTCCTTCCTACCGGACTACCGGCTGGACCTCTCTGTGCGATCCCTCATCGGGTCCCGCAGTAGGCTCCAGGACGTGCCCAAGGTCGCCCAACTCGTAGAAGCTCGTGTCCATGCCTGGTTCGAGGAGCGGGTGGTCGAGCCCCGAGTGCAAGTAGTCGGATTGCCCGACCTCTGGCCTCGAATGGGCCGAACCGGCGTCCGCACCGGCGAAGAATCGGAAACCGGCTCGAATGCGGCCTCTCGAAGTGCCATGTCTGCCGATCTTGGAGACCATCTAGGGGATCGAGAACCCGAAGGACTCCGCTTCCGGGGAGGGCTTACCTCACGACCACAATTCGACAGCGTGTCGCGAACCAGCAGCTACAACGTCGAGACGGGGGATCTGCGCAGTCCCAGTCTGGTCCGGGAGGAGAGTTCGGGAGGACTCAGTGATCAGTTCCAGATGCCTGGGTCTTTGAGCGCGGCAGCTCGCTGAGCACATATCTTTGGCTACATGTAACATAGACGACTACGATCTTTGAAACGTATCCGACCTACATAACGACGGAGTTAGGCAACCATGGGAGTTGAATATTACCTTTGAGCTTCACCAAGGGAACAGATATCGTAATTTCATTCATGGTATAGAACAGTCATCAGCTTACATGCCGCCGACAGCAAGCCTCCATCAAGCACATCGGTCATCATGCCACTCCAACCCCGCCACTCAAACCGCAGCAACAGCAGCCTTACCCAAGCTACCGAGATACGACACACGGTGAGGGTTCCCATCGAGATCAGTACTGCGGTTCAGAGGGGTCCACTTAGGTTCCTCCTGGAACAGACGCATGGCCTTGACATACTATCCCAAGCATCAGCACCTACTCACACCAAACCCTATCTTAAAAAGCAATAAAAAACAAACAAAAAAAAAAAAAAACTTACATTATTCTCATCCGTCGTAAAGCGATGATAAATGCCCGCAGGAAGAATAATCAAATCATCCTTGACCAACTTAATCCGCACCCACTCATCCTCCTGACCCCGGACATCAAAATATCCCTCCCCGTCCCGGATATACCGGATCTCCTCATCCTCATGCAGATGCTCATGGAAAAACATCTTCACCTTCTCCTCGTACACGTCGCCCATGGTCTTGGGAGACACGGTGACCTCATCGCGGTTCTTGTATCCGCGCTCGGCGGCCAGAGCGTCCACGTCCTCGATAGTCGGGCAGTAGCGGTAGAAGACGCCCAGGGAGGCGAGGTAGGTTTCGTCGACGGGACGGCCGTCGTCGTGGGGTTCGCGCTGGTCGCCCTGTTGTTTTGTTAGCCCGGGTGCATGGAGGGGTAGGTAGGCCGTCCGCAGTGCAGCCTTATGGATTGGGAGGGGAAGGGAAGGAATCAAACATACCGGCTTATTATCGTACCAGTAAGCCTTCATATTTTGAACAATATACACACAATCACAACCACCTAAGTAAGTAAGTAATCAAGACAACAAGAAGTAGACAAACTCTCCGTCCAACCCGGCGAATATAAACCAAAGACCAATCCAGCGCGGGGCGAGAAAACCCCCGCCCCGCCATTGGCCGGTCGACAAACCCTTCGGCTCATTTCGTCATTACGTCAGCAAAGCACATCACCTTCCCTCACCGCTTTCGGAGTTTAGCCGGCTATAAGCCGGGTTCCTGGGCACGTGATGGTGATTAACCTTTTTGCGGGAAATTATTGTTCTGGGCGCGGCTGCCCGGGCTGCTTGCGGAAGCAGGCTAGCAAGTAAGCAAGCTTCATCAACTTGGTTTGATACTTGCTTTGGAAGACGCTTTGGGCCCATTCCCCGCGCTATGGCTTTTCGGGCTCGTTCGGTCGCCTTGTTGAGGTGGGGGTTGGGGACGAGGTCTCAGGTTCAGAGTCTGGGTTTGAATCTGGGAAGGCGTGGGTTGGCGACGGTGTCGGAGGGGACGAGGTATGTGCTTATCTTTTTGTTTTTTTTTGGGGGGGGGGGGGGGGGGGGGGGGGTGGTTGCAGGTGCTGACTTTGCTGCAGGGCATACGATGTAGTGGTTATTGGAGGAGGCCATGCCGGTTCAGAAGCCTGTGCTGCGGCGGCTCGTTCAGGCGCGCGAACCGCATTGATCACACCCTCGTTGTCCAATATCGGTGTCTGCTCGTGTAATCCGAGTTTTGGTGGAATCGGGAAAGGTACTATGATCCGCGAAGTCGATGCCATGGATGGTGTCGCGGGTCGAATCATCGATAAAGCCGGTGTTATGTTTCGCACGCTCAACCGATCGAAAGGCCCTGCCGTTTGGGGTCCGCGCGCTCAGATCGACCGCGATTTGTATAAGAGGTATATGCGGGAGGAGTTGATGGGGACGGAGGGGTTGAGTATTCTGGAGGGCAAGGTTGCGGATATTGTGGTGTCGAAGGACGGTGTTGAGCATACCCCCGGGGCGCAGGGCAAGATTGTTGGTGTTCGGTTGGAATCAGGCGAGGTTATACCTACGGGCAAGGTGGTTATTACGACGGGGACGTTCCTGGGGGGGGAGATTCATATCGGGCTCAATGCGTATCCCTCGGGTCGGATTGGTGAAGCGGCGACGTTCGGGCTCAGCAAGTCCCTTCGTGAGGCTGGGTTTCAGCTCGGTCGTTTGAAGACGGGAACGCCTCCGCGCTTGGATCGGAAGACGATCAACTTTGCGCCTCTGGAGGTGCAGGACGGTGACCATCCGCCCAGTCCGTTCTCCTACCTCAACGACAGGGTTCAGGTCGACGACGAAGGCCAGCTGACGTGCTGGATGACCTACACCAATGACGACGTTCACGACATTGTCCGGGCGAACCTGGACAAGACGATTCACATCCGCGAGACGGTCAGAGGTCCCAGATACTGCCCTTCCCTGGAGTCCAAGATCATCCGCTTCACGGACAAGAAGAGACATCTGATCTGGCTCGAGCCGGAGGGATTCGCACCCAACAATGTCATCTATCCCAACGGCATCTCTATGACCATCCCCGAAGACGCCCAGTACGCCATGCTGCGCAAAATCCACGGTCTCGAAAATGTGACCATGCTGCAACCCGGCTATGGAGTCGAGTACGACTACATCGACCCGCGCAACCTCCGACCTACCCTGGAGACGAAACTCATTAGCGGTCTCTACCTCGCCGGCCAGATCAACGGCACCACGGGCTACGAAGAAGCCGCAGGACAGGGTATCATCGCCGGAACCAACGCCGGGTTATCCGCACAAGGCCGCGAGCCACTGACCCTCCGTCGCTCGGATGCCTTCATCGGCATCATGATCGACGACCTCATCACCAAGGGCGTCTCCGAGCCCTACCGCATGTTCACGACCCGCAGCGAATACCGCATCACCACGCGCTCCGACAACGCTGATCTCCGTCTCACGCGCATGGCCCGCGAAGCCGGCATCGTCTCCGACAAGCGCTGGCGCCACTTCACGGAAACCGAAGCGCAAATCAAGCAGCTCCAATCCCTCCTCGAGAACACCAAAATGTCTTCCTACGCCTGGGTCCGCAAGGGCTTCAAAGCCCGCGTCGGCCCCTCCCTCCGCTCCGCCCTCGACCTCCTCTGCCTCAGCGAAAGCGACATCGACTCTCTCATCCCGCACATCGAATCCCCCACCGGCACCGTATACTCCGCATCTTCCTTCGCCCCGGAGATCCGCAACCGCGTCGCCATCGAAGGCCGCTACGCCCCGTTCGTGATCCGCCAAGAAAACGCCGCCCAGAAGTCCCTCCGTGACGAGAACCTCACCATCCCGCCCACCCTCGATTACTCCACCGTCCGGGGCATCAGCATCGAAGAAAAACAAGCCCTCGAGCGTGTCCGCCCCGTCAGCATTGGCATGGCAAGACGCATCGAGGGAGTCACCCCGGCAGGCGTCCTCCGGGTCCTGATGCACGTTCACAAGACCAGTAGGGACAGAGACTCAGCTCCTCCTGCATCAGAAGGTCTGGAAGAAACGCCCGAGGATATTATCAGCCAGGCGCCTTAGCGGATCCTTCGTCTCTAATTGGGTTTGATTGATTACTATTTACGGTGTTGTACGACTACGACTACTATTGCATCTCGATCACAGCGGCGGGCGAATCGGTGTCATTTAGTTGTTTGGGGATATTGTATAACATATATTCTTCTTTTTTTTTTTTTTTCTACATCTATATTTGTGTATTATATTTTGGTTGAGATAGGGTCTTGGATCTCGGCTCTTAGTGTGGATATTATATCTAGTGAGGAAGTGGGATTAAAATAAATATATTTAACTTGAATACCCATATTCAATCTTGTGAATTCATACATCGTCAATATACATTCAGAGCAGAGAGCGGTACATCACTGGATATATCTACCAAGTAAACTACATCTACGACCGAACTAATTCTACAAAATATATTCTACGCCACACTACACTACAACAATCCCAAAAATACAACGACACTAATACATACACCAACAACAATGCTCAGTTAATATGTACATCTACATACACACACACACACACACGCACGCAACTATTTATGCTATGATGACCGACTAAGTCTTGAATCGGATAAATGCGATCCATCAAGGCTTCTTCCCGGCTGCGGCGCGGGCAATGCGCTTCTGGACTTCTTCCTTGGTGAGGATCTTGACGGCGTCTTTGGAGAAGACGTAGCTGAGGCCGGACCAGAGGGTTGTGGCGGCGACGAGGTATCTTTATTTTCATTAGTATTTCCAAGAGGCGTTTCTTTCGTAGTAGATAAAAGGAAAGGCGAGCAAGAATCATTCATAGAAGTGGAAGAGAGAAAAAAAAAAAAAAGAAAAAAAAAAAGGGATAAAACATACAACAGAAGGGATTCGCTGGTGGTCACCCACCCAACTACTAACCTCCCGGCGTGTGGCTTAAGTACGGCTGAGCGGACGGGAAGCCCTGTTCTCCACACCCTGTGGTCGTATGTACTGGTTTCCTTTCGGAACCGCTTTACATAGGCCTCCCACTCCGCTCGCACGTTCCATACTGGAAACTAGGGGAATAGAATGAAATGATGGTACTCACTGGAATGCGGTCATGGCTTCCTGCAAATTCCATGCTTCAATGACCGTTTCGGGAAGTACAGGCAGGGCGATGGCGCTGCCCACGAGCAGCAGCTGCAGAGCTGTGTTGATCTTGGATACCGTGGTCGGCTTCACCTCCGCCGAGGGAAGAGAGAAATCCCAGTACCGGGCCATGGTTTTCGGTGGGGGAAGGGAGATCCATCGGTAGTAGATTGCGGAAATGGCGAGTCCGACGTCACGTCCCAGGATGATGACGGCGAGCCAGACTGATTTGTTAGTACATCACGTTGAAGGGAATTTAGGACCGTACCTGGGATCGACCCGTTCACGGCGAGACAGGCGACTCCGACCGTCATGAGCAGCTTGTCGGCCATTGGGTCGATGATCGTTCCGACAACCGTTTGCAGGTTGTATCGCCTTGCGATCCAGCCGTCCACAAGGTCTGTGATACCCGCATATGCGAACAGACTCAGTGCGGCTACGTGTTGGTCATGGACGAGAAAGTATCCTACCATGGGTGCAGCCAGTAGCCGGGTGAAAGTGAGGATGTTGGGGACGGTGTAGATGTTCTCATGAGTGCGTGGTAGCTTTGAGAGAATTGACGGCTTCTTGGCGGCAGGTTGGGAGCTGGATGGTGTTAGGCCAGAAGATAGTCCCAGGATCATATGCTGGATAGCCAATACGATGTACTTGCCTTGGAGGACTCTGGTCTGTTGGCTTTTGCGCAGAGTATCGCTTCTGTTGGCTGATTTGTGTCAATCGTGACTCTATGGAGCAGGCTATGCCGGTCCTCTTTCGTAATGAGCTGACTGGGTTAACACTTATCCTGATGGCCATCTTCTAGTCAAATTACCTTGCTGGGATCCTCGAGCGACGAGCCAGAGTGACAACCGAAAAGCCGCGAGCTTCCGCTACTGGCAAGGCCTGCCACCCCCGGCGTGAGAAGGAGGTGCTCCCAAGTGGAGATGGAATCAGGCCCTGTAGTCGAGTGCATTGTCGGGATGCACGTAAAGGCATTGGTAGCACTGCAATTGCTGCCATGATGTGCTCCTGTGTTGATAGATAAGGGAGGAAACCGACGACGATCTTGCTTCAGATATACCAGATATGCCGAAGTATTGGTTAACAGCAGCTTCCAGTTCACAATGATTGTCACAATCTGACAGGTTGAATGCAATTGATATGGTTCAATTGTATATCACACCAATACTAGCAGACAACAAAGCAGTGATGTCATAAAGTCCAATGCTCAAATCGTATGACCACAAACGTCGGAGAGAAAGTAGTCGGAAAGAGTATAGTAAGAGAATGAGGGAAAGCCTTGTAGCTGGCAATCAACACGTCCACTGAGCCAGGACTAAGGAGTATACTTTCTGAACGGCCAGATTATCCGACTTCCGCGAGACTCCAGGCACGTGAGTCTCGGGTCAAGCGGCGATCAGTCCAACTGGCGGAGCAATGGCCATCCACGACACCCGCTGATTGAAGACTCGTGCCGATGATGCGCGAGAGACTGGATGCTCGACAGGAAGCGAGAGGGAGAAGGAGGTTATAGAACCTCGGTCGAGACTCGCGCTGAGAAAATGCCGGCGGAGTTTTGGTTCCTCCGAGGTCATGTGACGTCCATCTAGAAGGCAATGGAGCAGATCGATAGCAAGGATGGATAGATATTTTTTCTATTGAGGTCTAGTGAATATATTGCAAACAGTGAAGGAGAATTGAGAGAAAACGAACAGTGGGTGGGAACCTCTCTCCTAAGGGTGGCCAGTATGTCAACTATATATCATAGACACGACTGCAGTGACACACTAAGTCGTTAGTATTAGTAGTACTAAAGTACTAAATGGGTTGAAGATACCATGATTTCACGTGTACATTGAGTGTTATTTCACATTGCAAATGATTTTAAGCACCTAAGTAGTCCACATTTATCGATGGAAATGGTAGATAAGCATAGCCCGACACCCCGTAATCTACGACTGGCTCATCTATTATTCACTGAGGACCCATAAGACAAAGTATTAGGCTAGCTCCCGAGGCCACGTAGAATCATGCGCTGGAAGCTCTGCTACAGGAGTGCCTTGAGTTTCTGTTGCCATATCTGCCTTTTCTGGAGCCTGAAGATTGCTGTAAGTACCGATGCCCCCCGAAGGGTGTTGGATGGCTGTTTCAGTCCCAGTCATCTTTCGCGGTTTCTTCCACCTGAGACACCAGTATGTTCCGGCTGCAATCAGGGCGCATCCGGCCACGGCACCGACAGCTGGCCCTGCGATCCAGGCCTTCGAGGAATGTCTTTCTGGACTTGAACTGGAGGAAGAGGCGGCTGATGCGGTCGAGAACGAAGCAGTGGCAGTGGAAGTGACGTCCTGAGTCTGTGTTGCCGTGGCGGGTGCTAGCAGCTTCTCAACACCGGCTGTAACCATCAAGGTATCGTACGTGATATCTGCCGAGTTCATCGTCACATTCTCCCATACACTTTTTGACGTGCTTGTCGTGCCGGCTGAATGCCAGTAACTCGCGTAGAGCCAGCAAGATGCACTTTCGGTTGAAGAGAAGATCTTGCACCCCTCCGATTGGATGTCGATCGTGTATTCCTGGGAGTTCTGTCTGGTCGAGCTCCAACTATAGATAAAGGTGGAGGGGCCCATGGTAAACGTAGGTGGCATGCCGATGGACCTCATGGAACAGTTCGCGAGCAGGCTCTGGATACAGTTGATCGCAACCGTGGTCTGGTCTTGGTCGGTGTCCACGCCCACGATGCTCCCGGCTAGTTCGCTATAGACATGGCTATAGAAGACGACGTTTTCCTCGAAAACTTTGAGATATGTTGTCGTGGGTGCGGTTGTTGTCTGCATCGTGGTGGTCGTTGCCATTGGGGAAACGGCAGCCATGAGAGCAACGCGCGTTGCCCATGGCTCGTTCGCGTGCAAAGAATTCAATGCGATCGACTTGAAGAGTCAAAGCAGGTTGTTTGAAGATCCCATCTCCATCGACACTGTCACCAAAGCGCCCACCAGAAACCTCGCTCAAAGACACGACCAACCGAGGATATTGACCATGAAGTGTGGGTTAGAGATGATAGCTTCCGATAGAATGACTGGATTGTAAAGGAAGGAATCGTACCTGCTCTTATGAAGGTGGGAAAACCCAACGGTGACCATGCGAAGTTCCTGGTTGCTTGGCCACGCAGCCAGCGTACCCTGGTTAGCCTGGACTAGCTACATTGCTGCAGTGAATTGTAGCTTGTCCGTGAGTATCTGAGCGAGATGAATCTGTCGGGAGCTCATATACTCGTACCTAGGACCGTTTTCATAGGTCCAGTCAGAAGCCAGGTTGCCGACCACCAGCGGTTGGACTTTCATGCAACCTGAGATTTCTGCTTCCCCCACGGCCAACACACGTTGAGACCAGAGGGGATGGGCGAGGGGAAGAAGAGAGCCTAAGCCGGGATGTCCCACGCTAGTCGGGCTCCTTCGGACTCTCACAGACCTCTCGAAGTCTCGACTTCTCTCCTTTCCCCTTTTCTCCAGCTGCAGCTGTGCCGTCCATGGAACAGACGTCTCCCAGTGTACTAGAGCTGCAAGGCTAAGAAACACAGCACACGACTGGGGGCATGCTCACGGTGGCATCAGTCCCACGCACCGAGTCAGTTGGACAGGGATCTGTGCCATCGGTCTTTCGACGGCTCCCAAATGAAGTCGATAGCAGGCCCAAGCGGGACAGGACCGGAGGATTTCCGCTGTCAGGGATGAAGGCTTACTAGCCGATACCATGGTACAGCAGGTAGCCAGATTACTGGGAATCAACACTGGACACAGAGCGCTGAACGATGCACCGAGTTGAAACATGGTTCTCTCCGGCAGGCCATCAATAGTCGAGAATCCAACAGTGTTGACATTCAGCAAAGATTATCATACCCTTGGGTTGCATGAATGTGACATGAGAAGTGACACCAGATCCAGGACACCCTGGAGAATGTCCAGAAGCCTCTCTTTCTGTTGAGTGTTTACAGGGTACCTAAAAGCTGACATATGAGTGCCAACCAGCTAGGATAACATCCAGGATATCCCACGGTCTGTCATGGTAGCATAACATCGGTCAACGACTCACAATACTCACGCAGAAGCGGCATTCGCAATGCGTAAGTCTCTCCCAAAGTCCGGTTCGGCATTGCATTGCTGACTGGGTCCTTTACAGGTTCAAGGCTCGGGTCACCCATAATCCACTACGTCGTCAACGTCCATCTGTGAAACACCGTTGAGATACTCGGATTGCTGGCTGGAAGGGGAGGATCAGGGTTTCAGACGATTTCTGCTGAACACAAGCAGAGTTGTTTTAGGACCCTCTGAGAGGGTTGGATCCCACTCTCCTATATGCCAATCATACTGTGCTTGACATCTAGGGTTTCGATAAGGCTCCGATAGAGGCTAGTTTGGAGACCACTCCCGATTTTGAGCACTCACTACCATGTTCGCTATATATTTATAGGTCTGTCACTCAGTCTGAGCCTGTCATATCCGTGGCTTACATCCTGCATTATAGCCATTGAGCTGTCCTTCCAGAGTACCCATATGTCGAGATCATATTCAGTACGTCCAAGCCAGATCTTTCTACCAGGTCAGCACTGTTCCATGACAGATCGTCTAAGTGGATGATACGACGCGTTGCTCTTGATTAATATTGTAGTGTCACTGACGTCTTGGAGATGAGTAGGGGTTAGTCAGCCTTATCTGTTCTATCTTTCCTGCTAAAGCCAGCTTCTACTTCTATCACAGAATATCATAAAGTCGATCAACCTAAGCATTGAAGAGACCTAGGTCACACACTGTGATGGCTCACTAACGCCCCCGCTGGTCCCAAGGAGCTATCTGGCACTTGTAGTACATGCCAATGTCCTCTAACGCAGTTCACACCCATTAGACTCGCCTCTATCAATCTCTCCATCTACCAATTATCCTATCTAATGCCATCAACAGCAGCAAAGATACCCAGGCTACTGTTACACGATACGCCAAAAGCAATTTCCCCCAAACATCAAATCTTAGCACCTCACCCAGCTTTGAGACTCATCACAAGCCATAGCCAGCCCAAGACACGACAGATGAGACATCTGCGATCTCGACCTGACCTGATCTGAAACCGGTACTTTTGACTGTACTAGCCAATTACTAACACGAATCTCCGACTCATCACCATCAGACCATCAGAAATAACCCATCACCGGAACGCCACCCACAGAAACAGCCACCACTACCGCCATCACCAAGCATGTTTCACCCGTCAACCTATAACCGTAGAACACGCTCCAGTGTCATTTCCACATCTTTTCTTTTTATCGGCTGTATACATCACAAACGGCGGTCAACAACAGCCATTACCATTCCTCAGGTCCTCGTCATCCGAGTGGCATTTTTTGATGCCTTATGTTACGTACTCTCTCGCCCTGAAGTTTCCTCCTGCCGGGACCCGGGAAATGTGCCAGCTGGACGGTGGCTTGGCCGTTGACTGGATATGAGACATAGGTATCAGGAGGGTTTGGATTGCTTTGGTTGGGCATGCATGCTTTGAAATTGATGGCGTGTATCGTGAAGAAGCTACCGTTTGGGAATGGATAGACTACAGGGGCATCATGCTACTATCCAGGTAAGGCAAGTATTCTCCGACCCAAACGCAGGGAAAGAATACGTACTGCTATACCATCATCCTATCAATCAATAGTATCCTCGATCGGATCCCAATCAAGGAGTCATAAACATATACCAATACGATCCTCCTATACGGACATCCCTGACCGATACCAGGAAAAGGATTCCGATTATACCTCCGCACCAACCTAGTACCACCTACACGAGCAACTCTATCATCACCACTTCACCTACCAACTGAACTCAATACGGTGTATCCCACCCAACCTTACCTCCACCACACGCCATGCCACGCCCTGCCAGATTCCCGCAACCCAAGATCCACCCAACGCCCAACCCTCCCTCCCCCTTCGCCCCTCTCTTTCAAATACGTGACACAGAACCTCGTGTTGCGATTTACACACCACATCAAACCCCCGACCATCGATCATGTCTGCAAGGGTACTATACTTACCCAATACATACTCCATAATAACCGAATCTGTCCGAGCCAGTGGCGTGTGGCTGTGAGATAGCCACATTCCTCCCTACCCAACCGCAAAGGGTAGACATGATTCACTCAGCCACCATTCTTGCATGTCTGTGCGAGGTGCAGCTTGTAAGGAGGCGAGGCGAGAATAAGGCCAAGTCGTTATCCTTTCTGCCATGTGATTGACACACACGTCGAGACATACGCCCTGATAGATACATTCTTCGGGAATTCCCCGGCATTATTGACGTGGGACAGTATGTGGATGAGTGAAGTACTGAATGTAGCTGCTACATACTCTGTACGCAGTACTAAGGAGGTAATACTATAGCTAGGGATATTATTACCGTCCATGAGAGATAGGAAAGGCAGACAAAGAAGGCGGGGAGAATGATGAAGAAGATGCCACCTTGCATATCGATATATCAGACGGATCGGACATGCCGTGGTGATGTACTCCGTGTATCTGCATACATATACATACTGGAGATACATACATAATATACGATAGAGTGATAGATGATTGAATCTGATTTGATTGGGTTCGTGGGGTTCACAGAGATCTATCATGATACTATTACACGGTAGTGGCAGGTAGGCAAGGGTGCAGATACTACTCCTAGTAGTACTACTATGTAGAGTAACAGCTCAGCTCCCTGTAAATCTACCCCCCCAACCAACCATTCTCCCTATGCATCCCTCCATCCAAATAACACAAATGATTTCCTTGATTTCTCCCCCCAAACAAGGTCCCAATCACTTCCCTACCCAACCAAACAAGTATATCCCTGGCCGCTCAGATCCCGATCAGATCCCGTCCGTGCCAACCGCCTCGTACAAATCTACTCCGTACTATTTAGTCAACCACATCCCCCTTGCATAACCCACCACCACGCCAACCCCAACCTGATCTTCAACCCGCGTACCCAGATCCTGAATACTTACCAACTAGGCCTCTTGCATAACTGCATTCTACCGAAGAAGGCCGAGTGGATGGGAGCGCCATCCGGCCGTGCACCAGCCGAGGAATGACCGGTTTCTTTGTTTGTTATGTATGCTGGATGTGCATATTTCATAGCTGTATTATGTATGTAGATGGTTGTGTAGTTAAGTAGCTATCGTCTGTGCGGGTGCCACCATTCATTCATTCGGTACCGATTTGGAATGGATAGTATGAGTATTTCACTGATTAACACATCGGATATTTTATTCCTGAACTAAATGACTATTAATCTAGAGTTATTTAACTAACATCTAGCTAGTAGTTATGCACCCACTAGATAGATCCCACCCACCACCGGATCTCTACATAAGATATAACCGAGGTACCCCGACCCGACCCAACCGTCCCTGAAACCTGGGCCTGGAGCACACTAACTATCGACAGTAGTCCTCCGACATGCAGAATCAAACCCATACTATGCCAGACCCGGCAAGAGCCTCATCGGTTCTTTCATCCGATAAAGGTTATTCCTCCGTCGCGGCGAGATGAGGGATACCGATCTATCTAGAGCCTCCTGCATGCGCGCAAGCGGGGCCAGGCAAAGTGGCAGATATGAAGAATAAAGGGATAGATGGATGATGGTTACTTACCTGCCTGTTTGGGTAGTTGGTCGGTTGACTGCTGGCCGTTAAAGCTTATCTATCATATCATAATCATAATCATGATCGTAGTTATAGTTATAGTTATAGTTGTGATGTAAATTAAGGATAAACTTTGCTTATCTATCTACATACCATAGTATCTACCTTACTCCGTAGGAGGAGGTATCTTAACCGTAGAAGAATAGTACAGCTGAATGAAAATACGGTGAAGAATCAATACCAGAACCCATCTAGTGTCCGTACTCCATACCAACTATTACGACCCCAAACAATGAAACAATCTCTAAACCCATCCATGCCGATCTACATTTAGCAGCGCCCGACCCAGCCACCCTAATCCTAGAATTAGACCGGAAACCGCCCAACTCCAAGAACCAGTGGCTCATACTCAATACTACCTATAATACCCGCGTGTTATTAATTATAGCCGCCTGCCTTGCCCCTATAATTTATCACTATATACGGAGTAGTGCGTACAGAGTACCGTGAAATAATTTACAGATCTAGCTAGTTTATTGGTGAGAGGGTTTACTACTACAACCCACAGGCAGGAAATACATCATCCTACGCAAGCGTCAACGTCGATGATATCGTTGTGCATGAAAGTTGTTAATTCTTATTGGTTGAGTACCTACATAGTCATCGTAGTTGGGTCTTGGG